GGCGGGGGCATGCCCGGGGGGCGGGGAGGGGGGCGCGCCCGGGAGGGGGGCCGGCCCGGGGAGGGGGGCGGGGGCATGCCCGGGGGGCGGGGAGGGGGGCGCGCCCGGGCCCCGCTCACCTGTACTGGAAGTTGCGCGGGCTCCGCCGCCGGTCCCTGCTGTTGTGGTAGTGCGGACACGCGTAGCCCTGGCGACACAGGCGCGGCGGCTTCGGACACGGCTCCGTCTTGTAGCTGCCCAGCACGAAGCTGGCGTCTGAAACACGGGGGCCACGTGGGAACGCGTGCACGCGGGCCGAGAGGGCCGACCCCACGGCCGCCACTGGCAGCGAGGCGCCCACACCCGCCACAGCCTGGAGGCGCCTGACCCTCGGCGAGAGCCAGACACGCGTCTCCGCCCCGCGGGACCCCAGCGGTGGGAAGCGGCTCATCCGGGGCGGGAGCGGCACGTGGCTGCCAGGGGCTGACGGGGTGACGGCCGCACAGCACTGTGAGGGTACTGATAACCCCTGAAACGCACACTTTAAAACGGTGCCGTTTAACCCAGATATCAACAGTGGATTTGGGGTGGCAAGGACCTGTGATGTCAGCTCGCGGGCCGTGACACATGTCCGGCTGTGGTGGGGACGCCGCACACATGGAGTCACAGGGCATATAGGAATTCTGTACTTTCCTATCAGTGGAACCCAAAGCTGCTCTAAAAAATAGTGTATCCTTAATTTTCTTAAAAAAAATTTTAATGTTTTATTTGTAAGAGAAACAGTGTGAGCAGGGAAGGGCAGAGAGAGGGGGAGACAGAATCTGAAGCAGCTCCAGGCTCTGAGCTGCCAGCACAGAGCCCCACACAGGGCTCGAACCTGCGAATCGTGAGACCATGACCTGAGGCAAGCATGGGTGCCTAACTGACTGAGCCTAGGTGCAGGTGCCCCTCATATATTTTTAAATAGTCAATTTCTTGTTCTCTAAATTTTATCGCAAAGCAGAAACAAAAAACCCCACCTGGTGTCATTTGGAAACAAGAACTGAGAGAAGATGCCTAGAAATCATCCCCACTCTCAGGCGGGCTAATGACCAACACGGCTCCTGCACACGCCCTGTCCCCCAGGCACTTGGCCAGCAGGGCTGAGCCCCCCGCCCAGGGATGGGTGAGCGGCGGGGGAGGGGCAGGCAGCGCCAGCACCCGAGGCGACGCGGCCGGATCCTCGGAAGATGTCCCCAGGTTGAAATTTAACGTTACCCTAATGTCCGGCCACACCAAATACAATTCGAACTCATTAAATGACACACAGAGGGGCATAGAAAGACAAAAGGGGGTTTGAGAAATAAGCCCATTTTAAGAAAACAGAAATGAGGGGCGCCTGGGGGGCTCAGTCAGTTAAGTGTCCAACTCTTGGTTTCAGCTCAGGTCATGACCCCGAGATCTGTGAGTTCAGGCCCCACATGGGGCTCTGGGCTGACAGTGCAGAGCCTGCTTGGGAGTCTCTTTCCCTCTCTCTGCCCCTCCCCTGCTCTCTGTCTCTCAACATATATAAATAAACTTTATATTTAAAAAAAAAACAGAAATTAGAGAACATTTATTCACAAGCGCCGAGCGGGTGCCTTGTGCAGATACAGTCCGATACAACCTTGACACCATGACCTGAGCCAAAGCCGGACACCTAACCGAGCCACCCAGGCGCCCCCAACCATGCGACATTCTGAAAAAGGCAAAGCCACGGCACCAAAACCGTGGTGTGAAGGCTCAGTGGTGGCCGGAGCCGGAGCGGGAGCCCTAGTGGGAACTGTGGACGCTGGTTCGTGTGTCCGTCTTGGTTCCCGGGCTGTCACAGGCGTGTCACGTGTTCACCAGGGGAAACGGAGGGGTGCACAGGACCCTGGGCCACCAGCAACATGTCCGTATCTAAAAAGCCCAACAGGTCACATCGGCCGATTACAGGCCGAGCCACCACACAGGGACAGAGAGGAAGAGGTGGAAGCCGCAGACGGGAGCGGCGCGCTCACGAGGGTCGGCGCCACAGGCTCCGTGGGAGACGCTCAGAAGCCGAAGCCAGAGCGCCTCACTGGACGTTTGTGACCAGCCCCGGGGGCGGGGGCGGAGGGCCGCCCCGCAGGGCGGAGCCACAGGCCTCTCGCTGCCTCCCGGCTCTCCCTCGCAGAGCTCAGCTGGGCACCCCCAGGCGGGGGGACAGCAGGCTGGAACATGGGCGACAGGAGGTGCTCAGGGGCGTTTTCCGGAACGCCAGAAACCGCGGGCAAAGCACGAGTCCTCAGGCGCTGGAAGCGGGGAGCTGCGGGCACCCGGCCCGGCTCTGAGGCGGCCCTCCCCAAGCAGCGACAGCACACCGGGGGGACGAGCACTCAGCACAAGTGGGTGCCCCTGAAACACAGAGGGGGCCGTGGGGCCGGCCGGCAGGTGCCACCGTGGGGGGGGGGGACGCGGGGCACTTCGTCTCCATGGGGGGGCTGGGGAGGGGGCAGAGACGGGAGGAGAGTGCGGATCAGCATCGCACGACCTTTGCGGGCCTATCTGGTACCCCGGGCCCTGGCGTGGACTCCCGGGGGCCGGCAAAGACACATGCCAGGGGACAACGGTGTGAAAGCATCACTGACACAGATGACATCGGCCGAGCAAGTCTGAGGGGACCCATCACGACTTCCGGGGCTTTTCTCAAAATGGCACTGCCCTTCTCAGCTACCCGGAACAAACACCCGGAGAGAAGGCAGACTAGCGGGTGCCGGGGCGGGGGGGTGCTGCTTAACGGGCACAGGGTTCTGGAATTAGTGCAAATGGTTGCACGTCACCGAGTGTACAGAATGACACGAATTGTTCACTTTAAAACAGCTGAAACGGTACATTTACGTCCCGTGTATTTACAATAAAAACCCCCAAAATGTCACCACCCACGGCCATCACCTGGGGAGCTGCCAGGAACGCGGGTCCCCCAGCCCGAGGGACACAGATGAAGGCTCCTGGAGACCCACGGCGGGGAGACAGGGATGTCCCAGGAGCAGGTGTGCGGTGAACATCGGCCCGGCTCCGGGACAGGGGCCCGGAAGGCGCCGTGCCCGCCACACAGCCCCTTCCCCAGGCAGCAGCCGCAGGCTGACCGTCCAGGGCAACCTTGGGGCCTGGACGCTGGGGCTCAGACCCCACCGGCCACCACTCCCTGAGGGGCTGGGCTGACATACTCAACTGGAGACTCAGTTTCCCCATCTGGTCTACAAACGAAGGCAGTGAGGTCCACTGTGTGGGGGAGACGGCGAGGACCCCCCCCCCCCGCCCCAAGGCCTCAGGGTTACCTTGCCACCGGGGGTCCTCGCCCAGGATCTTCTCGATCATGGCCTGGCTGGCCACCGCCCCAGGCTGCAGGTCAGGGGTGCCGTCCCCGCCGCCCAGCTGGCCGTTCTGCAAGGCTTCCTGGGCCTGCAGCTCCCTGCGGGCAGACGGCACACGGGTTACAGCGCCGCCTGGCGTCTGTGCAGCCCGCCTGCAAGCTGACCCCATCATTTGCTTCTGTCGCTCTGCGGAGCCACCTAGAAGGTCCAGGACGGCCGGGTGGGCCTCAGACCTCAGGCACGGCCCGGTCCTGGGACGGATCCGACGGCTTCAGAGCCGGGATGCGTTTAGCAGGGACTCACCTGCCCCCGTCATGGGCACTGCGGCGCACGGGCTGGGCCCCGCGAGTTCCCAGGGGCGCACGGGGGCGGACGGAAACCTCGTCAGACGTAGAGCCGAGGCCAGAGAGCGAATCGCTCGGGCCCACGGCCGGAGAGGTGAGCGGCCGCCCGCCCCGCGGACGCCCCACGCACCTGATGTCACAGACGGGCGGCCGCAGGTCCAGCGGGCCGTGCGCGAAGGCGCAGTGCAGCCCGTTCTTGACGCAGTGGCCGCGGGCGTCCGTCTCGTGGATGCACGTGCCCGTCTTGTAGTAGCGCAGATGGTACTTGCGCTCCGTGTCCCCGGTCGTCCGGTGCAGGTACGGACACCTGGGAAGCAGAGGGGTGGACACAGGCCATCTGAGGCCTCGGGGCGTGGGGATACCCGCAGCACGGAGCCGCGCCCCTCCTCATCGGCACCCGGCCACGCACCTGCTCGCACAGTCTCATCTTCGCACGAGTATCTGCTCTAATGTCTAATGGCGGGACTGCGGTCCTGGGCGGGGCCCGTCCCCTGGACTCGTCCCCCCGGCACTCAGAGGCCCCACAAATCCCTCAAGTACATCTGGTAGAAACACCGAATTTTCTGGAAATCATCCTGCATAATTTTCTGAATCCAGAAAAAGGAAGTTCGCCCCCAGAATGCAGCTGTGCCGCTCAGTTTTCCTGACGAGCTCCCATCCCGCCCAGGTGCTTCAGGGGACCCTCGAGGAAGGGGCCTGGGGAGAGACTCAGGGGCCTGGACCTGGCTGGAGGAGGAGGCTGGTGGGGGCTGGCCAGGAGAGCGGTGGCCGCAGGGGGGGACCGGGGGGAGGCCACGGACAGCGGATGCAGGGAGGTGGGGGGAATCACATGCACTGGATACGGAGGGGGCAGGAGTGTCACGTGCCCCAAGTGCAGGGGGGGCAGGGGTGTCATGTGCCCCAGGTGCAGGGGGGGTAGGCGGTGCCACTCGTCGGTGCCAAGCCCCACACGCCCAGGGAGAGGCCCCCTCGGCTGCCCAGGCGGGCTGGCTTCGCATGTGGGGCTGGGCACCGAGCCCACACGGAGGAGAGGCCCTGCAGACAGGAGCCGCAGAAGAGGGAGGACTTCTGCCAGGACCTGAGCCGGGGGCGCCGAGGGGGCTCAGTGAAGCGTCTGACTCTTGGCTTCAGCTCAGGTTGTGATCTCACCGTTAATGAGTTCAAGCCCCACGCTGGGCTCTGTTGTCAGTGGGGAGTCAGCTTCGAAACCTCTGTGCACCCCCCCGGCCCTCCCTGCTGTCTCTCAAAAATAGACATTTAAAAAAATGTTTTAAAAACCTAGTTTTTGGGGCACCTGGCTGGCTCAGTCGGTTAAGCATCCGACTTCGGCTCAGGTCATGATCTCACAGTTCGTGGGTTCGAGCCCCGCGTCGGGCTCTGTGCTGACAGCTCAGAGCCTGGAGCTGCATCAGCTTCTGCGTCTCCCTCTCTCCCTGCCCCTCCCCTGCTCACACACACTCTCTCTCTCTCAGAAATAAATAAAAAATTAAAAATATAAAATTGAAAAAAACCTATTTTAAATAAACTTAAAAAAAAGAAAAGGAGCCTGAGCCAGCAACGCCCCGTCACCGCGGGAGGGGTGAGGCAGGAGGCTGCTGTGGCCCATCCCCCACCCCTCCAGGGACGGCTGAGGAGCACCCGCGACGCTGGTCAAGGCTCAGTGCCACCTCGCTACCCAGCAAGCTGTGGACCCAGCTGCCGGGAGCACCGAGGGGATGCCCCCCCCAGAGCAGGGTTGAGACCCCAAAGTGAAGGCCTGGGGGACCACTCACCCTCCAGCCTGTCCCCTACAGTAACTGGCAGGCATGGCCGTCAGATCGCGCAGCACCTGGGGCGCGCGGGGCGCGAGGAGAGTGGGCGCGTGTCCCTGGGAACAAGGCAGAGGCCGAGGGAGAAGCCGGCTGAGGGTCCAGCCGTTCTGCTGAGACCCCGATGTGGCCTCGAGGACAGTCCGCGCCCGGGGCCCAGCACGTGGGCGGCAAGAGCTGCAAGCCGCAAACGACCCAGGCGCCCACACGATGAGGAGTGGGGGGCGGCAGGAGGCCCCTGCAGACCCCAGGAAGGGCCTCAGCCTCAAAAGGGAGCACAACTCGGACATGTTTAGGCTCGCGTAGACCTCGAGGACGCGTCGCTCAGCGAGAAAAGCCAGACACAAAGCCGCGTGCCGTGTGATCCCACTCTACGGGGTCGTGGAAGCCGGAGCCAGGGCGACAAGAGGTGGGGGGTGGATGCGAGGGGCCCGGGTGGCAGGTGGGGCGTCAGTGCTGAGCGGGGACAGAGCTGCTGTTTGCGAAGAAGAGGAGGATTTGGGAACAGGCAGTGGGGACAGTTTGGTACCACCCTACGAAAGTCATCAATGCCACTAAACCTCACACTTAAAACTGGCTAAAATGGCAAATCCTACGTCACAAGTATTCTGTCGTGGTCGCAAACAGAGCCCACTGGACACCGAGGAGACTCTGTGTCCGTGTGCAGACGAGCGGGCGTCAGGTCCGGCCCCTGCGGGGTTTTCACACGTGGACGCATGGCATCTCGGCACGCGGGGGGGGGGGGGGGGGGGGGGGGGGGGGGGGGTGCAGAGCACGGCCAGCGCCCCGGGGCCCTCGGACGAGCCCGCGGGGAGGATGCGCACCCCCTTGGCGACGGCAGAAACTGGAGACAGGGCAGGGTGCCCTGGCAAAGTGTTCCCCGGAACAGTCCCCGAGCACCGTGAGACACAGGCAGGCGGCACACGGACAGGGCGACTCGGTGGCACAGTATGAAAGCAAGCATGATGACACCACGAGACACACACCTGAAAAAGGAGACCAGGCACAGGGCCACGGGCCACGGCGAGTCCTGGGCAACCCCCCTCCACGCAGCTGTGCCTGGGTCCCACGCCTCCACCCCCAGCCTGCGCACGCGCATCGTCCTGGCCTGGGACTTGGTCTCTGGGCACCGGGGGCGCGGCAGCGGTCACGGGGAGTCTGTGACTCTGGAGGCGAATGCTGCCCCTCACCCACACTGCGCCCCGGGGAGGTGCTCGCGGCGGGTGCGGGCCGCCTGACTTCCCGGGTCACAGCCCAGCCCGCGCCCGGCCCCCAGCTAAGCACCCTCCTTTCCTCTCTGGCGCCATCGTCAAGGCAACCGGAGCCCCGCCAGCCCTGCCCAGCCCTGAGCGCGGGAGGGAGGGAGGACCTCGAGGTACTGGAGGGAAGACTCCGAAGGAAGGACAGCGGCCCGTCTGCAGGAGCTCCCAGCAGCGAGGGCCTCAGGCGCAGCACAGGGGCAAAGCCCGCACCTCCTCCTTCGCGGGAAGACCCAGGGCTCAGCCCAGGACCGCAGGCAGAATCTGGCACCGATAACCCATCCCAACCCATCCCGGGCCCACCGCCCCCAGGCCGTGCCCCGGGGTGGTTCGGGGGATCTGCCACAATCAGTGACCCAAACAGTGTCATTGAAACAAGGTTGGGGGGTGACTGTCCGATTCTTGATTCTGGCACAGCTCATGATCCCAGGGTCGTGGGACGGGGCCTGCGCCAGTCTCCGTGCTGAGCGTGGAGCCTGCCTGGGACTCTCCCTCCCTCTCTGCCCCTCCCCCCTGCTTATGTGCACACGCGTGCGCACTCTCGCTCTAAAATAAAAGAAACTCCGGCAGGTCTACGTCGATGGCGTGACGGAGCGCGACGTGCGGGGCCCCGGCAGTCGCGGCGCTCGGGGACCCTGGAGCCAGGTGCAGGGAGGACGGGATCAGGGGTCCAGGAAGGGGAGCCTGGCGTTGCCCCCTCCCTCGGGCAGCCCTCGCCTGAAGCAAAAGCAGAGCCACCGAGGCCGGTCTGCGACGGGCGACAGAAGCGGCCCACCCGGCTCCGACCCACCGTGCGTGAGCGCCGGCCAGGAGCGCCCCGGGCCAGGCGTCAGAGCCCCTGGAGGCCTTGCCGACCCCAAACCGTCCAGTCCCCCGAGTCCAGGTGGGCTCCTCGGATCCCAGGTGCCGGTCCAGGGACCGCAACGGGGGGACTGCTGGGCATTCGGGACATTCAGGTACAACCGGACTCGCTGCCAGGGCCCAAGGAGCTCAAACGGGTGGGGGACCGGGACGGAGCACGGACACGACGGGGCTGCAGCCCGGGACAAGCCAAGCACCGCCAAGCAGTCACACGACGCGGGGAACAGCAAATGCGGACAAAGGAACGAGCCGTGGGCTAGAGGTGGGGGGCCTCTGGGGACAAGCTCGAGGGTCAGCTCACATCTGCCCCCTCTTCTTGGACACCAGGGGTGGGGGGCTGCCAGCTCACCCCACGTCAGCCCCGCACTCCCACCCTCTCTGGAAGACAGAAGCCCCCACTGGCCGCCTCTCCCCTCCCTCGCAACCTCGCTCACTCAGCAGGCTAACGTACCCAAACAGCAGGTGTCTTCCAGACTGAGCAGCTCCCCGGCTCCTGACTATTACACGGTAACATTCAGGACCCGCCCTTGGCTTTCACCCAGGCCCTAAAAGCCCAAGCAGAGCTCACCTGTAAGGCCAGTTTGGAGCAAACCTACAGCTACGCTGAAGTGAAATTCACCCAGAGCTTCGGGCCGTAGACGCTTGGGTTTTTACAACTAAACACGCAAGCGTCTGTCCACAGAACGATCAGGCTGAAGACGGCGAGGGGCGGCAGGCACACCACAGCCCCGACACCTGGGACAGCAGGCTCCCACAAGCACACGCAGCTTCGTGAGTCGGAAGCCGCGGACTCGCACATCACCAGCCCACCTGACCCAGGGCCTGTGGGGAGAAGAGCCAGGCCAGCCAGGGGAGCCCTGAAAGCATCAGGCCGCAGTAATGGGACCCGCCCACTTCCTCCTAAGCAAGAGATTCCACAACTGGGGGTCTGGAGGGCGACTCCCCAGAACAGCCTGCGGACCGCAGGGGGGTGGGGGGGCTTACAGAGGAAGGAGAGTGGCTACTTCTACTTTGCACACGAGCCAGTGGGGGCTGTTTGATTTTCCCCAATGAAGATGTTCGCCCAAGGGCCCTGGAGGGCCCCCGAGGCCACTGGGAAGGCACCTGACCATCCCCAGGAGGCCCGCACCCGCTCTCCCACAGCAGCAGGCGCCAATCACACCCAGATTCCAGGTGCGAGCACCCAGGCCAGCCCTGACGGTAGAGGGTCCGGTGTGGAGAGCGGGCCCAGCTCGGGCCGGGGACTGTCCACACCGGCTGCCTCTCAAAGCAGCTTTCAGGAGGCGGCTGGACCAGCAAACCCCTCCGGACAGGAGTTGCTCTCCTTGAAGCCAAGCCCAAGAAATACCTGAGCTGCAGGTACACGTGGGAACAGTGAGTGGGGCTGGGCCAGACACAGGCTCGGAAGCGGCTTCCTGCGCCGCCGCCACCGACTCTCCCGAGAGCTGCCAAACGCACACACCGCACACACCGCTGGCCGACCCTGGCGGGCTAGTAACCCCTGGGGCGGGAACACGTGACCCGAAGGACCCATCGCGCCCAGCCTCGGAGAAGGGGCGTGTCCGCCAGAGCAGAGGCCCGAGGGAGAGCCGAGCAGTGGACGCGAGGGCACCCAAGGAGAAAGGGGGGTAACAGCAGGGCTGCCCACGGGGAGGTGAGATGACAGCGGAGGTCACCCAGAGGTGACACTGGGAGCACCACGAGGGGGGGAGGCCTGGGGGAAGGGGTGACAATAGGGGAGGCAGCCACCGCAGGAGGGGGGACAGCGAGGGGAGAAGGTGCGCGTGCGCGCCAGCCTAGGAAAGGCCGAGACAGCAGGGGCGCCACCCGTCCCGGGGTCCCCGTCCCGTCCTGCCCCACAGCTGCAGGAATAATCCTGGATGCTCAGGTCACCGGACAAGGGCTGACGGGCCTTCGCTCTCTGATAGTATCCGTGTTTTAAAATAATAGGTCAGCTGGGGCGCCTGGGGGTGCTCAGCCGGTTAAGCGTCCGACTTTGGCTCAGGTCATGATCTCGCGGTTCGTGGGTTCGAGCCCCGCGTCAGGCTCTGTGCTGACTGCCAGCTCGGAGCCTGGGGTCTGTTTCAGTCTGTGACTCCCTCTCTCTCTCTGACCCTCCCCCGCTCACGCTGTCTCTCTCTCTCTCCTAGAAATAAATAAAAAATATTAAAAAAATAAATAAAATAAAATAAAATAATAGGTCAGGATGGGGGACGCCTGGGGGGCTCAGCCCATTAAGCCGGACTTCAGCTCTGGTCACCATCTCCCGGTTTGTGGTTTCCAGTCACCTCTGGCTCTGTGCAGACAGCGTGGAGCCTGCGTGGGACCCTCTCTCTCTCTCTCTCTCTCTCTCTCTCTTTCTCTCTCTCTCTCTCTCTCCCTCTCTCCCTCCCCCACCCTCAGCCCCTCCCATAAACATTAAAAAAACAAACAAACAGGTTGGTAGTTCATATGCCCCAAACAACTTTCGAGAACCCATGAGCTGAAATAAAAGGTTCTGTCCTTACTCTGAAAAGTAGTCACTACTGACAAATGCCATTCGGGTGCTTTGTGAACCAGAACACGTCATCAAACAGGACAAACTGTGCCATTCCACCGTGGGGGAGAGAAGGTCCCTCCCCTGTGGAACTGAGCGGCCGTTACTAAGGAGAGGCCCCCGGGGCCACATATGATCTCTGCCCACACTTCCTGAAGTTCAGGGTGAAGCTCGATACAAGTGACAACATCTCTGCTAAGACACGCGTGACTTTCTTACTACACGGGGGTCGCAGGCTGCACCCCAAACAGAAAATGCCAAACCAGCGCCTAACTGCCCCTCGTCCAGGTTCTCAGTGATGGCCTCTGTGTCACTGAGATGACATGGCAATATTTCTGTAATAAATAACTGCCTGGGGGGCTCCGTCGGTTGAACGTCGGACTTCGGTTCAGGTCATGATCTTGCAAGTTTCTGAGTTCAAGCCCCATGTCAGGCTCTGTGCTGGCAGTTCAGAGCCTGGAGCCTGCTTCGGATTCTGTGTTTCCCTCTCTCTCTCTCTCTGCGTCTCCTCCCTCATGCTGGCATGCTCTCTCTCTCAAAAATAAACACACATTAAAAAAAAAAAAACCAAACCAGTTGCCGGTTATTTAACTACTATTGAGTCCAGCTGAAATGACCACCTCCAGATGCTTCATTCCACAAGAACGGGGTGCCACCTGGTGTCCAGCAACAGGGCCCAATCAATACCAGGACATGACCAATACCAACAGCTGTCCCAATGTGCTTTCTGTATGGGCACCAAAAGCATCGACGAATACGGTCAGTCCCTCACAAAGAGCTCTGGAAGGGGGTCAGACACAGCGGGTGACTGGATCCCATACCGGGTCAGGCAGCACCACTCCCCGCCCCCAACCTTGGGTATCTCAGGACCCAAGGCGCAGAGAGGTGACTGACGTGGGCAAGAGAAATGGGGGCCTGATTCCAGGCCTCAGCCCAAGAAACACAGGTCTTCTTCTGTTTGCCGAAAATATCAGTTTAAGAAGCAGTTGAATAAGGCACTTGTAAAAGCCCCCACAAGCGGAACCAGGGAGGCCCAGGCACGTACTTCGGCAGGCTTCAGGCCGCCCTCGCCACTATCTTGTTTACCTCTCTGGTGCTCAACTGAAAGTCTTCGAGGCAGCATATAAAGTTGACGATATCGCTGTGAGTGAAAAGTTTACTCCCCGCCCTAAGCATCTTTGGAAAGTGAAGAACAAACTGTACTGTCAGAAGGGGATGTTCCACGGGGCGCCCGGGTGGCTGTCAGTCAGGCGTCCCACCCGGGCTCAGGTCGTGATCTTGTCGTTCATGAGTTCGAGCCCTGCATCAGAACCTGTGCCGACAGCTCAGAGCCCGGAGCCTGCTTCAGATTCTGGGTCTCCATCTCTCTCTCTCTCTCAAAAATAAACATTAAAAAAAAAAGTTTTTTCCAAAAGGGAGCATTCCTGGAGACCCAACTCCCTTCAAGGGATCAGGGGGTGAAGCCAAATGGAGCTCCCCCAAATCAGGCCTGGATGCGAGGAGGTGACACAAGCCTTGGAGCACAGTGATGCTGCCTGACCTCCCGGCAGAGGCGGACCAGCCCTCCTTCCTCAAACGGCCCGGAAGGAAAACACAAAGCCTCCCGATATCGATATCTGTCTGTTACATAATATACACTCTGACTGCACGTGCCCGGTTTTCCTGTTCTACCTATTGCTGAATGAATACATCTGCTCATAACACCATCGAGAAACTTGTAAGAAAACAGCCAATCCAAACAAAACGTTGGTTTTCCCAACTTTAAAGTGCTACAGAAACGACAGGCTGCAAATGAATTTCCCTATCAATTTTTTTAAAAAAAGAAGTTAGACACGTACGCTGCAAGGAAGTCAGCGTTCCAGGTACGGTCTGCGCTGACGTGAGCAAGCGCTCGGAACACGCGCTCTGACCAGAAAACACGGGGCAGCTACAAAGCGGTCCTACGCCTGACAGGTGCGTCTGCCAAGGTTCGTCTCTAATGCGGAAAATCTGGGCAACTAGGTCCAACGCGGGAAGTGAAGGCAAGTCGGTTGGCGCCGCCCAAGGGTGTCCCCGAGACACGGTCCTGAAGGTGGAGAGAAGTCTGCCCCCCCAGTGGCCTCCGTTAACACCTGAGCACAGAGACAGGACCCCGTGTGCAGGTGGCGGCCACTGGCTCTGCCGCACACTCACCCGTCGCCGTCGGGGCACACGCCGCGGGCTTCGTCGTACTTGGCACAGTACACGTCCGGGCTGTAGTTGAAGGTGCCGTCGCGCCTGCGGAGCGGTCTGCGCCGACGCTGATTTAGGAAATGCCAATGGAAACAGGTAAATGGCCTGTGCTGGGCGCACTTGTGCTGCACAAACAGGGCGCACTGCTCTGTCCTAAATTCCTTTAGATACCTAAAAAGACAAACAGCGTTGCGGGTCGCTTCCGCCGAGGCCTGGGGGGGCTCGTGGGCAGGGGGCGGACCCGCGAGCCAGGGTGCCCCAACCTCCGGAGCAGCCCCTTCTCTGAGGGCAGACGGCCCCAAACGGCCGCCCCCCATTCCCAGCGCGCTCCTCGGATCCCAGGAACGGTCCCCAACTCCCCGCGAGGCCGACCATCTCCGATCCCAGATGAGACCCCAACTCCCGAGTCCAGACGGTCGCCCTCCACCCGCGCCGGGGTGCGTTCCTCGGATCCCAGGCACGGTCCCGGACCCCAGGCTCAGCCCTCGATTCCTGACCCCAGGCACGGCCCCTCCCCCACGGAATCCAGACGGCCACCCCCCACCCAGCCCAGGCGCGATTACCCAGGCCCCGCCCGCAGCACCCCCCTCCCGGCCACGGCCGCGACGCCCAACTTCAGGCGCGACGCAGCGACCGCAGGCGCAGCCCGACGCCAGAGGGCTGCCCATTCCCGACCCTAGGTCCGACCCCCGACCCCGGACGGCCGCCTCCCCACCCCCCAGCCCAGGCGCCATTCCCTAGACCCCGCCCGCAGCACCCCACCTCCTGGCCACGGACGCGACGCCCAACTTGAGGCGCGCCCCAGCGACCCCAGGCGCGCCCCGACCCCCGGGCGCTGGTGCCAACCCCGATCCCAGGTGGGGGCAGCCCGAGTGCGGAGGACCGCCCCCCCCCCACCCCGGCGCATCCGCCCCAACCCCGACCCTCCCGCAGCGGCGCGTGGACCCCAGCTCCCCGCGCGCTCCCAGCCCCCGCCCCCAGGTGCCCCCCCCAAGACCCTGGGCGCCGCCTTTCGACCTCAGGCGGCGGCAGCTGGCGTCGGACGGCGGTCCGCTGCCCCGGGCTCGGGAGCGGCGCGGGGGCCCGGGCGCGGGGCGGGGGACGGCGCGGGGCCCCAGGCCGCACTGGAGGCGGCACCCAGGCCCCGGGGCGCGGGGCGCGAGCCGGGGGCGCACGGGGCCGCCCCCCGCCCCGCCCCCGTCCTGGCCGCGGCCGGCCCTGCCACTGACCTGTAGTGGGTCGGCTTCTCCGTCTGCGGGGGGGACCCGCTCAGCGCCGCCGCCGCCGCTTTCGAAACCGACGGCATTTTCAGTCAAAACAATGCAGCGCGCATGCGCCAGGCGGGCCCGCCCCCGCCCCCCGGATCTCCCCCCGTGCCGAGCCCCCCGTGCCCTCGCCGGCCGGCCCCGCCCCCGCCGGCGCCGGGCGGACCCCAGACCCTCCCGGCGACCCGGCGCAGCGCCCGTGGGCGGGGACGCGCCCCGAGCGCGCCACCCCGCCCCCGCGGGCTCCCGTGCCCGCCTTCACCCCGGCCCAGCGCGCAGCGTCCTGCCGGACCCGCCGCAGGTTCCCCGCATGGGGACCGCGGGCCGGCTGCTCACTCGGGGAGTCCACTCGTTCGTCGCTCTGACCCCGGGCTGGGTGCTGAGCTGCCGAGAATGGACCCCGTTGCTTAGGGCTGCGTATGTGGATGCGGGGCCCTGGGGCGGCTCTGCTGTGCGTGTCTCCCCAGCCTTCTTTTAAGGAGTCGGAACGTGTCCCAGAGTTAGAGTGTGGTGATGGCCGCCCCAAGTGAATACACCACTTTCATCGTGTACTTTAAGTGGGAGAATTGCCCAGCATGTGAGCTATGTATCAATAAAGCTGATTTTAAAGGAAGAATCCAGACACCTGGGTGGCTGTCATTGAGGGTCTGACTTTTGATTCTGGCTCAGGTCATGATCGCATGTTTGGGGAGTTCCGCCCGCCTCCGGCTCTGGGCTGTCACCGAAGAGCCTGCTTGGGACTCTCTCTCTGCCTGTCTCCCCTCTAATCAACTAATTTTTAAAAAGTTAACATTTTTTTTTTACAAAGCAAATTAAGGGGCACCTGGGTGTCTCAGTTGAATGTCCCTCCGACTTTGGCTCAGGTCATGATCTTGGGGTTCACGAGTTCCAGCCCTGCATCAGGGCGCTGACAGCTCAGAGCCTGGACCCTGCTTCCCATCCTGTCTCCCTCTCCCTCCAGCCCTCCCTCCCTCACACTCTGTGTGTGTCTCTCAAAAATAAATGAACATTAAAAAAATTTTTAAAGCAAATTAAAACGAAGAGGCTGTGGCGTAGGCAGACATGTTCTTGTTCTGAACAAAACCCCCGACAAAGAAGCCCCAGAAGTGTGGCTGGGCCGGAAGAGAGCACGCTGTAAGGGCAAATACCGCCAGGACCACAGTAGCCGCTTAGCTCGCCACCTGTCCGCTGCCACCGCTTTGCGGAGCCCACGCACGGGGAGGGCCTGCTCGCGCTGTCACCGCTGGCTTTCGCTCTTCCTTCTGTTGGGACAAAGCCCACCCAGGTCTGGGGTGTGAGGTCGGGAAGCAGAAAACGGCGGTCAGCCGCCCAGGAGACGCTCAGGACTTATTCCCACGTGGCAGGACGTGCCACCAAAGACAGTAACACTCATCCTTGTGTTCACAGTGGTTGCGTCTAGGTCGTGGCGTCACTGATGTTTCTGATGCTCCTCCTTTTGCTTATGACAGTGTCTAGCTTTTCCCGATAAGCCGCATTGCTTTCGCCATAGGAGAGTAACTTTTTTTTTTTTTTAATATTTTATTTATTTTCGAGAGAGAGAGAGACAGTGTGAGCAGGGGAGGGTCAGAGAGAGGGAGACACAGAATCTGAAACAGGCTCCAGGCTCTGAGATGTCAGCACAGAGCGCGATGCGGATCTCGAACCCACGAATCGCGAGATCATGACCTGAGCCGAAGTCGGACGCTCAACTGACTGAGCCACCCAGGCGCCCCCATAGGAGAGTAACTTTAAAAAAAAATTTTTTTTAATGTTTTATGTATTTGAGAGAGAGAGAGAGAAAGAGCAAGCGAGCAGGGGAGGGTCAGAGAGAGAGGGAGACACAGAATTCGAAGCAGGCTCTAGGCTCGGAGCTGTCAGCACAGAGCCCGACGTGGGGCTCGAACCCACAAACCGTGAGATCATGACCTGAGCTGAAGTTGGACACTTAACCGACCGAGCCACCCATGCACCCCGAGAGTAACTTTCAATTAAAGCCAAAATTCTTTTCATTAGGTCTTTTTATTTCCTGCAAAAGCTAGGAAGACAAAACGTAAGGGGAAGACAAAAGGTAAGGGTTCTGGTTTGAATGACTGTTGGTCAAACAACATAGTTCCCAATTAAACAGAGAACCACGAGCCAGGACAGAGAAAGGACGGCTTCCTTCTCTGTTACCTCCCACATAAAAATGTGGCCTGAGCTATAATTAGGTCAACCTTTCCAAACCTTGTTCTACGTTTAAAAAATAAATATACTTGGGCCCCTGGGTGGCTCAGTCGGTTAAGCGTCCCCCATCGACTCAGGTCATGATCTCATGGTTCGTGGGTTCAAGCCCCGTGTCAGGCTCTGTGCTGACAGTCGGCTCAGAGCCTGGAGACTGCTTTGGATTCTGTGTCTCCCTCTCTCTCTGACCCTCCCCTGCTCACACTGTGTGTGTCTCTCTCTCAGAAATAAATGAAAACATTAAAAATTAAAAAAAAAAAAAAGCTAAAAAAAAAAATACTTGGGGGCTCCTGGCTTGCTTAGTCTGTAAAGCATGTGATTCTTGATCTCGGGTCATGAGTTTGAGCCCCACATCGGGCATGGAACTTACTTTAAAATTTTTTTTAAAAAATATGAACATTCTTGTATTCATCCCACTTGCCAGACAAGCATAATTTACCCAGGGGGCCCCGACACCACGAGCCTCTAGCAGAGAGAGCCTTTGGGAAGCCAGTGCACCGCCGTGTAGCCAAGAGTCCCTTCAAACACCCAAATGAGAGAAACCTCCAATTAACTTCAGCACCCAGACATGCCAAGATAAAACCTTCCACTAGAAGCGTAAGTGAATAAAACCTTCCTCTTGTGTATCTTGTATTTAAATCAGAATTAAGCAGGTTCTTACTAAGTAGTACTTGAAAAGCGTATCATTTAGATACCCGAAAATATGGCCTGTAACTTGTCAAAAGAAATACCTACCAGGGCACCTGGGTGGCTCAGTCGGTTAAGCGGCCGACTGAGGCTCAGGTCTTGATCTCAGGGTTCCTGAACTAGAGTCTGAGCCCCACACGGAGCTCTCTGCTGTCAGCACAGAGCCGGTTAAGGATCCTCTGTCCCCGCCCCCCGCCCCTCCCCCACCCCTGCACAAACACATACTCTTTCTCAAAAATAAAACATTAAAAAAACAAAAAAATACTCGTCAGTTTCACTCTACTCAGAAAGTTACCTTGCTAAAAATAAAAACTGGTAAAGCCGAGAAAGTTCATTTTTTTCTGGTATCCTTTGTAAATTCCACAATTTACATTTAAGGTTCTTTCCTCAGTTCCTATTCTGGAAAAACAGAAAAAACAAAGTATAAAGAACTAAAAGGCAACCCCCTCTTTTTTAAAATGAGATGTGAAAAAGGGAAGGGACTGGCCTAATTCCACAGCACTAAATTAAAATTTATTGTCAGTTGGCTTGTCATACTAACATCTGTTTATACACAGCACATGAAAACGCAAAAAGCTGAACTCCTCTGCCAGTTACCCTGTCGCAGAAAGCAAGCGGCCCGCAGACCGGCTCACGCTGGACTGACTGCAAGTGTCCCCAGAATTACTTTGGAAACGTGATCGGTTTGGAGAAAGACACAGTACAAGTCCAACAGCACAATGCAACCGAAACCTCTCCCTCGGGTCGGAAAATGAACATCGTTTGGACGTATCCGTTGGGCATCAAGTATGAGGCAAAGAGCCGGTTCCGACCCGCGGCCACTCTGCTCTGCTCAGCGCGGGTCTGGGGCCAGCTGTGCCAAGCCCGCCCGTCTGGGGACGCGCGCCGCCGACGCAGGAACGGGCAAACGCGAGGTGGACAGCCTGGGGGCGGCTGCCGGTCCCCCGGCGGCCAGCCCCGCCCAGCCCCCCGCTAAGTCCTCGCCTGCTGGGCAGCCGGGGCTCCAGCCTCCGGAGAACCACCGCCGGGCTCCGGCTCCTCTTCTCCCAACACCTGTTTCAACCACCGGTCCGCGCCGGTCTCCTGCCTGAAGAAGCACCACGCGACCAGAGCCGCGAGCGCGAAGCTGAGGGGCAGCACCCCCCACCAGGGCCGCTGCTGCCCCCGCCCCAGGGACTGCTGCACTGTCCAGCGGGACGGGCTGGCTTTGCTGGAGGAAAAGGGAATGGGACGGCTAGGGTCGTCGTCCTCGTCGGCCTCGGCCGCGGGCGGGCCCTGAGCCCGGGCCCCGGGCGGCGGCTGCAGGCGTCGGGAGGCCCAGCGCACGAACCTCAGCGCCGGGACAGCCCTGGAAAAGAGACAGCCGTGAGCGCGCCCGCTCGCCGCGCCCCCCCGGCCCCTCGGCGACCGCGTGCCGCTCACCGGGTTGCCGGCGCACACAACACACGACTCATTGCGACCCGGGCTCCGCGCTCGGCGGGGCGGGGCGGGGCGGCGCGGCCCGTTTGCGTCACTTCCGGAGCGCGGAACCGGAAGCCAGTCGCCGTTGGAGCCTGTGCTCACGACTACAGAACGTGGGCCCACTCGCGCAACGGAAATGACGCGCCTTCCCCGGCGGCCTCTTCCGTCGCAGCCAGCGACGCGCGGCAGGCCGCATGGGCATGCCGGGAAATGTAGTTCGCCCCCAGCCCGGAGCCGAGAGAGCCGTCTGGTGCCTGGGCGTCGGCAGGGGCCGGGGCGACATCGTCGCTCTCGGCCTCCAGGCGGTGATCCCTCAGCCGCAGGGCACGACCCCGGCGGCCACCGCGCTGCCTGCGTCCGCGCTCCGGGCCAAGGCTGCTGTCTGGGACCGAGGCTGCGGCCGCACCTTCCCGCCGGCCTTCGGGAGTCAGGCTGGGCGGGTGTCCTTCGGGCTCTCCCGGGGCTCCCTGTCGCACGCACTTCCCCCAACGGGCCTCAGGGAAGCCGCCGTGGCTTCTGTCCTCCAGGCAAACTGGCCTTGGTGTTGTCAGAAGACCACGGGGGGTGTCCAGGCACCACCTGTGGGGATGTGTGTGTGCTGGGGGTGTCCTGGTGACAAAATCAGGTCATGAGGCCGCCTTGTGAGCTGTGACGTGCTACCTCCCTAATCCAGCTTCCTGGCCCCTGGAGCGTCCCTCTCCTGCCCCCGCTTCCTGGGGGAACAGCAGACTCCGGGACCAGTACCCCCGTCCCCAGGCACTCTCCAGATACTAGGGCGAGAGATGCAGGCTGGGGGTGCTCTCCGCTCAGCGACATCAGGGAGCCCTCCCCACCCGGGCAAGCCCAGCCCCGATGCCCCGCGGCAGCTCGATGCCCAGGCTAGACTGTTCGGAGTTGCCTGTGTCAACAGAGGCACCTGTGTGCCCGGGTCCTCCTCGCTGGGCCCCGCCCCACCCTGCCCATGCGAATGCACCGGGGAGAACACTCTAGTATAAACAGAAAATAGAGAGTTGTATTCAAGCCCAAGTTAGGACAGCTGCCCAGGAAATGCGACCTTCACAGGGAGGAGAGTGTTCTGGAGAATTAACTGTTTTTACACTTTTTTCCCCCCACATCTTGTAAAAGCTCTCAAAAGATTATGGATCAGCATATAGGCAGCAGTCACGTGTTTTATCGTCCAGCAACGGTGACGATATCTCAGGGACAAGACGGTTTTCCTTTAGGCTGCTGTTCACAAAGCGGATGTACGAGGCATGTTGGGGGGGGTGTAAATCAGGCTTTTGGTGTAAGCAAAGTTTACGTACAGTCATGCTGATTTAGAAATATAAAATGGGGGTGCTTGGGGGGGCTCAGTCGGTTGAGCATCTAATCCTTGATCTGGCCTCAGGTCATGATCTTATGGTTCATGAGTTTGAGCCCAGCATCAGGCTCTGCACAGTGTGGAACCTGCTTGGGATTCTGTCTCCTCCTCCATCTCTGCCTTTCTCGCTCTCTTTCTCTCAAAAGAAAATTTTTTTTAATAAATATTTTTTAAAGTAATCTAAAATGACTTCCCTTTTATATCAAGACTTTAGAGAGCTTCTCCTCTGGCCAGCCACAGAACCCCACCCCAGATCACTGCCAAACTCACCCACAGGGAACCCCAGGAGCTTCTGCTGTGGTCCACACGATGGGCCAGAATCACTCTGGTGTGCTGTCTGGAGGGCTTCCTGGAGGCTTCACTTCGGGTCAGGGCAGCCCCCAGGGGGCCGCTAGTCCCGTCTCAGTCTCAGTGACTGCCGTGGACGAGTGACAAAACAAAAGCAGTTGGACGGGTGACGCAAGCTCTCAAGCCTCCAATTTCTCACGTGTGGAATGGGCGTCGTGCCCTTCTGGGCCTGCTGTGAGGACCGGTCCCATGCCTGGGGAGGCTGCGGCTGGTCTTGGGACAGCCACAGTTGATAAGGGGACACCCTTCCATCCTGCGGCCCTGAGGCAGCGGGGCCACCCTTACAGCCACCGGGGCCTGAGGGGCACTTGAGGCGGGAGCTGGGGAGGAGAGTGGCTGCTCTCAATAGGGAATGAGCAAATCCGGGTCCAAACAACCCTCCTCCGTCTCCAGCTCCTACTGAAAGCACTTTGCAAAAGACATGGGTCTTGTAGTCTTTTTTTTTTTTTTTAATGTTTAATTATTTTTGAGAGAGTAAGAGCAAGAGCCGGGGAGGGGCCGAGAGACAGAGGGAGACGCAGAATCGGAAGCAGGCTCCAGGCTCCGAAGTGCCAGCACAGAGCCCGATGCAGGGTTCGAATTCACAGATCAACCAACTCAGCCACCCAGGCGCCCTGAGTCTTAAGAGGACAGGAGCCCATGACTTCGGGGAGATGGACTTGTGCTCATGGGGGGGGGGGGTGTCTCCTGTTGGACATGAGCAATTCCGGGGGACAACGTTGGAGCCGGCCACTCCAGAAACACGATGGCTCATGACGGAACAAGACTGCCCTGTAATCACATCTGGGCTCAAAATACAGGCACAGCCTGAACCTAAAAAAAAAAAAAAAAAAAGACAAAAAGACCAAACATCTCCCCCGTCCTGGAGGATGGGAGGGACGCTGTCCTTCCCCGGCCCGGCTGGGCTGCAGCCTCCCCTCGCCACCCCGCCCCCGGGAGAAGGTGTATGAGGCCGGCCTCCTGGGCTGGACCGCGTGCCCCCAGACTCACATTCACCTGGCTCTTCCGCACAGGACTTTTATTTGGGCACGGAGTCTCTGCAGATGCAGTTAGGTAGAGTCATCCTGGGTTGGGGGGCCTAAATCCAAGGACTGGTGTCCCCCTGGGAAAAGGAGAAAAGACCCAGAGACACACGAGGGAGGCCATGCAGAGGCAGGCGGAGACCGGAGCGACGCGGCCCCAGGCTTGCCAGCGACAGCAGAGGCTGAGAGAAAGGCCTGGGACTGATTCTCCCCGGGACCTTTCAGGGGGCCCGGCCCCGCCGACACCTTCAGCGCAGATTCTGGCCCCCCGACTGTAGAAGGGCCTTCTGTGTCTTAGGCCGCCCAGCCCGTGGTGCTCTGCGGGGCGGCCCCAGGAGACCCGTGCAGGCGGGCAGTCACAGTCACCCACTTCCCAACCCAGAGCAGAGCCCCTCGGCCCACACAGCCTTGCCCAACGCGCTCCTTCGGAGGCCCCGCGTGCCCCGGTGGGCCTGATTCTCGCCCCTGCCCACCTTGTTCAACCACCCGTGTATTCCCAGTGGCCTTTGGAGGGCGGCGGCCGCCCCAGATGCTGCCATCTACTTGACCCTCCAACGCGCGGTGAAGCCCAGGGCGGGGAAAGTCACAGCTGGATGGGTCTGGGGGCCCCTGTGTCTCTGGGGGCCCCTGCGCCTCTGGAACCTTCTCCTCCACGACCCCGACGTGCCAGGCCGGGCGCCAGCTCGGGTTCGAGGCCCCCTCCCCCGTCAGAGCATAAACCAACACCTGAGCCCTCATTATCTCAAAGCACACAGAGACCTCTCCGGGCCTACTGTCCCGCTGAGGGGTGAGGAGGCCTGGCTGCTGCGCCTGAGGACAAGCCTGGTTTGCTGCGCGCCACCTGGGAGCTGACATATTGGGGTTATTGATTTTCCCCAGGACGATCAATATGAGGTGCGTGGGGACAGGCAGATCCTCGCCTAAGGAAGAGCAGGGCCTTTCCCCTGGGGACCGAGGCCTGACGAGCAGGGCAGGGGGCACAGAGGGCCTGGCGCTGCCCACAGTGGGGCCGGCGGGGAGCAGGTGGTGGGACATGTGCTGGGGCCCAAGCCTGGCGGCCTGGGTGTGTCAGCCCCTGCCCCGCTCCAGGGGGCCCAGTGGGCAGCAGGGGCCCCGCAGGCCACCCACCCCCACTTTCCAGCTAACGCTTCCGGCCGCGAGCGTCCCGTGGCTGCTGAGCCCAGGCAGAGGGGCTCAGCGCAGCGCTGGTGACTAGCGTGCTGGCCTGCAGGTCGCAAGTCCAAAATGCCCCAAACCCAGGTGTCTGCGGAACAGCTGTCCGGAGCCTCCAGGGGAGAATCACTTGCTTGGGTTTTCCAGTTTCGAGGCCCCTACATTCCACCTTCAGAGCCAGCGGTGACCCTGCTTCTGTGGTCAGGTCTCCCCTTCCAAGCCTGACCTCCCTCTCTCGTAGGGACCCCGTGATTATCCACGAACACGTCTGCAGGGTCCACGGTGCCTGGGCACGAGGGGGGGCTGTCTGTGCGGCCACGCACACCTCCCAACCACGGAGGTGCCGGCTCCCGGTGGCCTGGGCCTCTCCGGGCTGTCCCCTCTGCTGCAGCCCCCGCACTTCCCACGGACAGGCCAGGTGAGTGTGACACCAAGCAAACGGCCTCCTTTGTGAAGCCCCTCCTCTGGTCACAAGGGCCGGGACTGTCTTGAGGGCAGGGCCGCGCCTCGCCTTCCTCAGAGCCTGGGGCAGGGCGCCGGTGAGGGCGCCTCCACCCAGACGGGGCTCCCCCGGGTCCCGCAGCCCCCCTCGGCCAACTGAGCGAGGTGGTGCCGGCCCAGCTGACCCCCTTCCTGGGCCCTGGCCCAGCCCTTCCCGAGGAGCTGCTGGGGACACCGTGGCTACAGAGCGGACGCTGCCCCAGAGGGCTGTGCCGGGCCCCCCACAGCCAGGCTTGCCCAGCACTGTCCTCCAACCAGGAGTCTCGGGCGGGACCCTGGCCGTGCCTGGGGTCAGTCTCTGCAGACTGGACTCACGAGACAGATCCCCTGGGGCCTGGCTTCACCCTGGTCAGTGAACACAGGCCGCAGGGAGGCCTGGCCTGCCCCACACCCGTGCCCCACACCCCTGTGCCCTCCCCCCGGGGTCCACAGCCTCCGGCAAACCACGGGCTTGCAGGATGCCGGCAGCCCCACAGATCTGCCCCTGGCAAGTCCCCGGCCCGGCCCAGGGGGGAGGAACACTTCATGTCCCTGTGAGTCCCCCAGAGCTGGGGGTTCTGACTAAGGCCTCGTGCACTGGGCCCTCCAAGTGCTCATGAAATGGCCAGCAGCAATCACCCACGGCGCCCACTTGCAGGAAAGGCCTGGATCTGCGCCCACACCCCATGTGTCCCGTCTGAAGGGAACAGAGCCTGGAGCAAAGGCCGAGGCCCCAGGGACGACGGGAGTGCATCGTGACCCTCCCGGGGAACCGGCAGGGACGTTAGGGGCCGGGCACGTGCCAGGCTGGGAGGAGGCTGCTGTCCCGCGCGCAGAGCCCGGCCGGCACGTAGGCGGTGGAGGCTTTGAGCTGCGGCGGATGGGACTCTGGAGTCCTCCTAGCAGGCGCGGGGGGGGAGGGGTGCTCCAGGGGAACGAAGCACGAAGCACCCAGCAGAGGCCACACCTGGTCCACCTGGACCTCGGGATGGAACCTCACATGGAAATCGGTCTTTGCAGACGTTATGAATGTGAGGTCAGGCTGCATCCCAGTGGCCCGAGTCGACGACGGGCGTCCCTGTAAGAGAGGAAGCGTGAGGGCGGCCGCGCGCAGACGGCGGCAGAGCCCGCCGGGACCCAGCACAGCCCAGAAGCCCCGCGGCAGGCGCTGGGAGAGAAGCGGGCCCGGGTCCCCGCCCGGACAACACCTTGGCGACTGGCGACGGGGCTTCTGGACACTCGGGCAGCACCACGCGCACACGCGGTCTCGCTGGGGTCCTGCTGACATGTAACCCCGGGGGGCGGGGCAGGAGGGCACCCCAGGGAGGGCCGCGCACGTGAGGCCGCCACCGGGGCTGGTGGTGCCCGCAGCCCCCGTCCACGGCCTGCCCGGCCCGGCCGCCGGCCTGGGGCACGGTTTACCCAGAGATCCGCACGGGCAGGATGTGCGCTGGAGAAGGGCTACTCCAGAAGTCAAAATAGCATGAAATTTAATTTTCCGCCTATTTGACAAAGCTTGGTCCCGGTCCCAGTCGGTGGCGGAGATAAGGGTCCTCGGCCCCGGGTGTGAGCCAGCTGTGCCTGCAGCAAACACTCCACGGTCCCCGGGCAGGTTGAGCCCCACCCCCCCGCGGGGCCCTGGTTGCCGGGCGCTAAAGCAAACGGGCTCTATTTGCCCAGTCTGTGATGACAATGCAGTCGCCAAATATTTGCCAGCCCGGTCGGCCGCGGAGCGCAGCTATAAATGCTGGAGCCCAGGTGGAGGTGGGCCCGCCCCGCGGGAGCTGCAGGCCTCCAGGTAGGAGCTCGGCTGGGCGGCGGGCGGGATGTGGCCTCCCCCTCCCCTAATGGCTGTGGGGACCACCCGCCTGCAGGCAGGGGCAGTGTAGGCCTGGGGTCGGGGGGGAATGTTGAGGAAAAGGGGTGCTGAAGGAGGAGGGGCCCAAGCCGAGCGCTGGGGCCACGGGACCGGGAGGAGCCGGAGCACAGCAGGGACCCTGCCCTCCGCAGGCCAGCGGACTCCGCGTGACGCTAGCCTCACCCAGCCTCCCTGGGGCGGGGGTTCTGACAAGCTGGGGGCCCCCCTCTCCCTTTCCTGCTTTGCAAGGAGGCCAAAGGGCTCACTCACCTGCCTGCTGGCTGCAGGGCGCACACCCCCAGGGGGGTCAGGCCAGCATGTGGCAGCAGGCCAGGGAGGGCCGGCACCACTCCCCCTGCCCCGTCTCCATCACCCCCTCAAACTCCCACTCCACCCCGCCTGGCTCAGCCCCAGGCCCACGCACCTTCCCTGCCTCCTGCTGACCCCGCCAAACCCCAGGCGCCCTGCCAGGGCGGGGGGGGGGGCGCAGATGAGAGCCTGGGACCCATCAGACAGCATGGGAGAGACTGAGCCCGGCTCTGAGCCTCCCCTAAGCCCCCAAGGCCCCCCTGAAACCATAAGGGCTCTGGGCCCCAGACCTAGGGGGGTGGTCAAGGCAGTTAGGCCCAGCTCCCGGGCTCAGTGTGGGCAGCTCGGGGTCCCCCCTGCAGCACCTGAGTAGGTGCCTCCTTGGCGGGCCTGTGGATCAGGAGCCGGAGCCGTCCCATGCGGGGCCCAGGGCTCTGCCGCCCTGGGCTGCCACGCCCCTCCCCAGCCACCCACCCTGCCTGCCTGGCTCCCCCCGCCCTCCCTCCCTGTCCCCACTGTCCCAGCAGAGCCATCTCTGACCCCCCTTGGCTTCCTGTTTCCCCACCCCTGCCACGCCCACCGCCCATGGTGCCCACAGGGCCAGTCTCTCTGCGAACCTCACCAGCTTCTGAGTGTGGCACCATCTCCAAGCACCCGTGTGGCTGTACAGGCCCGGGGACCTGATGACTGACCTGTGCTCCCTCTGCCTCCCTCCCCAGCTGCACCTGCTGCCCCAGAGGCCCCAGGAGCTTGGGCCTTGAGGACATGGCTGCAGGCGTGATCCGGCCTCTCTGTGACTTCCGGCTGTCCCTGCAGACCCACAGGCCCTTCCTGCCTGCAGACCCAGAGCCCCAAGAGACTTCTGAGGAGGAGGAGGAGGAGGAGGAGGGGGAGGAGGAGCGGGAGGAGGAGGGGGAGGAGGAGCTGGAGGGGGAGCTGGACGGGCCTGGGGGCCGCAGCCCAGCCCCCCAGGCCTCAGGCCGGGCCCCAGAAGCAGCCCCCCGGGGTCCAAGCAGCCCCGAGAACCCCCTGCAGCTGCTGCGCTTCTTGGAGCTCATCAGCGGCGACATCCAGCGGTACTTCGGCCGCAAGGACAGGGGGCAGGACCCCGACGCCTGCGACGCCTGCACGGACGGCAGCTCAGCCCGGGGCCTCGGCTGTGCGGACCTGGCGCACCGGGCTGCCAGCGGGAGCCCAGGTGGCGAGGAGGCGACGGAGCCCGGGGTCCTCTCCCCGAGGGGTCCCGAGGGCCAGGCGCGCGGGCTGGGGCCCCTGGCAGAGCTCTTTGACTATGGGCTGTGGCAGTACTCAGGGCCTGGGGCCCCGGCGGGCCGCCGGCTACGGCTGGAGCGCAAGTATGGCCACATCGTCCCCATGACCCAGAGGAAGCTGCCGGTGTCCTTCTGGGAGGAGCCGGCACCTGGCCCCCTGGGCCTCCTCCGCCCAGGCACCCCCGACTTCAGCGACCTGCTGGCCAGCTGGTCTGCGGAGTCCGGCCCCGAGCTGCCCGGCACAGGCACCCAGGCCCTGGATGGGGTGCAGCTGGCAGAGGCCTAGCGAACGGGCCAGGGTCGGGGGTGGGGGTGAGCGGGAGCAGCAGGGCTTGCCTTTCCTTAAGGCGTCGGGACTGTCGCGGCTCTCCAGTCACAGCTCTCTCTGGAGGCGGCCCCGGGGCCCTCCAACCATGGTGGCCGCCGGCAGGACAGGCCAGCTCAGGTCGGGGCTTCCCAGGCCCAGGGAGTCGGGCCAGGCTCCTCCAGGGGCTGGGGGGCGGCCAGCAGCAGAGGCCACCTGGGCAGGAGCCGCAGCCTCTCAGAGGCCGGGTGCTCCAGAGGCCTACGCACCGTGCCCGGCCCTGGGCGAGGCCCTTCGCCACCCAGACCAGCCCTGCGGTCCCAGGGCGGCAGCAAAGGGACCCAACCGCCTGCCCGCGTGGCTGGTCCTGGGGCTGTCCCTCCCGGAGGGAGGCGCCTCCTCCCTCCACGTGTCCCGAGCATGTGAGCAAACGCGCCATTCGCTCCCAGACCAGGGCAGGGGGAGCGGCTTCCTGCACTGGCCACCGCATGGGTGTGACCCGGGGGACCCCTGACCCGGGCCTGCCGGCCTCCAGGGGGCCTGCGGGGAGCGGCCGGGGCTCCGCGACGCCATGGGCAGCGCAGGGTGGAGGGCTCACTGGGCTTGGGCGCCCGGGAAGAACCTCTGTCCCCCACCTGCCCTGCCCAGAGGGGACTCTGGACTCCAACGGGGACAGGAACTGGCACGTTTATTTCCGGGAAAGGGATGAGGACGCCCACGGGCGGGCGGGCTCCTGGCGGAAGGACTTCTCCGTGACGACGGCGCCCGGCCTCTGCCGGGCCACCCGGCTCATGAGGACCGCCTTCCACCGCAGCCACCTGCCCGGAGACACGTGTCACGCCCGCCGGCCCGGGGGCCTCCCCGGCACCGCCCTGCACCGCGAGGGGTCTCCAGGCGCTCCCCCTGCCCACCTCACGGCCTGATAGACGCCCCAGCAGTTCACAGGCATCGCCTCTCCGGGGGCCGAGTCCTTGATGAAGAATCGCTGTCTCACCAGAGACATGAGGACCCTCCTGCTGCCCAGCGTCAGCGCCCACGGGCCCTCCTCGCTCCACAGGCGCACGACGCTCTCGCGCAGGCTGGCCATCTCTTCTGCGCGCTGCGGGCGAGGGCATGTGATGGGGGGCTGGGGCGGGAACGCAGGAATCCGGCCCTGGGGGCTTATCTCCCTCCGGACAAACTAGGGTCTTATCTACCGGGAAACCCTGCTCAGGCCAGATGCACAGCCAGACGGACGGACGTGGGGAAGGCCGCAGAGCCAGGGGCTGTGCTGGGCCGGGGTGAGGGGGCAGGGTCTGCCGAGGGGCCCCCCTCTCACCAGCTTGGTTTCCGTATTAAACTTGAGGTTCTGGATGGTCTTGTGGTCTTGCATGCTGGTCTCCAGTTTCATTATCTGGTTCTGAAACTGAAAACGGCGCCCCGTTTGTTGGGCGTGGCAAGTCTGTGGGCCTCAGAACCCCCCCCCACCCCCCCGTCCCGGTCACTCAGGCAGGAGCTGGCCTCTGACATGTGGGGTCTGGGGTGCGTCACTCAGTCCAGGGCTCGGGCCGGCCCCTCTCACCGTGACTGCTGACAGCCCAGCGTCTGGGGACTTTGGACAGGTGCCCCCACTCAGGGTGTCTCAGATCTGGGGCCTCCCTGGGGGCCCCTCCGCCGAGTGTGACGGGCACAGGGCTCCGGGGGTACCGTGGCCAGCTTGCCCTGGATCTCCGCGATCTTCCGCCCGGGGTTGTCCTCCCTGAGCAGCTGAACGGACAACAGCAGAGAGGCCAGTTCCTGCCGCATGGCCCCGACCTCCAGCTCTCTGTAGGAACAGAGGCTCTGGGCAGGGGTCCCAGAGACAGGGCATGTGGGGGGAAGAGGGCAGGGCGTGGGGGTGGCTGCTCAGCTTTGCCACCCCTGCAGCAGGAAGTGGGGGCCCCAGCGGGTGACAGAGGGCAGAGCTGGGGGGTCCGTGTGGGCTACACTTGGTGGGCCCAAGCCGAGCTCGGGAGGGCTCAGGGCCGCCGCGGGTACGGGGCTGCGGGAGGAGAGGCCGCGTGCACGTAGCAGGGCCGCCATGAGCCCCGGAGCCGGGCCTCACCTGGCCTTGCCCTCGGCCGAGATCTTAAGGTCTGAGTCGCTCTTGTGGAGGGTGCAGCTGTTGGACACGGCCTCTATCTGCAGCAGAGGCAGGGTGGGCGGGCAGCCGGGGTGGCCCAGTGGGGCGGGAGGGGGCAGGTGGCGCGCCCGGCCCTCACCCACCTGCCGGGGCAGGCTGTCCACTCGCTCCCGCACCTCCCTCAGGTGCGCCTCAGCCTCCTTCTGACAGCGGACCAGGCCCTCCAGGGATTTCTGCTCCGAGCCTTCCCACTCTCTCTTTGCCTGGGACACAGCGGGGACAGTGAGGGGGACAGACAGATGGACGGGGCCCGCTGGAGCCAGAGTCGAACCCAACTCGGCCGAACCCACGCAGCAGAGAGCTCTGGAAGGGGCTGACTCCGAGCTCATCCACCCAGTCTGCGCACAACCCGGGGTGGGGGGCCTGGCCAGGCACGCTCTGGGGACCTGGAGACCCCGGGGAAGGGCCCCCAGGCTGAGCTAGAGCCACATCCAGCAGAAGAAAGCCTGGCTCAGCTCCGAGCCCGCCAGGAGTCAGTCAACAGAGACATAAGGGACAGCCTGACCCCCCGGCAGGGGAGGGGACTCAGGAGGCCTGGGGGACCTGCCCCATAGCGGAAGGGTGGGCGTGTGTTCGTGTCCGCGCCTTCTGCATGGCCAGCAAGGGGGGGCAGTGCAGCGTCCATCAGCACAAGGAAAGCCAAGCCGGTAACAGACTGTATGGAAGTGTTTATAGGAAAAGTCCAGAACGGGCCAATCCGCAGAGGCGGGAAGCAGATCAGCGGTCGCCAGGGCCCGTGGGGTAGGGGTGACCGCTAGCCGCACCGGGGCTTCCTCTGTGGTGACAGGAAGGATCTACTGGTAACGTGGTGATTGTCCAGCCCTGAGTACACGAGCAGCCGCTGGACCCCACTCTTCACAAGGGGGGCTCTGCGGTGCGCGGATTAAATGTTGACACTGACACAACAAAGAAGGGAAACCCAAGGGCGGGGCCGCCTTGCCAGCCCCTCTGGAACCCGCTGCGTGGTCAGGGCCACCGTGGGCCTTGTACACAGCGGCTGGGCAGGGGCGGGAGGGCTGGGATCTGCCTGTCGGGCCTCCACACTCGGGCACTGGAAATGGCTGCGCATGGGCGCGGGATCCTCTGCGCAGGCGGCTCCCCTCAGCCTCGTGCTCCCCTAGCTCCGAGCTCCTCCCCTCTGCTCCGTGCTCCCCTCAGCTCCGAGCTCCTCCCCTCTGCTCCGTGCTCCCCTCTGCTCCGAGCTCCTCCCCTCTGCTCCGTGCTCCCCTCTGCTCCGAGCTCCTCCCCTCTGCTCCGTGCTCCCCTCTGCTCCGAGCTCCCCTCTGCTCCGAGCTCCTCCCCTCTGCTCCGTGCTCCCCTCAGCTCCGAGCTCCTCCCCTCTGCTCCGAGCTCACCTTGCTCAGCTGCAGGCTCAGCGTCTGCTCCTGCAGATCCAGTCTCCAGCTCAGGGCCAGGAAGTGGTCACTCAGGTCCTTCACCTGCTTCCCCAGCTCGGCCAGCGATGTCTCCAGGGCCTGGCTCTTCTCCCGTTGCTGCGGGGCACCGGGCTGAGTGCGGGTGCCCGGGGAGGCGGGGCCCCAAGGGGAGACCCCTCGGGCGCCGCCCTCACCAGCTCCAGCTCGCTGTGCGCCTCCCGCTGGGCCAGCTCCCCCGCCAGCTGCACGGCTTTCAGGCTCTCCTGCAGGTGGGTGGCCAGCTCCCCTGCCCGGCTCGCCTCCAGGCGCCCCTGCGCGTCCCTGGGGGTGGTGCCGACACAGACGGCCCCTCAGCTGGGGCTGGCTCCAGAACCACCCAGGAGACCCCGGGGAGCACAGACCGGTCACGTGAGGGGCCCACTGGGACGGGGACCACATGCCCTGGCGCATGCAGCGGCCTCCGTGGGGGGCGGGGGGAGGGGGTTTAGACACCCACCGGGCCTTCTGCTCGGCCGTGAGGATGTGGTTGAGAGACAGCTGGTTCTGCCGTATGAACTTGGTCAGCTCCGCCACGGCCCTGTCCAGGCCCCGGCACCGCTCCAGCACGTGCCATTCTTCCTGCTGGTGCGCACAAGTGACGCCGAGCCCGGACGCCCCCGCCCCCGCCCGGAGGTCCCCCTGCCCCCGCCTGGAGGCCTCCCCCCGCCCCTGCTCCCCGCCCCCGCCCCCACCCAGACGCCCCCCGCCGCCCCTCGCCCCCGTCCCCCCTCGCCCAGAGGCCCCCAGCCCCCGCCCCTGCGCCCCCCCGCCCCTCCCGGACGCCCCCGCCCCCACCTCGCGCTGCCCCTGCAGGGCCTGCACTCGCTCCTCCGCCAGCTCCTGCAGCCCCCGCCACTTGCTGTCCAGCTCCCCCCGCAGGCTGCCCTCCGCCTTGAGCCGGGCGCTCTCCGAAGCCTTCATCCTCTGTGGGGAGACCCGCCCCAGCCTGCCGTGAGCGGCATGGGGGGGCCCGGCCCGGCCCGGCCTGGCCGCAGGCCTGCACCTCCCACCTTCTCCAGGGCCAGGAAGCTCTTCTGCAGGAAGCCGCACAGCTTGGCCTCCCTCTTGAGGAAGCGGAGGCTCATCTCCTCACCGAGCTTGGTCACCTGGGCCTGTGGGGGGTCGGCGTGGCCGCCATGGGGTCGGACCTCCCTCCTCGCCCCGTCCACCCCCGGCCCAGTGCGAAACCGGGCTCCCAGCCGGGTCCGTTGCAGAGGAGGCCCTGGGCGCCGTGTCCCCCGCAGCCCCTGAGCCTCGCAGAGCTGGCCTACCGCACCCTCCCCAGGAAGGCAGGCAGGGCAGGCGGAGGCCGCGTGGGCCCCCAGAGCGCCAGGCGCCAGGGCTGGGAAGGGTCTGCAGGGTCCGGAACACGCCGGCGCTCGTGGTGGCACCAGACCCACACGCAGGGCATCGCGTCCTGAGCCAGGAGCCTCCGTGCGGGAAGCCAAGTACGTGTGGGAGCGCTCCACGTGCGCACACGGCCACACGCATGTGCACACAGAGGAAGGTGTGTGCATAGACCTGCACATATCTGTGCGCACACACGCACTTCGCCCTTGAGCTCTGGGCCTCTCCCTCTCCTCCCCGCAGGGCAGCTGTGCCCTGAGCCCCGCCAGCCTCGCTCCTGCATGCGGGTGCTCTGGAGCAGGGGTCGGCACGCCGTCCGTCCGCTCTGTGGCAAACGAAGGGGCTTCGCAAAGCCACGGGGGGCCCCACAGTTCAGTGGCCAGGGGCCCGAGAGCACCTGGGTAAGAGGCGGGCGCTCGGAGCCCGCCCGGCGCGGCAGGAATCCGTGGGCCGGCGCCTCCCGGAGCTCCGGGCTGCAGCGGCGGGCAGCGTCTTGATGGAGCCAGACGCCGCCTCCCCGCGGGCGGAGGGAAGGGAGGCCACCGAAGCCGGGCAGCCGTGCTATGTGGGCAGCGGCCGGGAGCGCTCGGCCCACGCAGGCCCCGGTCTCTGTTTGCAGAGCTGAAGAGGCCGCATCTCCGTGCCTCCCGTGCCCGGCCCTGCCCCCAGGGTCTCGCGCAGGGGGAGCACCTGGCCAGCCCAGGGCTGGGGCCACGCCTGGAGGTGGCTGAGGAAGGGCTTCGGGGTTGTGACGTTCTATGTCCTGCTCTGGGTGCAGGTCACAAGAGGGGGAGGGGCTGCGGCTGAGACACGGCCACCGAGGGGCCGTCTGCGCCAAAGGAAGAGCTCCGCATTGGCAGTTCCCACATGGGCAGCCGTGGGCCCCGTGTGGCTCCTGGGCATGTGCGATGTGGCTCACGTGACCGAGGGACCTAAAAACGTTAGCTCATTTCCACAGACAGAGGCATCTGTGGCTGGTGGCCACGTACCGGGGGGCGCGGGGCCGCAGGACGACCACGTGGGCCCGGTCACGCGGACGAGGAGGATGTGGGCGGCACGTGCAGTGGTGTCCGACGGCCCTGCTGCCGGCAGCCCGGGCCCGGCCCCCCTCTGGGTACCTGCATCCTGGCCACCTCACGGTCCACCCTCTGGTCCGCCGCCTCCTGGCTCTTCCTCAGGTCGCCGCAGGCCGCTGCCCGACTCTGCTCCTCCTGCGCCAGCCTCTCGGCCACCCTGGCCAGCCTAGGCAATGGTGCGGGTGGTGGCGGCCCGGGTGCCAGAGGGCCTGCCCGCGGAGCCACGGTGACTGAAGCGGGGCGTCTGGACCCTGAGGACCCCCCTGGAGGCCAGGCCTGCATCTGGGGGCCCAGGCTGACCTACAGGCCACCAGGGCAAACCCAGGCAAGGACATGAAGCTGACTGACCTCCCTGTTCCCTGTTCCCACGCAGGGACGGGACATCGGCCTGCGTGAGCGTCACTGACGGGGAAGAGAGGGGTGCAGACTCCGGACCTGTCTCTTCCCCACAGAGGCCCATGGGGGTCTGAGACCTCCGCCATGTCGACCAGCAGCATGGCAACACAGACAGCAGAGCCGGCCCCCGGGGGAGGGCAGGGGGGGCGCCTCAGTGAGTGCAGAGCCAGCCCCCCAGGAGGGAGGGAGGCGGGGGGGGCCCACCTGAGGCCGGCCCTCCCCCAGGAGGGAGGTGGGGGGGCCCCACCTGAGGCCAGCCCCCCAGGAGGGAGGGGGGCGGGGGGGCCCACCTGAGGCCGGCCCCCCAGGAGGGAGGGAGGCGGGGGGGGCCCACCTGAGGCCGGCCCCCCCCGGGAGGGAAGTGGGGGGCCCCACCTGAGGCCAGCCCCCCAGGAGGGAGGGAGGCGGGGGGGCCCACCTAAGGCCGGCCCCCCCCCCCGGAGGGAGGCGGGGGAGGGGCCCACCTGAGTCCCGCCTCCTGCTCCGTGTGCTTGCGATCCGCGTCCTGCAGCGCCTGCTTCCTCCGGATCTGTGTCAGGGCCTCCCGGACCTCCACCAGCCTGGCGCGCGAGAGCCACTTCTGCCCGGGGCCTGCCTGGCCCGCGCTCCTGGCGACCTGTGGGGTCCGGGTCCGGGCCCAGCAACAGGCCTCCCGCCCCTTTTCTCTGCAGGTGCCACGGCCTGCACAAGCCGGGCACCACGACCAGGACCCCAGCCAGCGGCCAGCCGCTGCTCTCCCGAAGCCCCCGACCGTCCCCCCGGGGCCCGGGCCATGGGCGCGCGGTACCTCTTGTCCAGGGCCTGCATGTGGTTCTGGTTCTGGTTCTGGGGGCTGGGGAGCTGCAACGAGGAGGAGGCTGAGCCTCAGCGGGGCCGGGGGGTCTGCCCGCGGGTGGGCCGGGGCCAGCTTACCTCCAGGGCCTCCTTCTCGGGGGCCCGAGCCGCCTGGGGCAGGTCCTGTTGAAGCTTCCTCAGCTCTGCGTCCTGCAGCTGCATGCAGGCCCGGAGCCGCAGCGTCTCCCGGAGCAGGCTCAGCATGGCTCGCTCGCAGCGGTCCCTGTGTCCCCGCAGGGACGCCACCTCGGCCTGCAGGCCCGCCACCCTGGCCAGGGCGAGGAGCAGGCCGCGTCGGGCCGCGCGTGCCGGGGGGGGGGGGGGCGGGCCCCCCCCCCCCCCCGGCTCCACACCGGCTCACCACTGCTCTAGCTGCTTCCAGCGCGTGGGGGAGTCCTGCTCAGGCACGGTCGTGGTGGATGCCAGGCGGCTGGACTCATACCTCTCGGAGATCTCCTCCAGACTCAAGAGCCCGGGGCTGGTCAGCCCCTCCTCCAGGGAGAGCTCCAGGTCCCCCAGGGTGATGGTGCTCGTCTGAGACGGGGGCGAAGCCCCAGAAGAGGGGTCGCTAGCAGCCAGCTCTCCAAGAAGGTGCGCTTTGGGCCAGTGAAGACTCCGGTGCAGCTTAGAACAGGGACTCAAATCCCTGTCCACGGAGCTCAGGGTCCACTGAGCTCACCTCCACCCGCCCCGCTGAGGCACCCAGCCCAGCCCCGGGAGGGCTCAGCTCTCGCTGCCCCACAGCAGGGAGCTCGAGCTCAGAGACACCCAGACCCCTGCCTGAGAATACACAGCACTAAGTGGCAGGAACAGGACAGCGCTCTGCCTGCCCAGCTCCAGAGAGAGGCCCCAGGCAGTGAGGCGGCTTGAGGGGTCAGGGATTCGTGCCGTCCTGGGTGGCCCACATTCCCATCCTCCTGGCTCAGCCCCCAATGGTGCCACGCTCACCCAACACAGCTTCACCACGGAGTAGCCACTCAGAGGCCCCGGGCCTCACCCCCCACGGCGCCCAGAGCGGGGCACCAGGGCAGCTGGATGGGGGCAGGGGAGGTCTGGGGGAGCACCTGCCCTCACATCTCTCCTTCAGAAACAATACTAGGGTAGGCAGACCTGCAGAGCGGCAAGGGCTCTTCCGGAACCATCTTCCCTCACCGGAACCGTGGGACTTCAAGGCCCAACTGCCAGTGGAACCCGGGCCCTCAACTCTCCTGGCGAGGCCCTCCCAACTGCCTGGTCCGGGAAGACCCGAGGGGGCACCATTCAGCCAGCCAGGACAGGGACTGGCTGCTGGCCTGTGGGCCAGGAGCAGGAGACCCCAACGGGCCCAGGTGGGAGGGACAGGCAGGGCCATCTCGGGCCAGCTGCTGAGCAGCAGGCACCCAGGACAGAACAGGCGGAGGCATGCCACCGGAGCAGGAAGGGGTGCGGGGTGCGGGCTGCTCGCCGCCTCCAGGTTCCTCGCGGCCACAGCAAGAAAGCAGACAGACAGATGCGGTGTTTTCCATAGTGCGCTTTATTTCATCCCACGTGGGGAAGGCGCAGCCCCTTCAATGTGTCATCAATGCAAACCACGACGTGCACGCTTTCTCACACTAGGTCCTCCCAGCCCGGCTCGGTGCTCCCCCTGCCTGGTCACCCAAGCCCACCCACGAAGAGCACAAGGCGGATGCTCTAAATTCAGCCCCTTGTCCGAGGACCTTTCCAAAGCTGCCATGGCAGGGCCCCGCCTGTGGCCACACCACCCCCCTCACGGCCCAGAGCGGCGTCCAGACAAGGGCCCAGGGGCAGGAAACTGCCACACTGGCCGTGCGGCCATCCGGTGGCCGGTGCCAGCACACCCCGTAGGCGCGGGCCGGCCACAACTGCTTCTTCACGCGTGGGTTTCTGCGTCTTTCCCTCCTCCCTCCCCGAGGGGTCCCTGCACTGCACGTCCAGGAGGCCCCACCCGAGACGCCCCCACGCAGGGGCCCTGCAAGCCCCCCAGTGCTGGGCCGTGGCTCGTGCTGGGCAGGAACGAGGAGGCCGGCTGTGGCTGGGAGGGTATGATTCCTTTATTTCTCCCTCTCAAGGCCCCCGCACTCACCCCACTGCGTCCCCCAGGGGGCTCCCACCAAGAAGAGACAAGCTTTCTGAGGCCCCGCTCCCTTGAAAGGGCCCAGAACCAAGGTGAATTGCCCCCCGCCCCATCCCCAGCTACCACAATGTCACCCATGTCACCTAGTCTCAAGCAGGCCCCAGGAACACACGACACCAGATCTGCCCCACCTAGGCCGGGAGGAGCACAGCATCCCGGCTCTGGGCTCACCCACCCATCCCCAAGCCCACCCACCCCAGGCCTGGAGCACAAGCCCCGATCCAGGGAGGCTGTGGGAGCCCCCATGCGCTCCGAGAGCCTCTCTCAGTGCCGTGCGCTCCGGTGACAGCTGTGGATCTGGACCGCAGCTCGGGGTGACAGAGGCGTTTGCCCCGTGGATGTTCTCAGCTTTCTCTCTGGCCGAGACCCCAGAGGGGCCACGTGGTGAGTGTGGCAGAAGAACTGAACTCTCTCCAGAGCCGGCTACAGGGTCCGTGGCCTGGGGGCCCCGCCTCCAGGCGTCCAGCCGGGGACTCTGCCAGACAGGGTCCAGTGCCCAGGCCCATCACCTCATCGTCACAGAACGAGCCGAAGGGACAGGGCCACGGGTCTCTGTAGCAGCCGCGCGTCACCCGGGCCCCAGCTGGTGACGCACAGCGTGGTCCTTCTGGGCCGGCCCGCAGGGGGGCGGACGGCGCACAAGCAGCAGATGGCCCTGCCCTGAGGGCCGGCAGCACTGGGACCCACGGGGCCCGGCTCGCTCACGCTCTCACAGGCGCACACACACAGACACACACGCGTCCCGAGGAATGGGGGGGACGCTGGGTCCACTGCTGACCCGGGGAGTGAGGTAGGGGCCCCCGAGAGGGACTGAGGCCTCACGTCTGGGCCAGGGAGAGCTCCTCAAGACCCCCCTTCCCGAGCCGGTACCTGGCTAGGTCTTTCCTGGTCACCAGTCCAACCACCTGTGGAAGCAAAACCACGTCAGTGACACTGGTGACCCTGTACCTCTGGGGAAGCCACTGCCCCACGTGCCGGGGGCCAGTGCAGTGGGGGGGACCCCAGAATCGGGCATGTGGCCAGTCTGGGTCCCGAGCCTGGAGTCCCCCCCGAGAGCTGAGAGCACCTGCCCACCCGTGAGCGGGGCAGGCAGGTCAGGAGGCGAAGGGCGAGCCTGGCACCCGGGCCCGGCGCAGCGCCCGCTCGGCCGGCGTCCCCGCCGCTTACCTGGTTGCAGTTGTCTACCACCACCAGGTGCCTGAGGCCCAGCGCGCGGAACAGCTTGAAGACCCGAGGGAGGGACGCTTCCTGCACCGGGAGGTGGGGCCTCAGTGGGCTGCGGGCTCCGCCCACCGGGAAGAGGCTGGCTGGGGGCTCCCCCTGCACATCCGCCCCCCAAGACGGGTCCTGGGGACGCCCGGGGGGCTCAGTCAGTCGAGCGCCCAACTCTTGATTTCAGCTCGGGTCACGATCTCGCGGGTGCTGGGTCTGAGCCCCGTATCGGGCTCTGCCCGGACAGCGCAGGGCCTGCTGGGGATTCTCTCTCTACGCCCGTCCCTCGCTCGCTCGCTCGCTCGCTCGCTCTCTCCTCTTCCTCCCCTTGCGTGCTCGGGGTCACGCTCTCTCCCAAGATAAACGTAAAGAAAACAGCGCGAGACAAGGACGGGGTCTGGGCGGCTGCGCGCGGGCACCTGGGGCACCGTGTAGGGCGAGGGGTTCATGAACTCCGAGAGGTCCACGGTGCACCCACGCTCGTCCTGCGACACGTGGATGGACTGGATCGGGGGGAAGCGCGGGTACGCGTCCCGGAAGTCCTTGAGCCGAAGCCGCCGCCGCACCAGGCCCATGCTGGAGCGCTCCACGAACACCTGCGGGCGGGGGCGGCGGTCAGGGCGCGGTGCCCGGCGGCGCGCCCCGCCCCCGCTGCCCCAGGTGCCCGGCGGCCACCTTGTGCTTCAGGAGGACGATCAGCTGGGAGCGCAGGACCAAGCCTCGGAGCCGGGCCGGCTGCAGAGAAGAGGCCCGGCTGTGGTTGAGGCCGGGCCCCAAGCCCCTTCCTGCCCTGCTCAGCGGCCCGGTGGCGACCCTCAGAGGCGGACACTGCCCCGCCGCAGGCACCGCCACTCTGCAGGTTCCCGGGAGCGGCCCCGGGGCGCCCACGGGAACGGGCGACAAGAAGTGCGCCGCGGCCCGGAAGCCCCGGCTGCTCCTGACGGGTCACCCCCGCAGCTGTTCAGCCGACGGGGCAGGTCGGGGTGGGAGCCCGAGACACGCGGACAGGCCGTCCCCCTCGGCCCGGTGACTCCGTTCCGTCGCAGCCAGCAGGGCGGAGCCTGCAGTGCCCGGGCGGCATCTCCACCCAGGTGGCGCCTCCCCACGCACACCTGTGGCAAGGAACGTGGCCTCCAGGAGGCGGCCCAGGAGCCACGGGCCGTGTGGCTGTGCGGGATGCCCTGGGTACCTGGCTGTCATCGGCTAACTCCACGACGGGGAAGCCGTTGTGGTTGGAGGCCGTGTTGCTGAGGACGTCCACGATGACGCCCACCTTCTCCCTCCTCCGCAGGCAGATGACCGGCGTGCTCATCACCTCCCTGGGGAAGAGCGGCTGCTGAGGCCTCACCGCAACCAACCGCGGGGCCAAGGGGAGCGTCCACTCGCTCTTCACACGGGAGCGGACGCTCTGAAGGCAGGCCGCTGCCGGCCGCGGAAGACCGGGGACCAGGGGCACACAGATCCCCAGTAGCTTCCCTGGGAGCGCCAGCCTGGGGCCGGCTGCCCAGACAGAGCCGCCCAGGCACTCGGATACGGGCCCTCCCAAACCGCCGGGAGTGTCCACAGCGCCAGCGTACCTGGCAGTGAGCGAGTGTGAGGTGACAGGGGCCTCCCAGTGCAGGAAGGGCACGCTCTGCAGCTGGATGTGCATGTCATACAGGCCCTGAGGACGAGCAGACTGCTGGGGTAGGGGCTCCGCCAGCCCCTCCCTCCCCCTCTGCTGCACACCCCCCCCTCCCCGGGCTCGGGCTCCCGGCCAGCGGCATGGGGGGCCCACAGAGCAAGGGGAAGGACACCAGACAGGCCTCTTCCCATGAGCCACACCTCGATGAAGACGTCCCCCACGATCTTGGCGGTCATCAGAACCAGCATGATGGGGAAGCCATATGTCACGTTGCTGGTGGCCTCCATCATGATGACAGTCAGGCTGAGTGTCATCCTCACGATCCCACCTGTCCGGGGATCGAGGGTAGTGTCCAGCCTCTGTGGCCACATGGCCTCCCCCACCTGCCCGTCCCATCCATCCGTGTTCTCTGTGCATGCCGGCACCCCCCACCCCCTGCCACCATTTACCCTCATGGGGTGGGGACCGTGACCCCGTACACTGAAATGGAGGTAACTCCTGCCCTTCACTGCTCCAAGGGGAAGACGCTCCCCCCCCCCATCTTGTGATGCCCAAGTGGAGGCCAGGACTCACCCAGCTGGGCAGCCGCTCCCATCAGGGCATATTTGCCAGGGTCCGCCCAGATCTGTGGGGACGACAGAGGAGGGTCAGGGGGCAGCAACCCCCTACTCAAACCTGCGGAAATGCGTGACCCCACCAGAGACCACTGGGCCCAACAACTGATTCCAATCCTAGAAAAAAACCTAAAATTTACAGACACGTGTACAAAGCGGTCTGCAGTAGCACCCAGGGGGACCAAAGCCTGGAAGTACCCTGGGGGCGCCCTGCTCGGGGCGCCCGTGTGACCTAGGCCGTCTGCACACAACGGACAACTCGGCAGCTACGAAAGGGACCCCTCTGGTGTGCGTAAGAGGGATGGCGGCGCCCAGCCGCATGCAGCAGGCGGACTGCACCACGAGGGGGCAGAGAACCCAGCACATGCACAGCACGGAGGACACAGGTGATGCCACACGGCGTGAGACTCCACTCAGGAAACACCAAGGACACGTGGGTGTGCCGACGTGGGGGGCAGTGGCTGCCCAGGGGCACAGGTCTCCTGGGGTGAGGGAGGTCGCGTGGCACTCGACAGTGGTGGCTCGTACATGAGCCCACGAACACGCCATCGAATGCTGAACGGCAGGCTTCCAAGGCTGGGGGGGGGACGCTGTTCCAAGGCCAGGGTGGGGGGGGCTGGTGGCACGTGACACGCAGGGCCTGGGACAGGGAGCAGCGGGGGAGGGAGACACTCCCTGCCCTTCTCACGGTTCTTAAAGCCTCACGTGACTAAAATGAGAAAAAAACCCACAAAAAAACAAAACCCAAGTTCCCAGAGGCCGGGCACATGTGCCTCGGTCACGTCGGCCAGCGCCTGTCCTCTAACGGGAAACACCGAGCCCCCGCCCCCGATGCGCGTCTGTGCAGCGCACCTTCCGGCGGCCACGCCGACAGCGCGGGTCAGACGCCAGCAGCCGGGAGCCTGCAGGCCGAGCGGAAGGCGCTGCTTCCCCTGCGCTGGGAGCGCACACTCACCGCGGCCCCGGTGAGGTAGGACAGGGAGATCCCGAAGAGCCGGCCCCAGGCGGCCCCGATGAGCAGGGACGGGATGAAGACGCCGGCAGACACCGTGAGCCCGTAGGTCCAGCAGGCCAGGAAGAAGTAGACCAGGGTGAAGAGACCCAGCGTCATGGGGTTGTAGGAGCCTAGGGGAGACGGGGCTGGCCAGGGCCTGCTGCGTGGGCTCGCCCAGAGCGCCTCCTGCGCACGTCCCGGCCCCCAGAAGTCTCCCCATTCTCAGGGGCCAGAGCGTGGATCTTGGAGGCCCAGTCCTCAGAGGCAGGAATGACGGCCACCTGGCGGGCGGGGCTCAGGGCCACCAGCACGACCATCATCCGAGGCCAAGGGCAGGTGGCCGCAAAGGGCTGTGTGCAAACAGCTGGCACCACAGTCGAGACCACTGGGTGTCGGGGGGAGGGAGGCCCAGCAGACGACTTCTAGATGCCGGAAGTACCGAAGCCTGGAGACCACTGACCCGGGAGCCTGGGGCCACCCGTGTAAGGTTTTCTGTTAAATTGTGGGGATTTCTGGGACACACGCACAGAACCGTAAAAACTAGAACATTCTCAGCAAACTCGTGTGTGACAGGAAACAATCAGGGATGACCTAAAAGATGCCCAAACAGAAAACAGGAAACGATGGCATAGACCAGCAGCACGGCTTCCACGGGTGCGTACAGCAAGCACTCTCACGGGCCTGTGTGCTGCGTGCAGAGCGGTCTGTGTTCAGAACCTTTTTTAAGTTAAAAATGCGTGTGATCTGAGGGACGCCTGGGTGGCTTAGTCGGTTAAGCATATGACTTTGGCTCAGGTCATGATCTCATGACTGGTGGGTTCGAGCCCCGCGTCGGGCTCGGTGCTGACAGCTCAGAGCCTGGAGCCTGTTTTGGATTCTGTGTCTCCCTCGCTCTCCGCCCCTCCCCCGCTCATACTCTCTTGAAAGAAATAAACGTCAAAAAAAACTGTGCGCGGCTGGGGGACCCAGCTGGCTCAGGAGGAGCCAGGACTCGATCTCAGGGTTGATTTTTTTTGTTTGTTTGTTTTTGACATTTTATTTATTTCTGAGAGAGAGAGAGAAACAGTGTGAGCAGGGGAGGGTCAGAGAGAGAGGGAGACAGAATCTGAAGCAGCTCCGGGTTCTGAGCTGTCAGCACAGAGCCTGATGTGGGGCTCGAACCCACAAACTGCGAGGTCATGACCTGAGCCCACGTTGGACGCTTAACTGACTGAGCCACCCAGGTGCCCCTCGATCTTGGGATTGTGAGGTGGAGACCCATGCTGGGTGCAGAGACTACTTTTAAAATAATAAGACCTTAGGGTGCTTGGGTGGCTCAGTCCATTGGGCATCCGACTTTGGTTCAGGGCATAATCTCACCGTTCATGGGTTCGAGCCCCCGTCCAGCTCTGTGCTGATGTTCGGAGCCTGGCGCTGCTTCGGATTCTGTGTCTGCCTCTCCCCTACTCACACGCTGTCTCTTTGTTGCTCTCAAAAATAAAGATTAAAAAAATAATAATAAGATCCTAGAAAACAGAACTGCACATGGCTGAGTGAGGCTGGGCCCCAGCGCTGGCCACCAGGCTTGGGGAGAGGCCTGTGCGAGCAGGGCCCATGAAGAAAACACCCTGGGGACGGGAATCATGACCGTCGTGACCCACGAGGGCAGCCCCAGCAGCCGCCCTACACGAAGGGAAGAGGCCTGGCCAAACTCCTACACACCAGTGTGCCCACCACTGCGGCAAGGGTGGTGACCTCTGCCCTTGGGGCACGGCTGGCCAGAAGGTGACACCCAGGCCCCGGGCCCGGTGACGGCGGGTCAGTCGGAGAGCAGGTGGGAGGCACACACCTGGAGGGTCGTGGAAAAGGCTGACCACGCTCTTCTCGGGGGTGTTGAAGAAGGCCGCGGCCATGGAGTTGTACTCGCCGTCCGCACAGAAGAGCTGTGAGGGTGGAAGACGGACGGGCCGGTGGGCCCACCACCTGAGGGCTGGGGCGGGCCGCGGGCCGGGGTGGGGAGGGGCGGGCAGGACGCAAAAAGCCAGGCCCAGGGACAGCCAGGGCTCCAGAGGCAGGTGCAGCCTGCAGGGGCCAAGTCCCGAGGACACGGGCACGCGAGGACTCCGGGCATACCTGAGCTCGCTCCCAGGCCTCAAGAGTCGGGCCACCTGTGTCCTGCTGCCCGCGGGTCCGGGCGCCCCGGGTGAGCACAGCTGTGGTTCCCAGAGGCCCCACCCGTGGCGGGAGCCGGCTCGGGTGGCCAGAGCCAGTCTCGGGAAGCCCAGACCTACGCCTGGGACACGTGCTCCTAGCCACCCCCACCCCCACTGGTGGCCACTCCCTGGCGCCTCCCCCAGCCCCAGGCCACCACCAATCTGCTCTGTCTCCGTGGCTCTGTCTGTCCTGGAGGTTTCACATATGGGGCATCACACACCACACAGGCCTTTGCGCCTGACTTCTCTCCAGTGTGTTTTTGAGGTCCCTCCACGCTGTCCCGTGTGTCAGCCCCCCCCCCCCATTCATGGCCAAATAAACCCATTTACGGCAAACTGTTGTGCCAGACACTTGGGCTGTGGCCGTGCCGCAGCGAGAACGCGGACGGGTGTCTGTGCTTCTCAGGTCCACACCCACGAGGCCCCGCTTCGGAAGTCCCCGCGTGGCCCCCGCGGGCTGGCGTTCCGGAGGAGGACCAGGGAGACCCCGTCTGACAGAACGCCGCGCCCTGAAGCCCCCGCGAGCCCCGAGTCTGGCTGCACGAGGCCCTGCTGAGGAGCCTGGGCCCCTACCTGGAGGGGGTAGGACACGGAGCTGCCCTGCAGGGGCTGGCAGTCCCGCGAGGAGTAGATCAGCACGAAGGCGACGGTGGCTGTGACGGCAGCCACCAGCATGGCCTCGATCACCTGAAGGCAGGGCCGGTGGATGTACCTACAGCAGACAGCGGGATGCACAGGGCCTCGACAACGGGAGCCCGAGGCCCAGGAGAGCCGTCGCGGGACACCGCGGGGCGACAGCGGGCTATGCCGGGTCATCTCCCGGACGCTCCGCAGCCACACTTTGAGTCTGGGCAAGACGACAGGAAGGACGGCGCGCTTCCTAGAGCCCCGGCCCCGCCCCAACGTGTCAGGAAACCCGGGAGCTCCCAGAACCGCCCCGCAGCTCTGCGGGCCCGCGGCGCCCGGGGTCGAGACGCCCGGATGGACCAGGCCGAGGCCAAGGCGAATGGCTGGGAGGAGCTCGACCCCAGGGGCCCCTGCTGGCCTGCAGCCAAGCCCAGCCTCGCCAGCGCCCGGCTAGCACTGCCTGTCCCCTCCCGTATAACCCCTCACAGAAGGACATACGTCGGCACACGGCTTTCCGAGTGGCCCTGGGGCACAGGGCCCACAACATATCCCTCTTCAAAGGCCCCAGAGCCACACTGGTCAATTTGAGGCACAAAGCAGAGATTTCTCACCTGATTCGAAACATCGTCAGCCAGTAATTCAAGGCATTGAACACGGCCCCAAGGATACCACCTACGACCAGGAAGGGAGAGCACGTAAGGGACACGGGGGAGCAGCAGAGGCACCGGAAGGGGGGGTGTGTGCGTGTGCGTGTGCGTGTGTGTGCACCCTGGCAGACGCAATGGCTTGTTTCTCAGAGGCTTTGCTTTCCTTCCAGGGAAAGATTTTTCAGAGCAGAAAATGCCACCCACAGCTTATTCTACTTCCTTGCAGACCCAAACCCCCAAACCCAGGGGCTTCTCTGGTGGAGAGGTAAAGCTCGGTCTTCAGGGTGTGGGCTCCCTCCCGGAGGTGTGTGCACAGGGCAGGACGCAGCAGGATCCTGGGGGTGGGGGGCTGCACTCCGCTGCGGCCACCTCAAAGCTGGGCCGGGCCTGGGCTCTGGCAGACCTTGACCCCACAGGAAGGCGCCCGCCACCATCTGGGGAGGGCAGGAAGCACGGGCCGGCTCTTACCCACCACGCCCATGGCGATGAAGATGGGGATCTCGTGGATCGTGTACACCATCGTCTGCACAGGGGAGAGAACGAGCACCCCATGAGCCCCCTCCAGGTAGATGCTGGCACGGATGTGGCCCACAGTGCGCTCGTGAGCACGGGGGCCCCAGCACTTGCACGCAGAGCCGTGGGGGTCCCACGGGACAGAAACGTTGGGTGTTCTGAGCAGATCAGTAAATGACACTCCCACTAAGGCTTTTGCCTGCTGCTGCTCTGGGTCTCCGTCCAGCTGAAGGCGGGGACGTGCCGAGCTTTTGCCAAACGGCGGTCAGAGGGGCACAAGCTCCGAGGAAGCGCCCTGGGTCCTGGGAACTCGTCTCGTGGCCCTGAGCTACCCAGGGCCTCCTCTGCGTCCACATGCGCGGCCCCTCCTGGGAATCGCGACTCAGCGCACTTGTCCGCAGTCCAAAGACTGCCAGGACGCCCCCGGGAGAGCCCGCCAGGTGTAAGGCGTCCTGACCTGACCAACAGGCCACGCGGGTGCTTTCCTCACACCCCCGACCCCCGCACTCAGCTTCACTGTGCGGCTAAAACCAACTGCTTCCCAAAAGTCCACATTCCCAGGATGAACCATAAGTAAATGATCTTGGCCCCACGCTGAGAAAGAACCAAAAAGAACACGAGAGCACATTTATTACCTCTGTGTCAAATCTTCCAAAATTGATAAGCCCCGGGCTGGACAGGTCCCACACGTTGCCATGGTAGATGCTCAGGACAAAGTTCAGGGTGAACGTGGAGATCATGGAAGCAAAGAACTGCAGGCAGAGCACGAGGCCTCAGATCCAAGCCCGGCAGCCACAGCCCCGAGGCTGGGGGGCTGGGCAGGGCCTTGCCGTCACTGAGGAGGTGCCTGGACACCCTCCCAAGGCGGCCATCGTGGCTGGGCGAGTGGCTCACAGCCTCGTGTGGATGAGTGTTGGGGCCACACCGGTGATGGAGCCGAGGGACGAGGTGTGCGGGATCTGGGGGTCCTGACAAGCGGGAGAACAGGGTGCAAACAAGGCCCGTGGCTGACGGCGGACGGCCAGCGGCTCAGGTCAAGTGACGGGCAGGGCCGAGCATAACAGATCCACAGAGCACACGGCTCCAGCAGCGCGACACGGAAGCCTCAGGGGCCGTCTCCCCTGGAGCCGGGGCCCAGCCAGGCAGCAGAGGCCAGGGACCGGCACTGCCTGACGTCGGTGAGGGAGCAGCCCTGTGCAGACACTTACTATCCTCCACGTCAAGAACTGGTTCCAGAAGGAGGCCCCCTCCTCCAAGCTGAACAGGACCCCACCTGGAAGGCAAGCAGCCCAGCACTGCCGTGCTCACCCAGACCCCAGGGGGTCCCGCGAGACCCCAGGGCCCTGAGACCGTGCCCACCCTCACCCCGAGCCGGGTCTGCAGATGCCAAGACTCCCCCTCCGCACAGTGGGCACGGTGGCCTCCCCGGTAAGGGCCGTCCTCCTCACCCACAGGGGCTCCAAATGCAGCGGACACTCCGGCCGCGGCTCCTGCCGAGACGAAGTCTCGCTTCTCCGTGTCTCTGCGGAAGTACTCGAAGATCTGCAGCAGGGAGAGACGGGGCGGAGGGGCTCAGCTAGCCTCCCCGAGGGCACCGCACCTAGACGGCGCCGAGGGCAGCCAGAGGCCACGAGCCAGGGCCCGACGGAGAGGGAAGCAGGGAGCAGGGGACTCGAAGGCGTCCCTGGACAGCCATCGACTTGCATTCACACAGATCACAGAGCTGCCGAGGTGACACACGCTGAACGCGCCCTTGCACACCAATACTGCGAGAGGGGACCGGGGACACCCATTCGCAGCGACGACGACACGTCAGTCGGCCTAAGAGACATGCGAGAGACTTGAAACCGCACCGAAAACCATGAACAAACAAACTGAAAACACGTGGACTTAAAAATAGAAGCGTCTCCTGCTGAAAAAAAACCAATGTCGGAATCCGCACGTCAACTCAGCGTGCTACCCTTTACAACGTGGTGCTTTCAGGGGAAAAGTGACAAAGTTGCTCTGAAACAGATCCCGGAATTAAGCCTCTTCAACACGTCCACGAGTCACTCGTGCCTCCGGGTCCCGCCTGCCTTGGGGACGGTGGCGGGGGCCCCAGGTCCAGGCGGAGCCTCCCGGGCAGGCCTGGTCGCCCATGTCAGGAGCAGAGGACTCACCTTGAAATCTCTCTTCAGCGACGTTGACCTCCCCTGGGAAATCCCGGCGGCGATCACAGAGCCCGAGTGAATCATCGGCCCCTCCTGGAAGCATGGCACAGCCGCCCTCAGACAAGCGTGGCTCCAGAGAGGACACCCTGGCCTCGGGGCGCAAGCTGAGTGCAGGGGCCTCGGGCTAGGGCGGCGCCACACCCGCTCCTTACCTTTCCCACTGCCAGGCCACCCACCACGGACAGGATCACTCCAGACACCTTGATCACGAGGGTCTAGAACACAAGGCAAGATATGTTGAGTCTGATTAAAGGCCACGCAGTCTGATTAAAATCCTGTGCAGAGCTGCAAACACAAAGCGACCCCAAGTACATGTCCAGCCCCGGCCCCACGAGAAGGCCGGCGGGGAGGCCCCCACACCACAGCGTACTCGTGTGTCCTGGGAGCAGGCGGCAGCGGGCGTGGTTCCCCTGGGCAAGCCCACGTGCATTCTTCTGCTGGCCACCTGCCAGGGACGCCGCCCACTGCCCGGCTACCAGTGCGGGCGCAACAGGGCAGAGGCCGCTCCTGGCGGCTCCGAGGAGGTGTCGCCCCCAGCGCACAGCTGCCGCCCCCAGGAGCACCCCTCTCTCCGGACGGCGTGGGATACCTTTGACTGAGGCAGGCCAACCAGACACCTGGAAATGACCATGGAGGAACCACGCTCCTGAGCCCCCCAACCTCCTCAGAAATGGGGTTTCAAGAACACTCAGCATGACAGACGCTAAGGACAATTTTAAGAACAAGAAAAGCGTCTCAGCAAGCGTAGCCCCCACTCTAACGTACCCGCGTGCAGAACTCAGGACACTGCCGTGACCCTGACAGATGCCCCGTTTCAGCCTATGTGCAGGACTTAAAATGCGTAAGAGAAAGCGTCACCGCCTCCCAAAGCAGATGACGTGGAACCTGTGCGCACGCTCGCGGCAGCACACTGAGTACATCTGGGCGAGTCCCCGGGTGCGGCGGGCAGGCCGGGAGCTCCCGACCCCATGGAGGACCCCCCCCCAGAGCGCCTGCTCCCAGCCTCGGGCCTCACCTTGAGCCGGACCACGTGCGGGATCTTTACCCCGTTGAGGAAGCACTTGATCTGGGGGATCCCGCTGCCAGCGGCAACTGGCTACAAGCAGACAGAGGCCAGTTCTCAGCTAGGGGTGAGGCACCACGGCTGCCACCGGGCCCAGGAGGACACGGCCCCACGGGGCCCGACGTGCGGGATAGCCGTCCATGAAGGGCTTCCTGCTCCTCCCCCAGGCAATGACCGCTGGGGTCAGCAGACCATGAGAGGGGTCGGGGAGGGAGAGGAACGGAGGGCCCAGGAGGCCACAAGGGGTGGGGGACGCAACAGGACAGACAGGAGACAGGCCACACCCCAGCTGAGGGCAGAGGGCAGGGGTGCCACTGCACAGCACCCCAGATAGAAGCTTCTGGATGCTACACCCCATAACAAGGGAGAAGCAGAGGAGGAGGTGGAGGAAGACAAGCTTCTGAGAGAAGCAGGGGACGCTCCCCCCCAGGCCAGCCCCACTGTCCTCGCCGCGCGGGGCAGGAATGGCACCCTGGGGCCGGGGGTGACTGGACGTTCAACGCCTGCGCCGGAGGCCCCGGCAGCATGGCCACGCCATTTGGCGCCCCGGCCGCGGCCTCCAGCGGCCCTACCTCCACAAAGGCGACGATTGCGGAGCCCACGAGCACGAACGCAGAGTTGAGCGTGGCCCACAGCAAAAGCGAGAAGGACAGCCCACCCCGCTCCGTGAACTTGTCGATGTCTGGGGCTCGTCAAGGAAGAGAACTCCCTGCTCAGCCCAGCCTCCGGAGCCCTGAGCACCAGGGGCAGCGCGCCGACCGGACTCATCACAGCCCAGCCGTGACAAAGGCCAGCGCGCAGCCACCCCTCCCCACAATGGCACACACGTGGGGCTCCCAGCCTTCACCGCCGGTAGACCCTCCTGTGCTGGGGACCGTGGACAAAGGATACTGTCCTTGACGACCTTGTACTTCAGGCCGGCCACATTCTCCACCACGATGTCAATGAAGCAGGCCACGAGGCCCGTGAGGATCCCGATCAGGGCGCAGATGACCCAGCGCTTCATCTCCACCGTCCGGAAGGCCTGTGGGGGAGGACGCCCATCAGAAGCGGCTGCGCCTGGGAGGCCCCCACTCACAGGCCACCACCCCAAACAGCAGGCCGTGCGTGGGACCCCACTTCCTGGGAGGCGGCCTCTGGTCAACATCTCCGAGGCGGTGGGCCTTCCCAACTGATACAATCAGCAGCTGACACCTTGGGCGCCTGGGCGGAGGCGGCCTCTGTCACCAACATGACATAGCCACACCCCTGCGGGGTCCTGTACTGGCGCCTCTTGCAGAAAAAGGAATGGAGGCTTTAGGATGCGAGGCTGGAGGACGGCGGTCGGGGTGGGAGCAGCACCAGGGCGGCGGTGCGGGCGCCCTTGCACACTCACCGTGTGGTTGATCCGTCGCTCCTCTTCCAGGAAGAGCTGGTTCTCGCTGTTGTCGTAGTCCAGGCTCTGCAGGGCCAGGGCGGCAGACACCACCATGCCTGACCCCATGCTCCAGAGTCACAGGGCGGGGGCGGGGCCTGCTGCAGGGCGGGCCCAGGGGCTGCAGGGGCGGGGCCTGCCGCGGGGCGGGGCCAAGGACTGCAGGGGCGGGGCCAGGGGCTGCAGGGGGCGGGCCCAGGGGCTGCCGGGGGGGGGCCCAGGGGCTGCCGGGGGCGGGCCCAGGGGCTGCCGGGGGCGGGCCCAGGGGCTGCGGGGCGGGGCCAGGGGAAGGAGGCCCACCTCGTACTTGAGGGACAGGAGCTTCTCATTGTGAGGGATCTCCTTGGGGAGCGGCTGAGGGGGCTCCAGGTCCTGCAGGGGAGATGCAGAACCACAAACTTGACAACCCAGCACGTTTAAGAAGAAACCACGGGGGGGGTGGGGGGCGCCTGGGTGGCAGTCAGTTAAATGTCCAACTTCGGCTCAGGTCATGATCTTGTGGTTTGCGGGTTCGAGCCCCGCGCCGGGCTCTGTGCTGACAGCTCAGAGCCTGGAGCTGCTTCGGATCCTGTGTCTCCCTCTCTCTCTGCCCCTCCCCTGCTTGTTCTCCTTCTCTCTTGATCTCTCAAAAACAAACATTATTAAAAATTTTTTCTTAAGATAGAAAGCACAAATGAGAAGGGGAGGCGACACATGCCCATCCGTTCCATGAAGCCAGCAGTCTCTGGACCCTAAAGCCGGACGAGGGTGCTACAAGACAGGAGAGCACAGGCCCCTGAGAATGCAGACGCCGAGTCCCGGACAAGGAAGCGGCACACTGGGCCCGTCGGCTCCCCGGCCAGGGCCAGTTTATCCCAGGGACACAAGGCTGGCCTCCAAAAATCGAGTAACGTCATGTTTGTGGAACCACGGAAAAGACACTATTGGTCTGTGTCCCAGGGGCTGGCACCCAGCTCTGAAATCCCGTGGCCTCTCTGCAGGGTGAGTTTTCTGTGTGCTAGAGAGACAGACGGGGGGCTGGTGCCAGAAAGACCGAGGCTGACAAGAGTGGGAACTCCCTGCTCCACTCCCAGAACTCTGACCTCTGGCAAGGGGGTGGGCGGTACGGGCTGGAGACCTCTGGGCAGGTGAATGGACACGAGGAGGTGCCGGGAGGGTGGCACCCCTGGGCAGGGCCTGGGGGCTCCAAGCCCCTTCCCTGTCCTTTGCGCTGTGCCTCTTCCCTCGTTTCTGAGAGTCACATCCTTCACAATGGACCAGTAAACGTGAGCGAGGGTTTCCCTGAGTTCTGGGAGCCGTTCCAGCCAATTATGGAGCCCAAGGGGGGGGGGCGTGAGAACCCTGACTTAGAACCGGTGGACCAGACGTACAGGTGACAGCCTGGATTTGTGACTGGCGTCGGAAAGGGGTGGTCCTGTGGCGCTGGGCCCTCAGCCCGGGGGTCCGTGCTGACACCCAGTGAGAGCGTCAGAACTGAGGTGTAGGACACGGGTTGGCATTCGCAGAGAACAAGAGACCTGTCTGGCACGGAAAAGCCACACACTCAGGTCGGAGGCGCTGTGAGTGAAACCGCTTCAGCGCCGCTTCCACAGGATAAAGGACAAAATGCACATGGTACCTCAGTAAATTCAGAAAAAGCATCTAATAAAAATGCAACGCTCCTTTGTGACAAAAATACGTCGCAGAGTAAGAGAAAGGGGCCCCCTCGACCCCGTCAAGACGTCAGTCACCAGCCTCGATGGTGAAGGGCTGAAGCTTCTCCCGGACGGTCAGGGAAAGACAAGGACGCTCGACAGCACCCCGGAGGCTCCGCCAGGGCCGTCAGGCCGCAAGAGACAGAAGGCACCAGAAGCGGGAAGGAAGAAATGAAACTCTATTTGCGGATGACGTATTTTGTATACACAAAGTCTCAAAAACAAACAAACCCTAAAAAAGTACTAAAACCAGTGACGCGTTCAGTAAGATTTCTGAAAGGTACGGGATGAGTACGCAAACATCAAATACGTCTCTAGCTGCCCGCGATGAAGCACCAGAAATAAAATTAAGAAGATTCTACTTACGCCGTCACCAAAAAGACAATAAATGAAGTGAAATTTGTCCCCTTAAATATGTTTCACAGAAGAAGCACAAGGCGCGTGTGCTGAAAGCACGACGCGCTATTGGGGGAGGCTGGAGATCGGAACGCGTGGATCGGCACACTGTGCTCAGAGCTCAGAGGACTAAGCACTAAGGAGGAGCGAGTCTCGAGCCGCCCCGGCCAGCATCTTCAAAGACACTGACACGCTTAAAACCCACACGGAAACGCAAAGGGTCGCCAGCAGCCAAAGTGACCCTGAAAAAGGAGAAGCAAGTTGGAGGACACTCACTTCCTAGTTTCAAACTCACACAAGCGCTGTAGTCCACCGGACAGTGTGGCTGCGGCACCAGGACACACACAGGCGTTGGTGGAGACGAGGGAGCCCAGAGCCTCACGTGCACCGCTGGCTTGTGCACATGGTGCCGAGACAGCTCGGGAGGGAAAGGGGATTTTCTGAGAAATGGTCCTGGGGAACTGAACTCCCACACGCAGAAGACTGAAGCTGTACCCTCACCTTCCATCTGACAAAATCAGTCAAAAATAGACTCAAGACCTAAAAGTACAGAACTCTCGAGGCACCTGGGTAGCTCAGTGGGTTGCACACAGATCTCAGCTCGGGTCATAATCCCGGGTTGTGGGATCAAACCCCAAGTAGGGCTCCATGTGGACGGTGAGGAGCCTGCTGGAGATTCTCTCTCTCTCTCTCTCTCTCTCTCTCTCTCTGCCTCTCCTCCACTCATATGCGTGTGCATGTGGGCACTCTCTCTCTCCCCCAAAACAAAATCTTTAAATCATAGAACTCTCAGAAGAAAACACAGGAGAAAATCTTCATGACCTTGGACTAGGCAGCGGCTCCTCAGATAAGGCAGCAAAAGCACAATGACAACAAATACAATCAACTGGAATTCATAAAAATTAAAGAATTCCTGTAAACCAATAATTAAAACACAAACAGCCCGATAAATACGGCAGGGAGTGGGAACAGACATCTCTGCAGAGAAGACACGGATGGCCACTGCCAGCCACCACCAGCCGGCACAGAAACACAGGTCGGGACCACGAGACGCAGAGGAGGAAATCAAAGGCAAGTCTGGGCGCCGGGCGGGCTCAGGAAACACCGGCACCTGCCGGACAGCCAGCAATGGGGGCAGGAGACAAGGACGTCACACTGTCCAAAAGTTCCTCGCCCCTGAGATCCTTGTCCCCAGGGGCCACATCCAGCCCACTGGAGGCCCCTCTCCCCCGTGGGGTGCTGGGTCCCCTGCCCTTTCCCCAGCTGTCCCACGCTCCCACAGGACACGCTGCACTCGCCATCTGCCCTCTGCTAGGTGGCACCTCCACAGGAGGAAGGGGTGGGTGGGGAGAGGTGAACGGGTGGGGAACGAGCCTGCCACTCACCGGGTTGAGCAGCTCATCATCCAGGTCCACGTTGCTCATCTGTCCGATCCGGAAAAATGCCGAACGTGGCGACTGGAAGCATGAGAGACGTCACAGGGTGGTCAGCCACACGAGGTGCCGTCCGCCCCCCCATGGCCACACGAGGTGCTGCCCCCCCCCGCACGGCCACACGAGGCGCCGTCCGCCCCCTGCCCTGCATGGCCACACGAGGTGCTGCCCTCCCCCCCCCGCATGGCCACACGAGGTGCTGCCCTCCCCCGCCACGGCCACACAAGGTGCAGTTGGCCTCCCCTCCCCCTGCCATCACACGGCCACACTGCGCCCAGGCCGCTCGGCCACATGAGGTGCCGTCCAGGCCCCCCTCCGCCACCACCGCACAGTCACGCTGGGCCCCAGAGGCCTGGCCCTCCTCTGCTCTACAGAGACTGCAGACACCTGTCAGCCCCTGGGAGCACAGGCCCCGCCCCATCCATCGTCCCGCGTCCTCTCATCTGGAGACGGAGGCTCTGGCAGGCGGGGACCTGTCACAGGCCTCCAGGCAGGCCCTCCAGACCTAGGTTCAGGGGTGCCTGCACCCCAGGGTGCCTCGGAAGCGGAGCCACGCTCCTGGGCCGGGGGGCAGGTCAGCCAGAGGACACATCGCCAGGCCCGTGGTTGCTCACCCACACGGCCCGGCCACGGCGGCAGCCCGGCCACCACCTCCCAGGGAACGCGTCTCAGGGTGGGGTACGTCACAAACACCACGTGGAACGTACTAGCACCGAAACGTGACTCGTGGCTTCTCTGACGTGCAAATGCGGCCGGGGGCCTGCGCTGCGCCCAGCACAGGGACGAATCGGACACCAGCCCCCCAGCCGGGGTTTGGGTCGCGTGCGGTCAGCGGAGGGCAGATGATCCTCTTCCTGACGGTCAGCAGCCACCCAGCGCTTCGTCATGAGGCGCCACCTCCTCCCGCCGTGTGGTCACGCGGGCGACCTGCCAGCTGCACCCTCACAGGGGCAGGAATGCGCGCACGACAACCGTACGATAGTGAGAGAGACGGGGCGCGTTCCCACGGCCTCTGTGCCAGTGAGTCATTACAAGCGTCCTGTTCCGTCATCCTTACTGCCATCGGTCTCTCACTTCAGTCCCGAGTGCGGGTTCAGGCACCCCGGGGCCCACGCTCACCCCACAGCGGGCCACGTCCCCGGGGGGATCCGTGCCGGGGTGCGGCTGGGCGCTTCCGTCCGCATACCGGCCGCAAGTACCAGCAAAATGGGGCTACTGGCAGAAACATCTGTTTCTCCCTTAAAAACAATCGGTGGCGCCCCCCAAACCACTGAATCCGGTGAGAGAGGCAGGACGGGGCTCTCCGGCCCGAGTGTCAGGCCACCCCCCTGGCCAGCAAGAGACCCCGGAGCTCGAGACAGCCATGGTCAGGAGGCGGCCTCGGCTCCGCAGACGGGACGCGTGTGACCCTGAGGGGCTCTGGGCCATGGCACGCAGCCGCAACCCTGACGGCGGCGACCCCCAGTGCACTTCCTTGGGCGCACGTCCGCGCACGCCAACCAGCCAGGCACACAGGGTGCAAAGATGCGCAGCCCGGCAGCGCAACGCCCGGGCGGGACTGAGAGTTGAAGAGAGAGGCACCTGGAGGCCGAGATCTGCGCCCCGACCCCGACCCGGCACATGGGGCCAAGTACTCACCAGCCATCACGAAAGGAGCTCACTCACAGCAGCAGTCAGCCCTCCGTGACAAGGGGCCCACAAAGCGCTTCCTCTGACGTCTAAATGGTGTGCGGGGGCCGGGCCACCGCCCGCCTCGCCTCGGGAGAGCTGGGCAAGAAGGGACGGCGGGCAGGGCTCCACGCTCAGTGACAGAGGCCGCCAGGCACGCACCGCAGACTGTGCCCCGGCAGAGCGTGCTGGACCCAGAGGGCGTGATGGCGCTGGAGGCGAAACCCCCTGGGCCCACAGCTTCCCCGCTCCTTTCCTGGCCTTCAAGGCTTCTTCCAGAAACAGCTTTTGTGGTGAGAAAAGCCATTTACTTGAAGTTCAGGGATTTATTTGACGCCGCATGTGTCTCTTTCTCTTAAACACGGGGAAGATGACTTCCGAGCTTCTCAAACTACGCACACACACAAAAGCTGGACAGGCTCTCTGGGGCGTGAGGACCCAAGATGACACGCTGTGCAGCCATGCTGACCTGACCCTCTGGAAAAGTCGGGCCTGGGGCACGAGAGCAGGTCGGGGGGTGGGAAGGGTGACGAGAGGCAGGACGGGGAGCCTCGTGCCAACGCACGTGCTCCGCACGGGGACTGTGGCGGTGCTCCCGCGGATGCACACGCGTGACGCACGGCGGGGAAGTGCCCACGGGCCCACTTGGGGTCCTGGTTTCAGCCGCGCTGCCGGGAGGGGGCCGGGGCGGTGGAGGGAATGGGGGCGGGGGGTGAGGAGGCGCACGGACACTCTCTGTGGGGGCTAATCAACTTCCTGTAAATCCATAGTTATTCTTAAAATTTTTAGAGACGGAAGCGCAAACGGGTCCGCGATGTGAGACCAGAGCCTTGGAGCGCCGGACAGACAGAGGGAAGAGGCCGCCTGCAGAGCGGGAGACCCCGGTACCGACGGCACACCCGAGGGGAGGTTACAACCCGAACGCGGAACAGCTCCTGCGAGACAACCATGGGAACAAACCGACTACAGAGTGGGCAGAGGCCGAGTACACGTCTCCAAAGGTGACACACGTATGGCCAGTGTGCACGTGACCACGTACTCGACATCAGCGACCACTAGAGACACGCACATACAAGCCACGAGATGCCAAGCGACGCCTGTCACAACAGCCCCCGTCAAAGCCCGGAGAGCCGTGAGCGTCGGCGAGGGGCCTGAGGTGCCCCCGCCCCATGCACCGGGGTTGCGACACGGGTACAATGGTACAGCAGCCGTGGGAGGCGGCCTGGCGGCTGCTCAGACAGCTCCACACAGGGTGACCACGGGACGCAGCAGCCCCACCACGGGCGTGCGCTGAGAAGAGATGAAAGCAGGGACCTGAAGAGACCCTCGCACACCCCGCTCACAGCACGGTGATTAGGCCACAGGGGTGAGGGGGGTAGGAACCCAAGTGTCCCTTGACAGATAAACCCACTTGGGCCCACATGTGCAAGAAGGAGGTTGATGCTGCGCTGCGCTCCGGCACAGAGGAACCATAGGTGCGTTATGCTGAGAAAGCGGCCACAGCAGCGTGGCCGCACTCACACACAGCAGGGGTTCTGCCCGGGCCTACACACACGGGAAGTAGAGGCTGGGCACTGGGGTGGGGGGACTGGGTGCCAGTTTCAGTTGTGCAAGCCGGCGAGTTCCCCGATGGGCGGCGGGGACGGTTGCACAACGTGAATGCATCTGACACCACCGAGCCGCGTGCTTAAGACGGGGTATGGCGCCAACTCCTGTCCCCCGTCCTCCCTCCGACGGAGAGCAGGTGCCCAAGGCGCGTGCTCCGCAGGGAGGGCACAGCCGCGGCGGCCGGGGGCGCACAGGCAGGGCGCAAACCTGCGGGAGCCTGTGAGGACCGGGCGTGCGGGGTCAGGGGGGCAAGGGGGCCTGCAGGCTGAGCCCCAGCGAGGAGTGAGCGCGCAGAGGGGGCGGCGGACGGCGGGGGGCATGGTCTGGGTGGGAGACTCCCAGGACCTCCTGTCTAGGCCTCGGCCCGGTCCTGTCCCTCGGCTCTCCGGCCTGCGTCCTTAGTGACGGCGGGGGTCTGGCCCACCCACAGCGACCCTGCCTAGACGGCACCGAAGGCAGGAGGGACACGGACCTGGGGAGTCGCCGGGGAGGGCCGTGGGGCAGCCGGCCCGGACCCCCCAAGGTGGGGCCGCGCAGACAGAAAGGGGGAACGGGACGAGGACGCTGAAGCACAGGGACTTCCGGGAGGAAGTGACAGGGTGCCGGGAAGCACCGAGGACAGAGACGGGGGGGAAGGGGCTCCAGGACTCAAGGGGCGGGTGAGGGCAATGGAGGACCCGCCCTGGCACCTGCCCTGCACACCCCGCCCCAGCCCCTGGCACTCTCCGGCTACGGTCCGCGGCCCCAGGTCACCAGGGACGACACGGAGGTGACCCAGCTCCCAGAGGCGATCCCCAGGACCCATCTGCACGCTAACCTGAGGGTCCTGCCCCGCCTCCCCGACCCTACGGTGGTGTCTCAGGCGGAGCCTCCCAAAGCCCAGGTCGCCGGAAAAGGCCTGCGTTTACAAACCCTGCAAACACCCCGCCCCCTGCGCCCGAAGCTTCTGTTTCTGCCTCAGATTTTCCCGCATAACAGTTCTCGAAACACTCCGCTTCCCGCTGGCCACACACGCAATCATGACCTGCGGGCTCGCCACACCCTCCTCTTGTTCCAGCAGAACAGCAGTGACTCGCTGGTAACTCGGCCGCACCCCACGCTCTGGCCCCACGGGTCCAGGGGCTGCCGAAGGGGACAGCAGCCCACAGGTGGCTCAGAACTGCCCGCTCCAGGGCAGAAGGAGGCTGAGCTCAGGCTGGTGGCCAGTACGTCCCGCCCCCTGTGCCCACTCCCCACAGGCACGGAGCCACACTGCACGCACCGCCCAGAGCAGCGGGAGCATGGCAGGTGACGCACGCGCCACAGAGGCACCACCGCCACCATCCGACTCTGGATATGCTGCGATAAACCCCAAGGGGCCAGGGTGGGGTGGTGGCCAAGATAACCTCCCGTGTCTGATTCACTAGAACGTTCCTGCAGGCTGGTCATTGGCCTGGGGTGTCATTTTGGTCCAAATGGCCTTGGACCGAGAGCTGCCGTCTGCCGCAGCGCCAGGGCACCCCTGGGCCTAACGGGGAGCTCAGCCTGCAGGCCCGGAGCAGACCGTCCCAGCAGAAGCCGCCAGCAGAGCCACTCCATAAACAACCACCCAAGGACAGGCACGTCGGCGCCGCTGTGCCCAACGCTAAGACTCCCGAGAGCAGTCGTCACCTTTCCCAGCGTGTGGCCTGCCTGAGGCTCTTGTGCTCATCAAGACTGGAACCAGATGGGACCTCTCCTGTCTTTGCCCCCCCCCCCGCCAGTCCTCACAGAGCAGCGGGCCCGTCTGATGGCACATGGATGGCATGAGCCTGCAGCTAGTTGGCAGGAAGCCACCTCGCACACCTCTGTCCCCGGCACACTGCACACAGCCAGGCACTGGGTTCGTGTGTGATAAATGTCCGTCCTAATTGCTTAAGAGATGCCAGTCTGTTATCGCCTAACACAAATGAACCAAAAATCCTGCAAACGTTTTTTTTGGGGGGAATAGTTTTTTTTTTAAAGATTTCAAACGGCTCTTAAAAAAAAAAAAAGCCAACTCCTGTGTCTATTTGCAAAGGGAAGTGGGAAACCCCAAGCATGCTCACTCTCGAGATAAACCCAAATTCCACCTCAGAGTTTCCAACTTCTTTACCTGTTGACCCTTAAAGCTAGTCTTATGCTTCCATTTCGTAGGCCCCGGGTTACTCTCTTTTAGAAAAAAAAAAAAAAAAAAGAAACGATTTTCCAAGAAGAAAACGATAAGCTATACCCTCCCACCTCCAAACGACCCACTTCAGATCCCTTCTCCTATGGACACAGAGAGTATTTCAACATAAGATTCCCCTCGAAGGGCAGCCATGGGCTTCCGCTGCCTGGTGCATCTCCAGGGACTGGGGTAGAGCAGAGACAAGCCCTAGAGAAAGAGCCGGCGGTTCGGGTCCTTCCTCATCTTTAAACACTGTCCAAATGTTTAAAAGACAGATCTAGAACAAGAAAGGAAAAGCTAAATAGACATAAAAATAGAATAAGAGCAAGCAACGGATAAGATGGGTTCACGAGCCCCAAATCAACATGACACCCATAAATTCGTTTAAAGACCTCACTGCATCGCGCTGTGCTCAACACCCCGCAACCACCCTGACCTGCTTCCAGCGTCTGTGGGCGCGGCCGGTTTCGGTTCACTGCTAAGGGCACCTAGGGAGACACCCGTCGTCCCGAGCTCGCCCTGCGCTGACCCCTGCAGGGGAGGGGCGCACAGAGTTCCCCGCTGCCACCGAAACCCGTGCAGCCGGAAGCTCCCCCACCCCACTCGTCACCGGCCCCGAGCTCCCCCCCAGGACTCCAGCACCCCAGGGCCCAGGATCCAGGCGACGCTGCCATTTTCCAAAGCGGCGCCTGAACACGCTCTGGAAGCGTCCGCGCCTCGGCCGCCCCGTCTCGAGCAGGGGGACGGCCAGACCACCGATGCACCCGCCGCGCTCCGGGCCACCGCCGACCGAGCGCCCCCTCGCCCGCCCGAGCCGCTGACCCGCGACTCGCAGCGGCCGGGCCTGGGGCGCGCCCGGCTCCCGGCGGCAGGGGTGCCGAGGCGCGGGCGCGGGCCCGGGGCTCCCCCGGCGCAGGGTCTCACCTGACGCGCGGCCGCGGGCCCGGCCCCGTTCAGCAGCGGCGCGCCCTCGCCGGCTGGCGCCCCGGGCCGCGCCGTCCTCCGCAGCAGCGGCGCCGCCTCGTCGTCGTCCAGGTCGCGGCCGGACCACGACACTTTCTTGGACACGTTGGCCATGGCCAGCGGCGGCCGGACCGGTCCGGGGAAGCGCGGCGGCCGGGTGTTTGTTCTCGTGACCAGCGCCGCGGCCACGTGACCCGGGGGACCGGTCCACGTGACCCGCGACGGTGGCCGCGCAGGGTCGCGCGCGCGGGGCCTTCTGGGAGTTGTGGTCCCGCGCCGCCCCCGGCGCCTCTCGAGGTGGAGGGGCCTCCGCAGCCGCTGAGGTCGGCGACGAGGGCGCTGCCCGCGCGGGCGCTGGGGGGACCGACGGCGATCCGGCCTTCGAGGACGGATCACGGCAGGAACGGGAAGGAGAGCCGGCTTCCCGCGGACGAGACCGGAGGAAGGGAGAGGAGCGCGGGAGGAAGGACCGGTGGACACCTGGCCGCCGGGCTGCCGGGAGAGTGACCGCTCGCCGGCGCCCGCGAGGCATGTGGCCCCTGTGGCATTGCTACAGAATCACGGGGGGAGTCGCACACACCCTAGCCGGGGGCCTCTGCTAAGCTGCTAGGCAGCTCTGTTCCACAAAGGGCTGGGACTGCCCACTGACACAGGATGGACGCGACAGGGCAGACGAAGGCTCCCGACCGCCCTTACCTCACGGGCACAGCTGGCAAAGCTCGAGTGTGCCCTGTGCGGGGTGGTAGGACAGCCCGGTTCAGTGCCCGAGGCTGAGAGCATTGCCTTGGGGTCACCGCCGGGAAGGTCCTTGTTCTCAGGAGATGCATGACCTATGCAGGTGGATGGCTTGGTCATCCTAACGACAGGTGGCCACTGACAGAGAGGACAAAATGGAGCAGAATGTTGACCTGGTCGGTCTAGGCCGAACACGTATGACGGTGCAATGTATTCGTCTCACAACTTCCGTTTCTTGGGTTTGAAACTTTTTAAAAGAAGAACATGTAAAAAGCATGTTAGAGGGGCGCCTGGGTGGCTCAGCCAGTTAAGCAACCTACTTCGGTTCAGGTCATGACCTCAGGGTTCCTGAGTTCGAGCCCCACGTTCTGCTCTGTGCTGACAGCCCAGAGCCTGGAGCCTACTCCGGATTCTGTGTCTCCCTCTCAGTCTGCTCCTCCCCTGCTTGTGCTTTGTCTCTCTCTCTCTCTCTCTCAAAAATAAACATTAAAAAAAATTTTTAAAACTGTGTTAGAGGCTCTGAGGCTGAGAAGCTAACGGAGCCCTTCCCCCCGAACAACTCAAAATCAAAACTAAAACCAAACTAACAGGAAAGAAATCTCCCCGACAGGGTTTTAAGTTTTCCCCACAATTACTGTGCAACACTCTTTTGGAAATTCTAAGAATACCGTTCTTTTGAAAGACGTGTGTTCTCATTAGCGTCATGTGGCTTTGCCCTTTCTAGTGGTGGACAAGAGCGGCATGGTGGCCCCCAGTTTGTGGCCCAGCGCACGGAGGCTGGTGCACAGCAGCCCCAAGGAGCAGGGAGGGTGGGGCTGGGTGTGTGACCGAGTGGAGGGATGATGGGGTCCAGGCCGCAGAAGTGCTGAGCCATCAAATCCCCCCTATGACCTGAGTCTGCTGTTTCCGGCTAAAGAGGACAAAACGACCCAGGGTTTTGGGTCGCCGCAGGGGCTGGGGCCTGTCCAGAAGCTGGGGCTGGTTTCTCTCTTCCCCACCCGGCACGGGTGACTTTGTCACTGACCCCACGGGGATGGCCAATTGCATGAGATTCACGTCCAGACTGCCTTGCACCAAACCCTGGATGGCTTCCCGTGTCCCAGATTCTCAGTTACCAGAAGCCCCTCCCCCCAGGCTGTCTCAGCCCTGACTCTGCTCTGTGCTCCTGGAATCCCCCTTCCAAGAAGCTTCCCGAATGTGGATGTGACAGCCCACAGTGATGCTGTCTCTGCCAAATTCCTGTGGTTTAGGGTTTATGGACTCGTAAGGGATGCTGCTGACCCACCCTGGGCCCCCTGGGCGCTATAAGCACCGTAAGGGCGGGGACGAGTCAGAAATAACACCCTCAGTGGTCTTTTTATGCAGGGGACCCAGCTGTCCCTGCGGAACTACTGCTCAGAATACCAGTCTTCCCTAAAGAAAGATGTTCTCCCTCCCTTCTCGACAGCACAATGGGACTGAGCCAGAGCTCCCGCAAAAGCCCGAGGTGCCTGGGAAAGGAGTTTGAGAAGGTGCAGCTCTCCCTTAAGGTGCTGGCCTGGGGGAAGTTCGAGGGGAAGCAGAGGCTGGTGATTCAGGGGCTGTTCACATGGCCACCCGGGGGGGTTCAGTTCCAGAACCCCTCCTCTGACCTTGACTCATGGACAGGTGGTGTGCCGAAGGCGCCGGGCTGAGTCTGAGCGGAAGGCCCCCATTGCTGGGGCCACAGCTCTGTAGGGAGTCACTTTTCCCATGGGGCGGCTGCAGGGCTGAAACAGAGCCCCTTGAGGCGGGGCTGGTGTGGGCCTGGGAGCTTCTCCAGTTTGCTTTCTCATTCTTATTTTAAAATTTTTAATGTTTATTTTTGAGAGAGAGAGAGAGACAGAGAGAGAGACAGAGTGTGAGTGGGGGAGGGTCAGAGAGAGAGAGGGAGACACAGAATTTGAAACAGGCTCCAGGCTCTGAGCTGTCAGCACAGAGCCTGACGCGGGGCTCGAACTCACGAACAGATCACAACCTGAGCCAAAGCTGGATGCTTAACTGCTGAGCGACCCAGGCGCCCCTTCTCACTTTAAAAGTGGGGCGGTTCACAGGGCGCCTGAGTGGCTCAGTCGGTACAACTCAGGGTTGATCTCAGGGTTCTGAGTTCGAGCCCCACATTGGGTGTGGACGTTACTTAAAAATAAAGCCTTTAAAAATAAATAATAAAACTCAATAGGAGGAGTTCTAAGAACTGAGCCTGTTTCCAGACTCCGTGATTCCGTGCCTCTCCCACACGTCGGGGCCCGGCTGCCCTGTTCTGTCTACAGCGACTCCGTCCTGATTCCGTGAGCCTGGGGTTGGTTCCTCCCCGGGCCTCTCCACTGCGGGAGGCGTTGATGCCCCTCGCACCAAAACCTCAACACAGAAGCCACGCCCGTTTGGCAGCGCAGCGAAGTGTGTTCGCTTAGAGGCCACAGTTCAGAATTCTAACAATACAAACGGTCAGACGGGCGACATCAAGTGCGGCACAAAGGCAGGAAAGCAGGGGGGCTGGCGCTGGCCAGTGGGGACGCAACGTGGGCCGCCGCGCTCGAGGCCGCTTTGGCAGTTTGTTCAGACACGAGTCCACCATGTGGCCCGAAATCCTCCTCCCAGGCACGCACTGCAGGGGACTGGGAACAGGGTCTGCACCAGGACTCTCGTGAGACGCTCAGAGCGGCTTTATTCGAGGAAGCCCAAGCCTGGACACAACCCGATGCCCAGCGGCTGGTGGACGGATGACGGCTCGGGCGGGGCGGGGGGTGGGGGATCGCAGCGGGGCGTCGCTGGGCAGCGCACCCGCCGGGTGCCCGGTGTGCTGCGTCGTGGGCGGGGCCGGGGTTCAGCGAGACAGGCGGACACGGAGCCGCGTAGAGTGATTCCGTCACGTGAAATGGCCAACGTCCAGACCAGGCAAATCCGCCAAGACAGAGAGCTGCTGTCTGGAGTCTGGATAGACAGGAGCTGGGGGGCAGGAAATGGATCCCTGGTCCTCTCCATGAGGGACATGGGAGCAAGGACCGCCCAGAGGGACACTCTCACAAGCCACCAACCCCAGCCCAGAGGAGGGGCCCCACTGGGGTCCCCGCTCCGCCCGTGGCCCGCCCTCCTCCATGCTGCCCTGTCCCCCACCCCGGTCCGGGAGGGGGCCTCTAGGGAGCTGGGGCCGGGGGGCGGCGGTGGCAGGTGGCCAGAGCTGCGCAGGCTGCTCGGTCAGGCCTGAGAGCGAGGCCTCAGGGACAGAGCTCCAGGCAGCTGCAGTTCACCCTCTGCACGAACCCGCCCTCCCAGTGGGCGTTGTCCAGCGTGAGGATGGCGCCCCGCGGGAGCTCCCTCCCAGTGGCGAGGCTTGCGACCTCCCCGGGGACCAGCGCCCGGTCCCATATGGCCAGGCCTGCCACGCTCCCCACGAAGGCCTCGGAGCTGTCGAACCCACCTCCCACGCTGTCTTGCTCCTGGCCCAGCACGAGCGACCCCCCCGGAGGGATGTCGTAGCCCTCCCTGAAGCGGGAGCCGGTGGCCACCAGCCTGCGGTCCACGTGGAGCCAGTATCTGCCCAGGGTGGACGTCCAGATGACACACACGTGGTGCCACCGGCCGTCCAGCAGCGGCTGCAGGGGCAGCTCCCTGAAGGCCGGGTCTCCGATCACGAAGTGGACGGAGCCAGGGACCAGGGAGTCCCTGCCGTGCAGCACGAGCTTGTTGTCATTTTCCTCGGTGGCGTAGGAGAGCAGGGTGCCCAGGTGGCCCGAGGCCACGCGGACCCAGCTGCACACAGACAGGGCGCGCAGGGCCGCAGGGAAGCCGGGGCTGAGGAAGGCGGCGTTCTGGGTGGAGGCGTTGGGGAAGACCAGCACGGGGCCCACGTTGCAGGCTGGGGACACAGGGGAGAGTCAGCCGGGCGCCAGGGGGCGGCAGAAGCACCCACGACCGCTGGCGCTGCCCTTGCTGTGGGGCACCGCTGATCAGCGTCAAGCACCAACGGGCGAGGCTGGCCGCACACAGCCCTGCTGGTTCTTGAGACCGAACAGCCGGCGTGTCTCACAGCTGGGGAGACTGGGAGCCGGGCCTCTGCACGGCTGGGGAGACTGGGATGCCCACGGCCAGGGAGACGGGGGCGCACGGCCGGGGAGACGGGGGTCGCACGGCTGGGAGACGGGGGCAGGCAGTCACACAACTGAGCAGAACTGAGCCTCCCGGGGCTGCTGTGAGGGAGCCCTGCAAACTTAGAGGCTGAAACCACGCAAGTTCAGTGTCTTCCACTCCTGGCGGTTGGAGATCAGAAGTCAGACACGGGTCCGTCCCCTGGACTGAAATCACAGCGTGGGCAGCACTGGTTCCTTCCGGAGGCTCAGAACCCCAGAACTTCTGGGACCCCGCTGCTAGTGATGCCCCCACTCCGTGTTCCCGGCCCCTCCTGGACCTCCGTCTAACCTTTGTCCCTGGGGTCACAGCTCCTTCTCCCATCCTGACCTTCCCGTGTCCTCTGGAAGGGCTAATCCCGGATCCCCTCCCATCTCAGGATCCGTAAGCACAGCCGGAAAGTCCCCTTGCTGTGTGAGGTGAACATCTTTGGGGCCATCGCCCTCAGGTCTGCCTGATGGAAGGGTCCACGGGAGGGGTGGGCCCGGGGTGGCTGTGCCTGGTCCAAGGGTGGAGACAGGCCACCAGAGCCACCCGGGTGGACGGGAACCCTGCTTCAGATTAACGGGGCCCCAGGGCTGCCAAGCCAGAGGACTGACCTAGTCAAAGATACAAGTTAAAGATGAGCCAGGCTTTAGTGCGGGGAGGCCGGGGATGGCGCTAAAGCCTCACCGCGCCCAGGACAAGTCCCGCCCCGCCCCTGTCCTGGGAGAGCTGAACGGCAACACAGAACCGGCTTCACAGAGGGGCCTCCAGGCTGGGGCACAAGCCGCCGGAGGCCCCGGCAGAGAAGGCTCGTGCTGGTGAGGGTGGAGGGCATGGTAATGAGCCCCAGTGTGATCACCAGCTCTGCGGGGGCACTTACTGCCCCCGGGGCGGCACCCCAGTCCTGTGTGCACATTCCCCCGATGTCCAGGCTGCGGGGACCCGCAGACAGACCGGCCCCTGCGCGGTCCCCTTCTTCCCTGCCAGCACGTGCGACTGTGAAGCCGGTGATCTCTCCACACAGCTCTGGGGACCAGGGGCCTAAGGAGGCGCGAGAGGGGGGAGGGGAGAGCCACGGGGGGAAGGGCGGGCTGCGGTACTTACTCTCTCCCTGTGTGTCTGGGGGCCGTGCTGGCCGGCTGCCTGGGCCCGGTGGCTCCCGCGTCCCCTGGAGACGGCTGGCAAAGTCCGGAGGTGGGTCCCCGGGCTCAGGCTGAGCTCTGAGCGCCTGCCTGCCCATCTGCGGCTCTGGGGAGCCTGGGTTTGGCAGCCCGGGCTGGGCGGGGGGCAGGGTGGGGGGCGGCCCCGGGGCCATGGTGCCAGGGCGGGCCACCTGCAGCCGCCGCTCCAGAGCAGCCAGCCTGGTGCCCTGGCTCTGCACCAGGTGCGTGAGGCGGGCCACCGTGTCCTGCAGGCCCCGCAGGGTCAGGCCCAGGCCGGCGAGGGCGTCCCTCTGTGCCTCCTGCTCCTTCCCCGCCTGGGCCAGCTGCCTGTCCCTGTGGCTCAGGGCGGCGTCCAAGGCCAGCAGCCTGGAGTCTAGCTTCCGGCTCCTGCGCTGTGCCTTCTGCATCCAGGTCTTGAGGTGGCTCAGGTCGCCCTGCACAGTGGCCTGCGACCGGTTCACAGCCAGGGCCACAGCCTGGGTCTCCAGGGCCAGGCTCCGGAATCGAGTGTCCACGTTGTAGGACAGGTTGTAGTTGCCGGCAAGGCCCCGCAGGTGTGTAAGGGTCACCTCCTGGAGCCTCCGAAACTAGGGAGAGGACACATGGCCGTCACGGGGGCTGAGGGCCGGGGAGGCCGCAGGACACGCCTTTCCGCTCACGCGTCTGGGCGCCTGCCAAGCACTGGCCATGGTCTGCACTGATTTGATCCCCAGGCCGCTGGGTGAGGGGTGGGCCGATTACCACAGCCAGGCCCATGGCTCAGAGACGTGGCTGACTAACCCATGGGCCCTGGGCTGCCTTAGGGGGGCGAGGGCTTTGGGCTCCCACACCTCCTGCGCCCCGCAGACCTCACCCCTGTGACCCTCAGGGCCCCGCCCTTGAGCGGACCTAGGACAGGCGGGTGTGTGGGGATCAGAGCCGGGAGAGCTCGGCACAGGCAGGGTGCCCGGGAGCCCAGTGCCCCCGCACCCCTCCAGCTGCATTCCCCGGGGCTCCCCGCTGCCCCTCCCTCCCGACTCCCACCCAGTCCCACTGGCTTGTCTTCATAACAGAGCCCTGCAAACCTCCGTGCTGCTTTCCAACCACGGGTGGCAACAGCGTCGGCTGAAGGAAGGAGCCATGGACTCCACGCTCATGTCCCCAGGGCCCTGACGCTTCCCACTCTGTTTCTGTGACAGCCATCACCTGCCCCACGTGCGGGGCACCCTTACCTGCTCTTCCAGTCTACGGAGCCTCTCGAAAAACGGTTTCCGTGGCGCCGCGGGGCCGGCTTCGTGCGACAAAGCCCCATGCAGGCACACAGGCACAAGAATAAGGAAGAGAGACAGGGTCCTCCGCGGGCCGCCCATGCCGGGGACGCGGACAGGAGCCCCGACTGCAGGTCGAGGCGGCCGCCTGCTGCGTGCTCCTTCCCTCCACACACACCCGGCTCGCGCGCCTCCTCCTTCCGCCACCTTCATGGGAAGCACTTGTCTGTCCTCCAGCAGCGAGCTCTGGGGAGATGGAGGTTCCCAAGGACACGAGCTTAAAACAGAGGCAAACAGTTTCTCTGGAAAATAACCCTTCTGGGTGCGAGCCCTGGCCTGGCTGGGACGGGGGCAGACGGCGGTGATGGCTTTAGCAGGGCACAGGGACGCGTATTCCCACCGCAGAGAAGTCAACGCAGGACAGGGCCCGGCGGGGGCCAGGGCGCCCCGAGCCAAGTCTGCTGGGGGGCCCAGCGTGCTGGTCCCATGAGGCCCAGCTCTCCCCTTTGGATAAGGCAAAGGATGGGGTTGGGAGGCGTCTTAACTGATTTTGGGGGGTAGGTTATGTGGTGGGCTGAATGGTGGCCCCCGAAATGGTAGGTCTGAGTCCTGACCCTGTGAATTCCCCTGTGCCTGCGCACGTGAGTTTTATGGAAGAAAGGCCCTTACAGATGTCATTAAGGTTCTTGTGATGGGGCGTCCGACTTTGGCTCAGGTCATGATCTCCTGGTTTGTGGGTTCGGGCCCCACGTCGGGCTCTGTGCTGACAGCTCAGAGCCTGGAGCCTGCTTCGGATTCTGTGTCTCCCTCTCTCTCTGACCCTCCCCTGCTCACGCTGTCTCTCTCTCTCAGAAATAAATAGAAAAAAAAAACGTAAAAAAATAAAAGGTTCTTTTGATGAGACCATGCCAAATTAGAGTGTTCTCAGAAGAGACAGAAGAGGAAACAGGGAGGAGGCCAAGGACAGACAGAGGCAGAGACGGGGGTGACGTGGCCGCACGAAGAGCCAGGGGCTGGATGAGGCAGGAAGGGTCCTCCCCCTGGAGCCTGGGGACCTTGACCTCGGCCCTCCGTTGGTCACTGGCCATTGGCTGCCACCCAGGATGCTGCCGCAGACCCGCCCGCTAGGTCTTCCTCTCCAGGTCCCCTGCTGCCCCCTTGGCCTGTCGCTCTCCCAGGCCACGTTGGCGTCTCTGTCCCCTTGGGTGCTCCTGGCCTGGGCTCCTTCGCCCTGGTCCTTCTGCTGCCATCGGAGCGGCGCCTGGCGGCAGGGGAGCCATGCGTGTCTGTGTGCGCAGCCGTGTGTTTAACTGACTGGCTTTTTCCTGCTTCTTCCGTCCGTCTCGGCCCTGCGGCTGGCCCTGGGGCGAGGTCCCCACCTGCCCCATTTACTGAGGCCGCTGGCCGCGCTGCTGTGACCAGTGACCGCCACAGGGGAGCTCGAAACAACGGAAGTTTATTCTCTCGTCGTCCTGGAGGCCGGGGTCCCGGGGCCCCTCTCCTTCCTCCCCAAGGCTGCAGAGGACGGTGGGAGGGTGGACACGGCACAGGCTTGAGTGAAGAGGCTCCTGTGAGTCAGTCCCAGAGCTGCTGGGTCCGCAGGGTCCCTGACGTCCTGCGGCTGGTGGGCCGTCAGCTCCGCGCGGGGCGTGGCCAGGCGGCTCTCTGGAGCCGTGTCATCTGACAGGGACCCCCCTTCCTGCCGTGTGACTGGTCGGAACTGAGCTCCACCACAGGCCCCCGTGATAAAGTACACGCTGGATTACAAATCTTTGTACGAAAAAGAAATGTGCGATATCTCACTAACCATCATACTTTACGTGTGACATGTGGAAATGGGAACATTCTGGATTGATTGGGGTAAACAAAATATATTCTTGGGCATTTGGCTGGCTTAGTCAGTAGAACACGTGACTTGATCTCTGGGTTATGAGTTCGAGCCCCGTGTTGGGTGTGGGCCCCACTTAAAAAAATATATGTATTTGGATTACAGATGTAATGCATATGTATTTTTGAATTAAAATTAACTTCACCCATTCCTTTTTACTTTTTGAGTACAGTTAACAGAAAACTTAACATTACATCCAGAGCTCACAACCTATGGTGATTGGACAGGATTGCCTGGGGAAAGACTGGGCCTGCAAGGGCATGAAGGCGTGTGCAGGCGTGTGCAGGCGTGCACTGGGTCAGGTGACTTTCCTCTCAATCTCCTTCATCATCAGTTTTTAAAAAAAATAATTTTAGTGGACATGATACATCGCACAAAATTCACTTATTTTAAGGCCAATGCTGAAAGCAAGTTATTGAAATAAAGTCTACACACCGGCTTGTATGACTCTGAGGGTTCCGCCAGCCTCCAGAAAGCAACAATGAAAACCAGGCACCTGCCCCCACGTAGGTGGTAGGAGGGTGGCAGCTATTTTTGAAAGTTTTTCTAGTTTTTAAGTTATTTAAATTCTAGTTAGTTAACGTACAGTGCGATGTTGGCCTCAGGAGTAGAATCCAGCGATTCAAGGCTGGAAGCTTCTTCAGGACTGGGGAGAAGCTACATTCACCAGGAGCAAGAGCCTCCCTCCCCCATCTGCCAAAACAACTTCCCCCTGACCCCACACAGAGCTTCCCGCCCTTTATGGTCTCGTGCTTCATGCGAAGGCTCCGCTAGGGCTCACTGGACACTTGGGAGCTTCAGACGGAAATCTGCCCAGGCAGAACCATGCCGAGAGCCCAGGAAAAGCTCAAAACACCTCTTAATCACTACCCCCAGAAAGAGAAGAAAAGCTTTGTGTCCACAAGGCCAAAAAAAAAAAAAAAAAAAAAAAAAAAGGATGTTATGAGAAAAGGAGTAATCAAAAGGGAGGAGTCGCTCTTGAAAATGAAAACTAGGATTTTGCAAATGAAAACAGAAATCCAGAAAGCTGAAAAACAAAGTTTAAGCAACTGCCCAGAATGTAGGGCCAAAGACAAAGAGATGGGGAAGAAAAGGGAAAAAATAGCCTTTGAGGTCAACCCGATGAAACACGAGTGTAGGGCGTGAGACTCAAGAAAGCGGGGAAGAGAGTCTGGGAAGGTGTCACGGTCAAGGGCACCCACCATTCCCAGGAGCACACGCCAGAGAGGGCCGGGTCTCTCCTCCAGGCTCAGAACCCCACGGATGATGAAGAAGTTCCTAAAAGTGTCCGCAGAGGAGGAACCTGGTCACATGGGAAAGACTGAGACTTTCCTCGGGGGACTGAACGCTGGCTGCCAAACACGGGGCACCAGACCTCGCACTTGTGAATAAAAGTTATTTTCAATGCTTTTATTTTTGAGAGAAAGCGTGAGTAGGGAAAGGGCAGAGGAAAAGGGAGACGCAGGGTCTCAGGCAGGCTCTGCGATGACAGCAGGGTCCCGCGGGGCTTGGTCTCACCCACCACCAGATCATGCCGAGGCTGAAGCCGGGTGCTTAACCGACTGAGCCCCCCAGGCGCCCCCAAATTATTTTCACTTAAAATGGTTCACCTGGGGGCGCTTGGGGGGCTCAATCGGTTGAGCGTCCGACTTCGGCTCAGGTCATGACCTCGCGGTTCGTGGGTTCGAGCCCCGCGTCGGGCTCTGTGCTGACTGCCAGCTCGGAGCCTGGGGCCTGTTTCAGAGTCTGTGACTCCCTCTCTCTCTGACCCTCCCCTGCTCACGCGGTCTCTCTCTCAGAAATAAACATTAAAAAAATTAAAAAAATAAAATAAAATGGTTCATCTCATGTAAATGTGAACTGGCCTGGAGCAAAGAACAAAGGCATTTTCCAGACACACAGGCTTGAGAAGCTTCCGGGCACCTGTTCGCCTGACAGGACCGGGGGCAACACACGGCGGAGGCTGAACGGAGCTGCTGCGGGAACAAGCGCGCTCCGCGCCCGAAGCGGCCGCCCCCCGCCGCGCGCCCCCTGCCCGCCCCCGGGGGGCCTTCCGGAGGGCGGCTCCTCCGCCGCTCCAGCTTCCCCAACTCTTGGCCGGGACGTCGCGCCCCTGCGCCTCCTGCGCTCGGGTTTGTTTTCGGGCGCGCGCGCGAGGAGGGTGGGGGCAGAGGGTCCAACGGGGGCTGTGCGTCGACAGGCTGACAACAGCCACCCCGACGCGGGGCTCGAACCCACGGACCGCGAGCCCGAGTGGACGCGCAGCCGGCCGAGCCACCGGCGCCGCGACCCGCGTCCCTGACGTGCGAGCGGGCGCTGCAGCCGCGGCGTTCTGTCCCGGAAGACAGCCTGCCGCGGGCGCCAGGCCGGAGTCAGGGCGCTTCCCAGGCCTCCCCTCGAGGGCAGAGGCGAGGCGGCGCCTCCCCTGTGAGGTCTTCCCGGATCGCCCCGGCACGGCCCACCGCGCGTCCGTCAGGACGGCTGGCGGCCCCCGCGCCGTGCGGCGCCGGTCGGGACCCGGAACCCCCGCCCCGAGCCCTCCCTCAGGCACCCCGCGCCGGCCGGGAGCGCGCACGGCGCTCGGCTGCGGCGGCGCGCGCGCTCGGCCCCGCCCACCGGGGCCCCGCCCCGCCCGGCGCAGGCGCAGAAGCCGCTCGCCCCACGCCTCTTCCGGCTTCCCGGCTCCGCGGCAGATTCGTCGTGATCAGCCCGCTGGGCAGGCCTCGGAGGCTCGAGAATCTCAGCGGCGGCTCTGCCAGCGCGCGGGGAGCTCGTGCTCCGCGGCCTCACGTTCTAGGCCGTGAGCCGCGTGCGGAACTGGGCCTCGGCGGCCGTGGCGAATCGGCGCGGGGCGGCAGCGGCGGGGCGGGCCCTGAGCACGCCCGGGAGACTCCGGGACCGAGCGGGTGCGCGCTTCCCCGAGACCCCCGCCCGCTCCGGAGACCCGTGCGCTGCCCGAGACGCCCACCCTGAGACCCCCGTCCGTCCCCAGGCCCGTGCGCGCCGCGACACCCCGTCCGCCCTTAAGACCCTCGCCCACCCCGAAATCCCCTCCCGCTCCCCGAGACCCGGCCCCGCTCCGGAGCCCCCTGCCCGTTGCGCCGTGACTTGGGCCCAGTGATGTGGGTTCCGTCGCCGCTGGGTAGGGGGGGCGTGGTGCTGGCGTCGCTGGCGCGTTAGCAGGCCTGAGCGCTGCTCACCGGAGCCCGCGTAGACTCGGCTGGGCGAGGAGGACCCGCACTCGTGGGGACCCGCTTGGTCCCCTGATGCAGCCTTATCTAGTGGCTGGGTCCCTGGTGATAGGTGCCTGCCTAGTGGTGTTCAATCCTGCAGGGGCGCCTGGCCCGAAATACTACCTGCAGAGGGTGTGGTTTCTGGGAAAGACGGGAGTTTAGCGGACGGAAAGTCTCCTAGCCGGACAGTCGGGCAGTTAGCAGTGCTGCCGCGGGGTAGCCCCGGGACCCGAGCTCGGCACGGTTGGCATTTGGGCTTGGATCAGCCTCTGTCGTGGCTGCGGTCGTGCACCCGTGGGATGTTTACCAGCACCCCGGCCTCTGCCCCCCACTCACTGGATGCCAACAGCACCCCCACTTGTGGCCCTGGGCACAGTGGCCCTGCAATAGGGGCGCCACGGAGCCCTAGCTGTGAAACAGACTCTTGGTAGGACCGGTGACGGGTGCTGGAGGGCCGGAGGCTGCTGGGTGACGGCAGGGGTGAGGAGAGATGGGGTCCCCAGAAGCTTTCCAAGAGGTGCCAGAAGGTCTGAGGCTGTGTGGGACATACTCGGCACGGGTGCCAGGGCTCCCCGGCCTTATGTGCTTCTCCTCCGCACTCCAGGATGGACCCAGCGGTCTCTGCGGTCCGGCTGGCCGTGCGGGAAGCAGTGCACACCCTCTCCTCTTGTGAGGATGGCGGCCGCGTCCTTTCCACCTTGGAGTCCCTGAAGCGGTATCTCGGTGGAGCGGAGAACCCCGCCCTTGCCGGGCAGCAGGAGGAGTTCGCCAGGGCGCACTTCTCCGCCTTCCTCCGGTGTCTCGTGGGCAGGCTGAGCCCAGGCTGGCTGGAGCTTGTGGCTGGCGGCGCGCTGGAGGAGCTGTGGGCCAGCTTCTTCCTGCAGGGCCCGGCCGACCAGGCCTTCCTGGTGCTGATGGAGTCCGTCGACGGTGCTGCCGGGTGAGTGGGGCCGGGCCTCGTTACGGGGTCACCTGTACCGTCCGAGGCACGAGCGTGGCCTGAAGGGGTGCGAACCAGCAGGCTCTGGGAGAATCTGGCGTCCTGAAAGCTGAGAAAGTCGCAGAGCACCTGAACGCTTAAAGCGGTTGGTGTTAATCTCCCTCGCGACAAAGAGGCCCTTGCAGTAGGTCCCGGCGAGTTGGTGAAGGGAGGGGACAGGAGCGTCCCCATCCTGGTGGCTCAGGTTAGCTCCTGAGGTGACGCAGGTGGGCAGTGGGCAGCGCCAGCGTCCTGGGGCCCTCTGACCCCTCGCGGCTCTCAGCTCTGCGGTGAGGCCCCGGGTGCTGCAGCCAGCAGTGTCAGAGCATGTGACAGGCCTGCAGGGACATGGCCGGCGTGTGGTGGCGAAGCTGGGTTTTAGCGGTTCCTGACCTAAGCGACGAGCACCCTGTGGGGTGGAGCGGGAGGGGAGGGTGCGCCCCGTGACTCCGCGGTGGGGGAGCTGCACTGGGCCTGGCGGGTGGTCACGCCGCACCACTGGCTGGCTTTTTGGCAGCAGGAAGGAAAACTTTTATTTTTTAAAATGTTTATTTAATTTGAGAGAAAAACAGCATGAGCAGGGGAGGGGCAGAGAGAGAGAGAGAGAGAGAGAGAGAGAGGGAATCCCAAGCAGGCTCCAGGCTGTCAGCACAGAGCCTGATGCGGGGCTCGATCCCGCAAACCCTGGGATCATGACCTGAGCCGAAGTCCAGAGCCACCGAGGCCCTGGCAGTGGGATTTAAATCCTCGTTTTAAGTGCCGATTACGCTGTGGGACCGCTCGTTGGGGGGACTCACCGCTCCGCCCGTCACACCTGCCCTTGCTTCAGGCCGAGCTTCCGTCTGATGAAGATAGCACGGCTGCTGGCCAGGTTCCTGAGCGCGGGCAGGATGGCCGCCGTGATGGAGGGCCAGTGCCGCCGGCTGACCGAGCCGGCCTCCCCCCTGCTCCAGGAGACGCTCCTCACCCAGGTGGTGGGCTTGCCCGACCGCCTGGGCAACCGTCTGCAGCGGGAGAACCTGGACGCGTTCCTGCCCCAGAATTACTTCCCCCTGCTCGGCGAGGAGATCGTGCGCGCGCTGCAGGCGGTGGTGGCCTCTCTCCGAGGTGCGGCCCCTCCACGCTGTCCCTCCAGCCGTCCTCTGGGGCCACCGCCCCTACCCTCCCTCCCCGGCTTCTCACCGCCCTGGGGTTCTCGGGGTGCTGCTGCTGGCAGGTCAGACGTTGTCTCCCGTGTGGGGAGGCGGCGACCCGTACCGAGCGTCACCCACGTCTGGGCCGTCGACCTTGGAGTTGGAGCTGACCTCGAGCCCTCTAGCCCCTGCCGGGTGGCTGCGTCCGGCTCACCTCTGTAGGGTCTCAGGCGCTCCGCTGAGGTGGCAGAGACCGCATTTCCATCGCGGCGCACCTTGACGGCTCAGGGTGGCCACTTCCGGGGGAGTCGGTGCGCCACCCTCCCCTTGTCCCCGTGTCCTGTGTCCTCCCGCCTGCCTCATGGGCCCTGGGTGCCTCCCCCTCCCCGTGCTGCCACACTGGTCCCTGCTCCCTGGGCTCATTGTGGCGATGAATTGAGCAAGAGCGCGTGAGGCTTTTTGAAATTATTGTTGGCTTCCAGCTAGAAACAGTCGTATTGAGGTTTCAGCTGGAATGGGATGGAGAGAAATGACGTTTTACAGCGTAGAGACGCCTGTCCGGACACGGGGTCTGTCCCCACCTGGGCAGGTGGTGTCCCGTGGCCGGAACCATTGGCCCTGCTTGAAAACCCCGCTTTTTTTCTTGCCCCAGATGGCTGGGACTGCTCCGTGTCCTTCCTGTCGCAGGTGCTCGGGAAAGCCTGTGTCCACGGGAGGCAGAGTGAGTGTCTCCTGTCCCCGGGGGTCCGCAGCGCTGCGTGCACGTCTCCCCTCCTCCCCTCAGCCCTCCCGGGAGGGGGCGGGCTGCACGGTTCCCTCGCCTGGGCCTGGCCCCCCCCCCCCCCCCCCCCCCCCCCCCCCGCTCCGGGCTCGCGGCCCCGGCCCCGGGCTCAGGGCCCCATGTGCTTCCCTCAGAGGAGATGCTGGGCGTGCTGGTGCCGCGGCTGACGGCGCTCACCCAGGGCAGCTGCCTCTGGCAGCGGGTCTGCTGGCGCCTGGTGGCGCGGGTGCCCGACCGGGCCGTGGAGGCGCTGCTGACGGCACTGGTGGAGGCCGCCTCCGGGTAAGGAGCCAGGAGGGCGGGGCGCGGTCCCAAAGCCACCCCGTCTCCTCTTCCCTCCAGTTTGTCGGAGCTCACGCGGCGAGGCCTCGGTGGGCCGGCCCAGCCCCTCCCGGAAGCTCTGCACCGGCCCCGGGCCGCCCCTTTCGCTCCCCTCCCCGGAGCTGTGTCCGCACGTGCCCGTGTGTGTGCGCGCAGAGTGCCCGCCTTCACACGCCCCAGCACGCGTGTGACCGCGTGTTTCTTGGTTCTGGGTGCGGGTGTGTGTATCCCGGGACCTGCCTTCTGCCTCTGAACCACCTGACGTCTCACCGCCTCCGCTGCTGGGTGCTCAGGCCTTGTCTGCACAACCTCCTTGTGACGCATCCGCCCCCGCCACGCGCTTCTGGTCCCTCCCAGCTCGTCATTGGTTCGTGGCTTTTCAGAGGTGTCCACACTGCCCCGGAAGCGTGTCACACCGCGGGCCGCTGCCTTCTCTGTCTTCCGCGCTGTGTCCCACCCCTGCTCTGAGGCTGTGGGCCGGTTTGCGTGGGTTTTCTTCTATGGCCGGGGTTTTTTTTTTTTTTTTGGTTCTTTTTCTTTTCACCTTTACATCTTTGTGTGGCATCTGAAAGGGCTGAGAGGAGACACGCAGTCCCCGTCCTTCCACACCGGCCGGAGGGGTGGCTGGGCGCTTGCTCACACAGACGAGCGGGGGCCCCAGTCTAGGCCAGATTCAGCCCATTGTGCGTTTTTTTCATGGGGTTTCACGGGTCCACAGCCGCGCTCGCTCCCACGCACGCCCCTCGCTGCTTCCGGCTGCAGGGGCTGCGGGGTCTGATGGCCCGGGAACCAGAGTGCTCGTCCTCTGGCCCTTCCCGGAGAAGCCTGGCCGCACCTGCTGCGGCCGAAGCCCCGAACCCTGCGCTTGGGCAGAGCGGGGAAAGGACGTCCTCTCGCATGAGGCGCTGGGTCGTCCCGGTTTCCCCACGTGCCCGGAGGAGGGCGAATCAGGACCGAGTCAGAGCTGGGGCCCAGGCCCCGGGCTCCCGGTGGTCAGCGCAGAGCCGGGGAGGGGCGAAGCCGGCCCTGCTGGGCCCCGGAGTTCATGCGCCCCCCCTGCCCCCCGACTATACCTCGCAGGCCTGAAGTCCTCTCGCGGCTCTTGGGGAGCCTGGTGATGAAAAATAAGAAGGCCCAGTTCGTGATGACCCGGAAGCTTCTGTTCCTACAGTACCGGTACTCGGTGAGGGCGTGGGCTGAGGGCCACCCGGGGCCCAGGAGACGTGACCTGAGCAGGTGGAGCTGAGCTCGGTTGCCCAGGAAATGCCACTGACCCTCAGCCCAGACCCGTTTCTGCTCCGGGAGCCTGGGGCCGATGGTCTTAGCCCAGCGCGTGGGTAGCTGGCGTCTGCCCGGCAGACGGTGACAGGATGCCTGGCTTCTGTCACAGACACCCATGCTGCAGAGCCTGCTGGGGTACCTGGCCATGGACAGCCAACGGCGCCCGCTCCTCATGCAGGTAGGTGCAGCCCGGCCCTCTGTCCCCGGGGCTCTGGGGCCGCCTTCTGGTGGGAGAGGAAGGGAGAACGTTCCTGCCTGGAGCAGAGGGTGCTGGCGAGGACGGCGGCACCGAGGCCCGCGTGTCCCCGTGCTGTGGTGGGGAGGTCGGGGCGGCTGTCTAACCGGGCCGGGTCACCACCAGGCACTGAAGGCGCTTCTGGAGACGTGGGGCAGCTCCAGTGCCATCCGCCACGCGCCTCTGGAGCAGCAGCGCTACCTCAGCAAGGCCGTGCTCATCTGCCTGGCGCACCTGGGGGAGGCGGAGCTCCAGGACAGCCGAGACGGTGAGCGGGCGGCGCTGCCCCTGTCCCCGCCCCGTGCCTGTCCCCACAGGCCCCCAGTGCTCAGTGTGCAGGGGTCGGTGCTTCCAGAGTTGCTGGCTAGCCTGATGGCAGGCGTGAAGAACCGCCTGGATAGCAGTCTGCCCGCTGTGCGCCGTCTGGGCATGATTGTGGCCGAGACTGCCAGCGCCCGGCTCCACCCCGAGGGGCCGCCCCTGAGGTTCCAGGTGAGCAAGGGCCGCGCCCTGTGTTTCCCTCCCTGGGGTCTCCTCATCTTTCCAGGTCCAGGGCCACAAACCTTCTGAGTGTTGACCCCTCAGCGGTGCCTGAACGCTCGCCCCTGGGTGGATTCCCTGAGGTGCTGGGAAGTGATCTCTCTGGCGGCCCCTCCCCTCTGTCTGCTGAGCTCCCAGGATGTCCTCCCTGGGGGAGGGGGGAGTCCAGCCCCCCCAGGAGGGTGGGCTCCCCAGCGCATGTACCCAGCGCCGCCCGCTTCCACGGAGAGACCTGGCAGGTGGGGCAAGGGCGGGGGGTGGGTGCTCCCCAGGACTGGCTCCAGCCCATGTGCACTGCAGTATGAGGACGACGAGCTGAGCCGTGAAATGCTGGCCCTGGCGGCCCCCCAGCCTGCGGCCGACAGCGCTTTGGAGGCAAGGTGAGGGTCTTGTGCCCCGGTCCCCACCCCAAGCTGGGCAGGCCCGGTTCCCACTGTTTCCTTACCTTGTCGCCTTGGACCCGTTGCTGAGAGTGAAGCCAAGAGAAGCGCAGTGGGAGGGGGTGCACTTCCTGGGGAAGGTGGGTTTCGGGGCCAGAAGCCTGTGCCTCCCTGAAGGTTCCTTCTCTGCCCCCCACAGCCCTGCTGTCGCTCCAGAGCCTGCAGAGACTCCCGGCGGAGGGAGCGTGGGCGGTGGCATCCCGCAGGCCCCACCCGAGGGCTCAGGCTCTGACTTGGACAGGTAGGGGGCCCTCGGGTGGAAAGTACGGGGCGGGGGGAGCAGGCCTGGGCTGGCCTCAGAGCCGCCGGGAGCGTGGGAGTGCACGGCCCACACTGCCTGGAGGCGACGGATCGGCCTCGCAGTCCCCTCTCGCCGAGTGTCCTCCCCTACGAAGGTCTGCTCTTCCTGAGACTCAGGGACTTCCTGGGGCTCCGGAGCACAGCCTGCCTGCCTGTCGTCTGCTCCCGGGTGATGGGCGGCCCCATGGGTCTCTGCTGCTTCCCCAGTGACGATGAGTTTGTCCCCTACGACATGTCGGGGGACCAGGAGCTGAAGAGGAGCAAGGCGCCCACCTACGTGCGGGACTGCCTGGAAGGTGGGCCTCTTCCCCGGCGGGAGCCCCTCCGAGCGCCTGCCCTGGGGTGGCTGAGCCAGGGGAACCCTGTGTGTCCCGGGCCTCGGCCGCCTCTGCCCAGTGCCCAGACCCTGGCTGCCGGCTCTGCCTTGCGCGGGGTCAGCGTGGGCCCGTCTGTTCTGTGCAGCCCTGACCTCGTCCGAGGATTGGGAGCGCTGGGAGGCGGCCCTGCGGGCCCTCGAGGGCCTGGTCGTCAGGAACCCGGCTGCTGCACGCGAGGTGAGCGGGCAGGGACATCGAGGGAGGGGTGCATGTCTGCCCAGGATGCCCTGGGCGGGGCTGGGGAGGAGCCGAGGCCCGCTGACCCCTGCTCACAGGTGAGCGTGGAGCTGGCCAAGGTGCTGCTGCATCTGGAGGAGAAGACGAGCGTGGAGGGCTTCGAGGGGCTGCGCCAGAGAGGCCTGGTGGCCGTCGTGGTCACAGACCCGGCCCCGGTGAGTCCCACCCCCACCCCCCACCCCCCGCCCCAGGCAGGTCTGCGTTGGGGCCCTGCCTCTGGGTGGCGGTCCACAACGGTGTCTTGCGTGCCCGGCTTAGGTAGCGGAGTATCTGACCTCACAGTTCTACGCCCTCAACTTCAGCCTCCGACAGCGCCTGGACATCCTGGACGTAAGTGCCCCGGGGCCATCTGTCCCGCCTAGCAGGCCCACGCTGCCCTCACAGGGGCCAGGCCCGGCGCAGAGCCCTGCCGAAAGCTCTGTGGGCAGGACCAGGGGCCTCCCCAGGTCCCTTGTGGCTGGGCCCACAAGGCTGGGACTGGCAGCTGCCTGGTGTTTTCTTCGCAGCGCACGGGATTTGCCAGGGGCCGCGTCCTTTATCTTAGACAAAGGTTTTATTGAGACGGAACTCCCCCGCGGTACAATTCCCCATTTTAAGACGAACAAAATGTGGCTCATCTGCACAATGGGACATTACTTGGGGCTCACAGAGGAAGGACGTGGTGACCTCTGCCCCAGTGTGGGTGAGCCAGAGGACGCAGTGCGGTCCACTTAGTGAGCTCCCTGGACCGTCAGAGTCACAGAGCGGGTAGACGGTGGGGAGGGCGTGTAGCAGGAGGAAGGGCTGACGTTTGGGAAGATGCAGTTTTGATGATGGCGGCGACGGGCACACAACAGGCACGTGCCCGCTGCCACTGAGCCACACACGCATGGCGGTCAAGATGGCCGGAGTCAGGCTGTGTGCGTCTACAGGACGGTGCTGAACAGTCCCCACGTCCGTGCTTGACGGTGTCATGTGACCTGCATCCTGTGTCACCCTCAGAGGAACAGCCCTTAGCCCTTGGCATGTGCAGGCGGCCGGGTGGCAGATTGGAAGGAGCTGTGGAACAGAAGGGGCCCCGGGTACATGAGCAAGGCCGCTGACCCACGGCTGGGGAGCACGTCCGTCTGTCCCTTCTGTCCCCTGCAAAGTGACGTGGTCCTCGGAGAGTTGGAACTGGCCTTCCGCAAGGTCCCCACAACGTCCCCGCCGCAGCCTGTGACAGCCGATGGCGCCGAGGGGCACTCTACCTCGAGTTTTAGACAACGCTGTCCTTCGCCAGAGCAAGGACGGCTGCCCTGGGTCTTCCGCTCCTCCAGGTGCTGACTCTGGCCGCCCAGGAGCTGTCTCGGCCGGGCCGCCTCCCCAGGGCCCCTCGGTGTGGTCCCCCGGGCCCTGCCCCCCTGCCCAGCAGCCCCGTGGCTCCCGCGTGGCGCGCGGTCGTGGAAGAGCGGATCAGAAGCAAGACCCGGCGGCTGTCGCAGGTCAGCTGGGCCCTGGGGCGGGTCCTTGTGGGGACCAGGGCTCATTCATCCTTCCGCTGTGTGGAGGGAGTGGTCGGTACAGAGTGAGGGGACACGTGGTTTTAAGATGTGAGTGTGAAAAAAAGTCCCGGAATTCTGTCAGCAAGAAATGGCCTGTATGTGCCACATCCGCGCGGCCTGGGGCTGTCACGAGGCCGGGGAAGGGAGTGCGCGCACGGGAAGGCGAGGGGATGCGGCGCCTGTGAGCACCATGTGTTTTCAGGGCTCCGTCAGGAGGACACAGGACGCTGGCCCCAACCAGTTCAACACGGTGGCCGGCTACTTCTTCTTCCCGCTCATTCAGCACTTCGACAGGTGAGCGGGAGGCCTGGACACCCTCGCGTCCCAGAGGCTTCCCAGGGTGGGGTCTGTGGTGGGGTTTGGGCGGCAGTGGGCTACCACCGGGGTTTTGGTTGGTTGTAGCTTAAATTAAATCGCGCAGGGAGGGTGTCAGGAACCGTGATCCCCATCATGGATGGCGGGTTGCTGGCGGGGGGGCCGGAGCCTCGATGCTCCACCCGCCCTGTGTCCAGCGCCTTCTCTTTGTGGCTGCTGGTACCACACGGGCACGGGCGATGAGGAGGCGCGTCCAGGGCGCCAGGTGTCCCTTGGTGGCCCAGGGGGTGGGGAACCGGCCCCGGGTGTCCAGCCTGTGCACACACACCCGATGCCGTTGTAGACCTCTGGTGACCTTTGACCTTTTGGGAGAAGACCACCTGGTTCTCGGGAGGCTGGCCCACACCTTGGGGGCCCTGATGTACCTGGCTGTGAACACCTCGGTGAGTGGGGGGCGTCTTCCCAGCTGCCTCCCCTTGGCCCCGGGGCTGGAAGTGTCGGGACCCCCGTGTGGGTGCCGGGCCCCTGCCCACCGGCCTCTGCCGTTTCAGGTGGCTGTGCCCATGGGCAAGGCCCTTCTGGAGTTCGTGTGGACTCTTCGCTTCCACGGTGACGCGTGAGTGGCCATGGGGCTGAGGAATGGGGTCCCAAGCGGACGTGGAGGCAGGGCTCCTGCTATGATGTAGGAGGCAGGAGGCGGGGGGCACCCCCGGGGCGGCCGAGAGGTGGGGTCGCCTGGCGCTTCCCGAGCAAGAGGGCGCAGGGCGGCTGGAGGTGCTCTGCTTGCCCTGGGGCCCCATTGGCATCAGTGCCCGGACCTTGCTTGGCAGCTACGTGCGCCGGGGCCTGCTGTCCGCCGTCTCCTCCGTCCTCCTCAGCGTTCCAGCCGAGCGACTGCTGGCCGACCTGCCAGACGAGCTGCTGGAAGCCCGGCCCTGGCTGGCAGGTGGGCGCCGGGCCCCGGGCGGGAGGAGGCTGGGGCAGCGGCCATCGGGGCACGGGGCGGCGCAGAGGCCCCGGGACCGACACCTCCCTACCCCTCACCGTGAGGGGATGGGGACTCAGCTGTTGTTGGGTCACTGGGGGTTCCTGCAGGAGGACCCAAGAGAAGGTGCGGGAGATGGTGTGTTCTGCAAAATTCTGTGTCTTCTGTAAGGTTACAGAGCCACGCAGGAAGCACGTCACCTCACCAGCCTCGCCCATTAACGCTTGGACAAGCTTTGCCCCCCCCGCCACCCCCCCACAGCGTTCCCTGTGAAAAGTCTGTTGGCGCACACGCGACCTCCCACCCGGAGGCACCTGTGTGGCCCACTCACCCATGTCCACCCGGGGCCTGGGCTGGGCCTGGATGCTCTGGCGGTGCCATGCTCAGGGCCCGGCGTTCGGGCGGGGCCTCTGTCGTGTCGGTTGGTCTGCAGAGCACGCTTGGGCTTCCCCTGGTCACGGTGTGTCTGGTCGGCTCCGGGTGCCCGGGCCCCGTGACACAGGCGGGTCGCGAGCTGCGTCCCGGGACGGGGGCCTCCCCCACGGGCTCCGTCCCGCCGCCCCTGCAGCCTGCTGTTGGCCGGGCCCCCAGCCCCAGGGAGAGCGGGGTGCTGCTCCCGCACACGGCCGCGCACCCCCTGCCCCCCGCCAGCCTCCACAGGGGGTCGTGAGGACAGACTCCCGAGAGGAAATGAGGGCCGGTCGCCCGCCGTGCGCGCCGCTGATGTCCTGCTCTGTGCTCGTCTCCGGCAGACGTGGCCGAAGGGGACGCAGATGAGGACTGCAGGCTGCTGGCCGCCAAAGCCCTGCTGCTTCTGGAGAAGCTCAGAGACCGACTGCTCCCGCTCGCTTCTCCGTAGTCCTCGCTGGAGAGGGGGCCTCGGCCCTGCGTCCACCGACGGGCCACCTGAATGTGGTGGGGGGGGTCCCAGGGAGGGAGGGGCTGCTGGGGCCCCTACGGGCTGATTCTCAGTGTGTCCCCAAGCCCCTTCCTCACCGGAACGCAGAAAACTTTAAAAAGCAACAAAAAGGAAGAATAAAAAGGAGCCACAGGTTCTCAGCCCCACTCCTCGGGGCTCCCACTGCTCCGGCAGGGTCTGCGGTGCCTCAGTGGGCCTCCCGAGGGGGACACGGCTTGGCAGCTGGTGGAACGGCTGGGGGCGGGAGAGCCTAAGGTCCCCCTGCCTGCACAGACGCGCCTCGAGGCCAGTTTCTCCCGGTGGGGGCTGGTGACGGGACGCCCATGTGGACAGAGCCTCGTGCAGAGAACCCGCCCCCCGTCAGCCACCACGTCCCTGGGCAAGGCCGCCTGTGTCTGTTCCAGCGGACACCTCGCCTGTGGTCAGGGGTGGCGCGTCCCTGCTGGGAACCGTCAGACGCGCTCTGGGCGCTCGTCTGGGGGCTGGGGCGAGGCGCAGGGAACACGCTCGTATCTGCAGCTCATCCAGGTCAACAAGGCTTTTAGGCTTTACAGACTATACTTGGGAGACTGTTCTGGAGAAAAGGGACCAAGTCCCTCGGCGGGAAAGGGACCCCTTTCTGGCCGTGATGGCCAGGGCCCCGGGGCGTCAGTCACTGCTTCCGTGTCTGCGAGACGGTCAGGCTCTTGCCGAGGACCTGGGGGTTCCGGGGACGCGGCAGCCGCCGTCAGGGCTCGCCCTCCACCTCCTCCGGCACGTCGTCCGCCTCCCTGTGGCCGTGCGCGCTGTTGTGGCGGACCCGCTCGGGCTCGCTGCGCGGCACGGGGAGGCCCAGGCCCTGGTGCACGGCGTCCACGGTCCGCGGGCTCACGTAGTAGGACATGTTGGCGGAAGGCACTCTCCTCCGCATCTCCTCCAGATACCTGTACGCCTGGGTCGGGACAGCGGTCCCCGGGTTAGTGCACAGTGAGAACCGGAGGGCCCCCCCCGCCGCAGTCCCGGGCGCGGGGTTTCCTGGGCGCCCCCTCCGGGTTAGGGGGAGCAGGGTGGCGAGAGGAAGGACACCTTCCCCAGAGGGCAGCTGTCTGCACAGCCTTCCCGAGGGCTCGTGGCGCCCGGATTTCGGGCTCTGTCGATACTGTCCACTGTGATCAGCACTCCCAGCCGAACGGCCACAGCCAGCTGCCCTGCAAAGTCCTGTGAGTGGCCTGTGCGCGGGGACCCGCACCTGCCCCCACGTGCCTACGCCTGCCGTACCTGCCCCTCACCTGTACCTGTTCACACGTGCCCGCACCTGCCTACACCTGTCCTCACGTGCCTGTGCCTGCTCTAACCTGCTGTGCTTGCTCACACATGCCCACACCTGTTCACACCTGCCCACACTTACCCACACCTGCCCCTCACCTGCTCAGGTCTGCCTGCGTCTGCTAACACTTGCTGTGCCCACAGGGAGGGCCACTCACAGGAACGAGGGGAGGAACAGGGTCTCATGTGGCTTCTAAGGCTCACTCCCAGCTGCACTTCGTATCAGCCCTACGTGAGCTAAGTTTCTTGCAGCTTTAAAACTTTTCATCGGAGGGGCACCTGGGTGGCTCAGTCGGTTAAGCATCCGGCTTCGGCTCAGGTCATGATCTCACAGCTCATGGGTTCGAGCCCCGTGTCGGGCTCTGCGCTGACAGCTCAGAGCCTGGAGCCTGTTTCAGATTCTGTGTCTCCCTCTCTCCGACCCTCCCCTGCTCACGCTGTCTCAATCTCTCTCTCTCAGAAATAAATAAAATATTAAAAAATGTAAAAAATGAAAACTTTTCATGGGAAATAATGATCAGATCTTAGTATTTTTTTTAAGCGTATTTACTTTGAGGGTGAAAGCACACGTGTGAGCAGGGGAAGGGGAGGAAGAGAGAACCCCAGCAGGCTCCACACGCGCTCAGAGCCCGACGCTGGGCTCAATCTCATGAACTGTGAGATCATGATCTGAGCTGAAATCAAGAGCTGGATGCTTAACCAACTGAGCCACCCAGGTGCTCTGGATCTTAATATTCTTTTTTTTAACGTTTGTTTTTGAGAGAGAGAGAGTGTGCGGGGGGGGGGGGGGGGGGGGAAGCGGACAGAGGATCTGAGGTGGGCTCTGCACTGACAGCAGAGCGCCTGACGTGAGGCTTAAAACTCATGAACCGTGAGATCATGACTGGAGCCGAAGTCAGACACTCAACACACTGAGCCACCTGGGTGCGCCTGAACTTAACCATTTCTTAAAGACGATAAAATTTCCTGAGCTATTTTACTTTGAGCAGCTATAACCAAGATAGAGAAAATAAGAGACGAAGGTGAGAACAGGAAGTGAGCTAGGGTTGTTTGTTGGGGGGACGAAGGGCGGGTGGAATGCAAGCCCCAGGCGTTCTCATGCGAGGCGGGGGACGCCGCACGGGACGAGATCTGAGGACGCGCCGACGGCCTGCTGTGAGCCAGGCGCTGTGCGGGGCGCACGGGCACAAGTACAAGGCAGGCCAGGGCTTGGGCTTCGGGAGCCAGTGGAATCGAGGGCGTGCCCCCTGGGGTGGGGGTCTGCCGGAGACCCCAGGGTGGCCCTGTGGTGCAGGGACGTCACCCCTCCGTGGGCACAGCTGTCCAGGCCCGGGCGCGGAAACAATTTCCAGAAGGCAGGCACGGTCACCAGACAGCTGAGGGGAGATAGACAGTGCTCCTGGATGTCCTGGCCGCTGAGGACACGGACTGACCAGCGTCAGGGCCTAAGGGTTGGGCGCTGATGCAACAGTCAGGCGAGTGCAAGGGAGTGTGGGAGACACCAGAGCAGTGACGAGGACCTCTTTTCCCTGCCCGGAGAACACTCGGGCCTGTCCACCTCACAGGTGACACTCGGGCCCGTCCACCTCACTGCTCACAAGTGACACTTGGTCGGGCCTGTCTGCCTCACCGCTCACAGGTGACACTTGGGCCCATCCACCTCACAGGTGACACTCGGGCCCATCCACCTCACAGGTGACACTGGCCCGTCCACAGGCGACACTCTGGCCCGTCCACCTCACAGGTGACACTCGGGCCCATCCACCTCACAGGTGACACTCGGGCCCATCCACCTCACAGGTGACACTGGCCCGTCCACTTCACTGCTCACAAGCGACACTCGGGCCCGTCCACCTCACTGCTCACAAGCAACACTCGGGCCCGTCCACCTCACAGGTGACACTCTGGCCTGTCCACCTCACTGCTCACAAGTGACACTTGGGCCTGTCTGCGTCACCGCTCACAGGTGACAGTTGGGCCCGTTCTCCTCACCGCTACAGGTGACACTCGGGCCCGTTCACCTCACAGGTGACACTCGGGCCCATCCACCTCACTGCTCACAAGTGACACTCGGTCGGGCCTGTCTGCCTCACCGCTCACAGGTGACACTTGAGCCTGTCCATGTCACAGGTGACACTCAGGCCCGTCTGCCTCACTGCTCACAGGTTTCTAAGTTAATGATCCTAAATCCCAAAGGCTCCAGGCACGGGCAGAGACAGCAGAAGAGCTGGTGCAATAGTTCAAAGTGGTTTTTCTGTTCATGTTGAGGAAACAGTGGTCTGAAGCCAATTTTGTGCTTTTTCTCCAAAAAAACCCCAAGTAACCTGGCTGAGATTACACTGGCGCTGCTCCCTCCCCAGAGCGGAGCGTCAGTGAGGGGGGTGAGCAGCAGGCCAGGGGCCTGAGTCTCGCTCGTGGCGTGGACCTTCCAGGCGGTGGGGCCGGCACCAGGCACTAGCGACACTTCTGTCGTTCTGTGAGGCTCCCCGGGTCGCCCTGGCTCCTCCGGGGACCGTGTGCTGTGTTAGCCTGGAGCACGTGCGTTCAGCGAGGTGCACAGGACGCCATTTGCAACGTGAGGGAAACTCGGCGGGGTGGGGGGGGGGTGCGGAAGGCAGGCAGGCAGGAGGGAGGGAAGGAGGGAAGGTAACAGAATTCAGAGTCTCTACGGTGCTTTACCCACAATGTCCAGGAACCGCCAGTGTAAGGAACAAGATGTGGTGACCAAAGTCGAGAGAAAAGACAACTGAGGGAACTGGCGGCACGTGGTGTAGAGGCTGCTGGAGGGGGAGGGGCAGCCGCGGGCGGGATGCAGCAGCGGGGCAACGTCCTCGCGCACACTGCACCGGCTGGTAAGCTCGGAGCAGCTGCCCACAATGAAACCAGAGAAAGTTCTGGAAAAAAAGAATCAGTTGGGCCGGGGATAGGATACACAGGGAACTGGAGCCCCGTAAGGAGGAGAGGACTCAGGGAGAAAGCACCGGTGGGTCATGTGCTGGTAAAGGAAAGGTACCCCGAATTCACAAGGGCCACGAGCCACGTGAGAAGGCAGCCTCCAACCAACGCCCGAGGTGGGCGTTCCGCACTCGGAGGGGGAGAGGGCCTATGAGCGGGTGCGCAGCACGGGTAGTCGGAGAGAGAGGTGCACTGAAGCCACCACGCGACACTGCGACGCACCCACCAGGCTGGCGGCCGTGAAACACGGGTTGTACCGAACGTGGGCATAGCTGTGCAGGTCGTGAGCGAACGTCGCTGCTTCCGCACGGGATACCGCCTTTGCTTGTAAATGTGGCTGCGGGTAAGTTGCTCAGACTTGGGGACGAGACACTCTCTCAAAAACGAGCCAGGGGGCCAGCACGTCAAGGAATAGAGTAACGGGCAGTAGTTCTGCCAAGGATGACATCTGAGCTTTCAAACGGAAGGATTTCAGAAGCCTCCTCTGTTGGCCACCAGGAGCCGGCCACTTTCCCAACGCCTCAGCATCTCACGGGGTTGGTGGCCACACAAATACGGGCTTCCGATACGCGTGAGGAAGTGTGTTGACATCCTCTAGCTCCGTGAACGTGCTGTCGTAAAGTCACGTGCGCGTAACAGATGCGAGACAGATGGGACCCAGGACAACAGCCTCCCAACACTGCAACCAGCTTTTTTTTTTTTTTTTAAATTTTTTAATTTACTTATTTTTGAGACAGAGCGTGAGCAAGGGAGAGGCAGAGAGAGAGGGAAACACAGAATCTGAAGGAGCTCCAGGCTCTGAGCTGTCAGCACAGAACCCGACGCGGGGCTTGAACCCACAATCCGTGAGATCATGACCCTCGCTGAAATCAGACGCTTAACCGACTGAGCCCCCCAGGCGCCCCCTGCAACCAACTTTTGACAGTTACTACTTGTTGGGGCGCCAGGGTGGCTTAGCTGGCTTCAGTGAGGGTCATGATCTCATAGTTCGTGAGTTTGAGCCCTGTGCCGGGCTCTCCGCTCTCAGCAGAGAGCCTGCTGCAGAGCCTCTGTCCTCCCCCCTGCCTCTCAAAATAATTAAATATGAAAAAAAAAAAAAAGAATTACCACTTGTTGAGTTATGGCATCAAAGGCGGCCTGTGCATGTCTGAAGAGGCCCCTCCCCTTCTCACCTGCATATTGCTGTGAGGCTAGATTTTCTTCATACGGTTCAGCTAAAAAACCCCCCTATTTTAGCAAATAGAGTGCAAAAGCAGAATTGATTCCATCCATGGGGCGCCTGGGTGGCTCAGTCGGTTAGGCATTCGACTTTGGCTCAGGTCATGATCTCACAGTGTGTGGGTTCGAGCCCCGTGTCGGGCTCTGTGCTGACAGCTCAGAGCCTGGAGCTGTTTCAGATTCTGTGTCTCCCTTTCTCTCTGACCCTCCCCTGCTCACGCTGTCTCTCTCTCAGAAATAAATAAAAATAAAAATAAAGAAAAAGGAAAATAGAAACTTGAAAACACACCTGTAACATGAGTAAGTAAATGTAGCAAAATGTCAAAAAACTGCTGAATCCCATAAAGTATGGGTTCTACTGTTCTTGTAATTCTGTTTGAAATTATTCAAAATGAAAAAGCTGAAAAATCAAAGAGAGGAGAAGGATGGCCTCGCCGTCTCCCCGGAACCCCTCCCCCCGCCCGCCCCCCCGCTCGCCCCCCCGCTCACCGTCTGGAGCTGCTCCGTCTGCACGTAGTGCTGCACCAGGAAGCTGTAGACGTCCCCGACGCGGACCGTGCTGCCCAGCTCCGGCTCCTCCAGCAGCAGCTCGCACTGCCTGACCGCCTCCTTGGGGTCCTCGGCGTACGTCCTGCCGACAGCAGAGCAGAGCGGGTCTGAGCCGGAGCCCCGGACACAGCCCAGGGTCAGGAATCAGGGGTCAGAGCAGGCTCCCTGCCCTATGAGGCTCCCTGCCCTCCGAAACGGGCGGGAGGAATCTTTTGTGAAGTTAATTCCCGTGACTGAAATGGACCTGCTAATGAGTTCATTCATTTCACTCATAAATTCACCGACCCCCTTAACAAAACTAGGCTGGCTGGCAGTGCTGTTACTGTGCTAGATCCGCTTGTCACCCCGGCCCCGCCTGCTGCCCCCCACCATGTGCAGGGGAACACAGGGCGCCCTGCCCGAGGAGGTCAGGGAAGGCGGAGCACCTGCAAAGGCCAGCGCAGCGATGGGCTGCACACGCCATGCTGGGGCCTGTCGCAGAGCAGGGGTGTGTGAGTGGGGCAGGGACCAGGCAGCAGCCCTGGGGGGCCCTGGCCCAGGGGCGCGTGCTCCTTGCTTCCCAATGTCCTGCTCTCTCCCTCCTGCAGCCCACGGGCAGCAGATATTCCAGAACCTACACATCCAAGCAGGGAGCCCCACCTTGTACAAATGTTCAAAAATACTTCTGGAACTTTCTTCTAAAAGCCTGTTCCCAGGTGAGGAAGAGGCTGGTACTGGTTTAGGCCGAAGCCGAGGCCTGCAGGCCACACAGTGTGCTCCGGGCAAGGCTGGATGGGCTGCCAGGGGCTGGGAACTGGCATCATGTCCGAATATGGATGGGCTCTCCTAGGAACAGCTACAACCTGGGGCCCACGGCCTCCTTCAAACTGTCCCCTCACCCCTGGGTGCTGTGATGGCCCCCCCGCTGCCACCCATTGACCTTGAGCCCTGCACACACCCGAGCAGGTCCCAGGCTCCCCCCGACCCACATCTGCCTCACCGCCCCCATCCCAGACGTCCCTGCTTTCTTCTGGAACTGGCCTGGGAGTGCACCTAGGTTCGGGAAGTCCCGCCCCGGAGAAGCTTAGCGTGAAGGATGCACCATGGCATCTACACATCCTACACGGGGTCCATGGGCTCCCCGCGGAGGGCTCACTGCATGTGACACAGGGTCTGGTTCCTGGCTGTGAGATGCCTGGGGGCTCCACGGGCCCAAGGTGGGCCCCCCTCCCCCCTGTGTCCCCGCCGGCCTGTGAACCTACCTTCGGGCCTGGATGAGCCGCTTCACCAGTGTCATCTTGCTCTGCAGCTGAGCCAGCTTGGTCTCGTGATCCAAGGGGCTCTTGGCCTTGGCCTTGGACAGGCACTTGTAAGCCTCGGTCAGCGCCCCGTGGGCTTTGTCGTAGTTTTGGTATTCATCGATCTCCACCTGCAGGGAGGAGGCCCGTCAGGCCCGCCGGGCTCCACAAGCTGCCGGGGGGCCCGGGAGTGGGTGGAGGGCCCGTACCTGGGCACACGCTTCGTAAAAGCCAGCCAGGAGGTCCAGGGCGCGCCCCTTGGTGTAGAAACTGATGATGTTCTTCATGATCTCTGGCTCCTTCCGCCAGTCCAGGGACTGCAGGTAGTTGGCAGCCATGATGTAGATTTCCTTTTGCCTCGAGACGCCCGCAAAGAACACGATTTTCTCCGTGTCCCCCGACTTCAGCAGCGCTCTCATGGCCTAGACAGGAGAGCACCAGGCGGGCTCACGCGGATTTCACCACCAGAGGGAGCTCAGGGCTCCTCCATCCCTGCGGGGCCCAGGGAGCCCAGAAAGTTAATCTCGGGTGGGGCCGGGTTACCCAGGGGCAAATGGGAAGCTGAGCGCTGGGTGGGCCACCACCCCCGGGCCGGCGTGCTCACCTTCAGCTTGTTCCCCGCCTGCGTGTACTTCTTGGTGGCCAGGTGGTAGCTGCCCTGGCGCATGCAGCAGTGGGCGATCCGTTCCAGCAGCTGGCGCCGGGAGTCCTCGGACAGCTCGTTGGAGTCCTTGGGCACCGTCATCTTCTCGGCCATCTCCTCGGTGATGGGCATGTTCTGCTCCAGGCAGAGCTGCAGGGCCTCGTGGTGCTGCAGGGCGGAGGGGAGGGAGGGTCACCGCGGGGCGGCCGTGTCAGCCCCTGTCACTCGCCGGTGACTCTCATGGTGGGACCCCCTGCGGTGTGAGTGGGGGTGGGGACGCGGGAGCCCCAGAGCACATACACTGCTTGTGGAAGGAGAGAGAAGCCAGGAGTTGATTTTCTTCCACGATTCTTTTCAAATTTTCAAGGTAAGGGTGTGAATTAAGTTTCTTAAAAATGTAAGGGAAATTTTATATCCTTCACTTGAGAACACGTCTGCCCAAGAACGTGTGTCTGGGAGGTGACTCCATCTGTGCGGGGCCTGGGCGGCTGCGGTGCTGGAGACGCTCCTCAGCCGGCCGGCCACCCGCAGGCATGGAGCTGCCTCGTCCCGCGGGTACAGCCCAGTGCGCTGCTCCCACGCTGCCCGCGGGCCATGGGGACTGCTCCGGGGGCGGGCAGTGCCTGCTGCGTTCCCCCCCGCCACCCCCCCGCCTCAGCACATCTGGGTCCTGTGACAATCCAGTGGGTCTGTGAACCTCTGCACCTTTACAGGTGTAATCCAGGGTAAACGGATCTCCGTGAGTGTTTGATCTGAGAAATTCCTTCTCTTATTACAAGTGAGGGTAAGAATCTGATGTTCTGGAATCACCCACATTTCCTTCCTTTTTTTTTTTTTTAGTTTACTTATTTATTTTGAGGCAGCAGGGGTGAGGAGAGAGGTGGGGGGAGAGAGAGGGAGAGAGAGGGAATCTGAGTCATCAGCAAGAAGCCTGACATGGGGCTTGAACTCATGACCCTGAGATCATGACCTGAGTTGAAATCAAGAGTCAGATACTTTAATTGACAGAGCCACCCGGGCGTCCCCACCTACACTTCCTTCTTAAAATAAACTGTCCATAATCTTTGTCCTTTCCTTGTGAGTTACTGGTAAATTTCTTACTGGTTTATAGGAACTCCATATATGTTAGGAAAACTAGACTTTGGGATAGAGATAGAACATATTTTTTTTCCCATTTTATTAATTATCTTTACTTTTTAAAATTACTGTAATGGTTTTTTTTTTTTTTTTTTTTTCTGAGAGAGAGAGGGAGAGGCAGAGAGAAAGAGAGAGATACAGAATCCGAAACAGGCTCCAGGCTCTAAGCCAGCTGTCAGCACAGAGCCCGACGCGGGGCTTGAACCCACACACTGTGAGATCATGAGCTGAACTGAGGTCGGACGCTCAACCGACTGGGCCACCCAGATGCACCATCTTAACTTTTTTTTAGTGATTTTTTTCTGTGTGTTACTTTCAAATTTATATTTGATCAAGTCAATCAGTCTTTCCCATTGGGTTTTGAATTCTACTTAGAAGACACCTTTCCTGGGGTGCCCGGGTGGCTTAGTCGGTTAAGCATCCGACTTTCGCTCAGGTCATGGTCTCGCGGTTCGTGGGTTCGGGCCCCGCGTCGGGCTCTGTGCTGACTGCCAGCTCAGAGCCTGGAGCCTGTTTCAGNCGGGCCCCGCGTCGGGCTCTGTGCTGACTGCCAGCTCAGAGCCTGGAGCCTGTTTCAGAGTCTGTCACTCCCTCTCTCTCTGACCCTCCCCTGCTCATGCTGTCTCTCTCTCTCCTAGAAATAAATAAAACATTTAAAAATAAAAAAAATTAGAAGACACCTTTCCTGTTTTTAAGCTCATACAAGACGCCCCTGGCTTCTGCTGGAATGGCTGCTGCTTTGCCGGCACACTTCAGTCTTAGATGCATCTGGAATTTACCGGGACACAAGATGAGAGGGTTTACTGTTGTGTTTTCCCAAGTGGCTGCCTGGGTGCATCAACCCCTCTTACTGTCGTGAAATACTCCTTAGCACGTGCTAGATGCACATGTAAATGGTTCTGTTTCTGGGTTTTCTAATATTTTCCTCTGACCTGTAGGCCTGATCGTGCACCAGACCCTGAGTCTCCCACCTATGATGTGTTTTACAGTCTTCGGGCTTAGTCACTTCTTGGTAGTCTTCTTCAAGATTAACTCGCTGTTCTAGCTCATCTGGTTTTCACTGTGAAACTACAGAATCCACTTCTCTGGCTACAGAAACCCCTGTGATGTTTTTGCTGGGGTCAGATTAAGTCTGCAGCTGCCTTAGGGAGGGTGGGCATGTGCATCTGCTGGGTCTGGACTCGAACACCGGCCTCTTCTTGCACAAGAATCCTCGGGTCGCTCACCAGCGAGGCCAGGCCCTAAGCTACGAGGATTAAGTCTGGCTTCGGGAAGAAATAACTTTCAGTTTGGACAGGTTAACTTGCACAATAAACAATTTTATCTCCGTTCAGTGGCTCCAAGGAACAGTCTTCCTACTCACAGAGGGTCACTGAGACATGCGTGAGGGTGTTCTCTACAAAACACTCCCATGAGCGCCGCTGAGGACGCGGCCTGACGGGCACCCCGCGCACGGCTGCTGGGAACTGAAGCCGGGGCAGTGGCTGTGCTAGACAGTCTGGAAGGTCCTCCAAACACTAGAAGTGAGTTCCCAGATAGTCTGGTAACTCCATTTCTGGGTAAAAATACCTGGAGGGATTGAGAGCAGGGTGGTGAAGAGAGATCTGCACACCTGTGTTCAGGGAGGGGGAGGCGGAGCCAGGAGGGGGAGGCGACCCAGGGTCTGTGGACAGGGGAACACGAGGCACTACGCACGTGGAACAGAGTGCTACTCAGCCTGAGAAGGGAAGGAGATTCTGACCCCTGCCACAGCACCCGTGAACCCTGACGGTATGACATTCAGTGAAATACACTGGACCCAGGAAGGCACAACCTGTACGAGTCCACATACACAGGGTCTTCAGAGTCGTCCAATCCACAGACATGGAAGGGAGATGGTAGGTGCCAGGGGCTTGGGGAGGGGGAGCGGCGGCTGGTGTTTCACGGGGACAGGCTGCTTGCACCATGATGTCAACGTACTCGACACCACTGACCTGTACGCTTAGACAGGGATGGGCGCCGGGGGGCTCAGTGGGTTAAGGGTCTGACACTTAGTTTCAGCTGTGGTCACGATCTCATGGGCCGTGAGTTTGAGCCCCCTGTTGGGCTCCGACGGCCTGGAGCCTGCTTGGGGTCCTCTCCTCACCTGGTCTCTCCGCCCCTCCTGCGTGCGCATGTGCGCTCTCTCGCTCGCTCTCTCTCAAATAAGTAAACTTAAAAAATTCTATGGGGCGCCTGGGTGGCTTAGTCGGTTAAGCGTCCGACTTTCGCTTAGGTCATGATCTCGCGGTTCGTGGGTTCGAGCCCCGCGTCGGGCTCTGTGCTGACTGCCAGCTCAGAGCCTGGAGCCTGTTTCAGTCTGTGACTCCCTCTCTCTCTGACCCTCCCCTGCTCACGCTGTCTCTC